CTTTAGTGAACGAACGCCAATTGGCATTTGGCCAGGTTGACTGTCATCGAATGCTCTGACAGTCTGGCGAAAACCTGTTTCAAGTGGTTAAAATGAGTGTCTTCGTCTGGACTAGCGATTAGTATATCGTCTAGGTAGGCATAGGCGAAATCGAGTCCACGTAAAACATCGTGAATAAAACGTTGGAAGGTTTGTGCTGCATTGCGAAGACCAAAAGGCATACGGAGGAACTCAAAAAGACCAAACGGTGTAATGACGGCTGTCTTGGGAACATCATCAGGATGAACCGGGATCTGATGATATGCACGCGTCAAGTCAAGCTTACTGAAGATAACCGAGCCTTTTAAAGATGCAGTCAAGTCGTGAATGTGAGGGACTGGGTAACGATCTGGAATCGTTTTAGCGTTGAGCCTTCGGTAGTCACCACAAGGCCTCCAGTCCATGCCATTGTTCTTGGGTACCACATGCAAGGGTGAAGACCATGGACTGTTGGATGGTCTGATTATTCCCATTTCAAGCATGTGTTCGAACTCGGCTTTTACAGCACGCAGTTTCTCCGGGGATAATCGCCGTGGTTTCGCAAACACTGGCGGGCCAGTCGTCGTTATGTGATGAGAAACGTTCGAAGTCACACAAGGGACACAACGACTTGGCTTAAAGACATCCGGAAAGGACTGAATGATAGACGCGTAGGGACTAGAAGCGTCCGTCGTGCAGTACACGGGACTGAGGGGCGGCGTCTTTGTGACTATACCGGAAACAGAGAGTGTTGTGGTAGAATCTATCAACTTATGCTTGCCAGCATCTACCAGCAGCTGATAGTGCTGCAAGAGATCCATACCAATAATGCCGGTGGTCACATCTGCCACTATGAAAACCCAACGAAAGGGACGACGCAATCCAAGGTTGAGATCGAGGAATCTCCGACCATAGGTTGTGATGGGCGAACCGTTGGCGGCACGAAGTTGCAGAGACATTGGCCGCAGACGCTCTTCCTTCGTAGGTGGGATGACGCTAGCTTCTGCCCCAGTGTCAACTAGGAAGCGTATCCCAGAATGTCGATCAGTGACGAAGAAGAGGCGACATGGAAGTGGCTCGCCAGCGACGTTAGTCGCCGTCACGTGCTGGCTCACACGTTTCCCGCCTGGTTAGCCTCGAAGGTGCAAGGTCGAGTGCACCTTTTGGCATTGGCACCATAACGTTTATGGTACCAGCACAACCTGGGTTGGGATTGTCGCGATTTGGAACGTCTGCTACCGGTACGGGAGGCAGACCTGTTGCGCGAGCGAGACGTGCGACCGTTGGAAGAACTACCAGACCGCATTTCGTTCCTGATGCTGCACAACTCCTCATACAATTTCGAGATGTGAGCTATAACATCGAAACTTGTTGGCTCAACAGCCGAGGGAGGATGTGGGTTTTTGGACGAATCCGTGGCAGTAGACAGTGCAGCTGAGATACTAGTGTTGGGTTTCGTAGCATCCACAGCTCTGTCAGCCGCTTCCGCCAACTCTATTAAGGGACACTTATGGAAGGGTGCGAGGATCCCTTGAACCGACTGTGGTAACCTCTGTAACCACAGTTGCTTGAGAAATGCTTCATCAATGTTGAAGTCAGCAATCAGCTGCTTCATCTGACGAAGCAGTTGCGTCGGCTTGCGATCACCCAGATGCACATCCCTGAAAAGTTCTTGCACTTTCTGCTGGTCAGTAAGTGCAACACGTTTGATGAGGGCGGTTTTGAGGCGATCGTAAAGATTCGGTGCTGGGTCATCTAGCACATCTGAGACGTCTTCGATCACATTTTCCGGTAAGCTGACGATGACTAAGTTGGACTTAGTTTCTTGTGATTGAATGTGTCTCAAGGCAAACTGAGCTTCCACATGGGAGAACCATGCAGATGGTCTGTGGGCCCAGAAGGTGGGAAGCTGGAGGGTTACGGCCATCTGCGCAGTCGAGTCGTTATCCGCCATTGATCAGGGAATTAACGAGGCACGATAGTGATAATAAAAAAATTACAATGCAAAAATAACCAATGAGGAGTGCAATAATAAAAAACGCTAGACCGTGCCAAAAACAAAATAGGCCAGACAAATCAACGCAAGAGAACAAAGGTACTAGACAAAGTAAGAAGTGATACTCGGGCTCACCAATTTTGTAGGGATGCGTGTTACAATTCCGTAACGTTTGATCAACCCTACTTAATTTGATGTGCTCTAGTACCTGCTTAACCAGTACTTTACCTAACGTGTAAGTACTGATAACAAAACACAAATCAAAAGAACTGATACGCAATGTATTTAAAGGAGCTATGTATTTTTAAAGTAAATGTAATAATAATGAATGAGGGAAAAGTTTAATCAACTTATCTGGCTTGTAAGGCTGAACTAGGGACTCGGAGTACGTGCGTGGTGATCAGCACAATGGAGCGCAAAAATGGCGTCCAAGCCTGCTCGGATGCATGCTCGTTAAAACAAAACTTAAAACGCCCTAGGCATCCGGAGGCAAGCTAGAGATTAATTTAGTTAATTTAAACTGTTTATTTTAGTCTTAGTTATATTTTTGTGCCAGGAAGGTGCACTACAGTGGCATGATTCTGATGCAGAGAAAATTATTGCTTTTTGTTCCTCTCGTTTATATAATTTTCGCGAAGTAATTTCCCCCAGTCTCTGCAGCTTCATAGAAATACCGTAGGTTATAAGTGCTGCGTTACGCAGTAGGGAGGAGTCTACCAGGTAGCCAATACGCTAATTTGGTGACGTTTGATACTGGAAGAAAGGTAATTGGCACTTACAATCTGGATTTCTTAGCGTCACACATTTTTTCCGCATACTGATGGTACCCTCATCAGTCAGAATTACGTCAGGCTACTGACGTTTTTTGGTGGAACAACTTGCCGAAGCGAGCAAAACACATTTGTTTCCATGACAACTAATTATATTGGAGTGCATTTCAATGAAACGAGTTCATTGAAAGTGGTGATTTTCTGGATGCACACCAAGAAGCGTGAACGGTTACAAAAAACTCTTGGATCATTTAAAGGAGGTGTATGCAGTGCATTGGCAATACAGCCACAAAATCGCAGCGACATCAGTTTCAATTTTGAAGACACTACCAATATACCTGGCTACCGCAAATTCAACATTTAACCTTTCCCGAAGTGGTCATTGCTGTATTATTACAATGTAGTGTAAAATTACAGCCTTCAGGTGTCGAATCTGATGTCAGATGGCCTTGGCTTCCGTCATCTATGCCACTTGCCAAAAACTATGGTCTATGGAAAACATTGGGAGTATCAAATGCATTGTTGGGTACTTGTAGTTTTAAAAACCTCAGTCTGCCAGTGAATCTGAAGAAACAATAACTCGCTAGAATTGTCTGAAGGGAGACGGAATCTTAAGATGCAAAGCGTGAGTGTTGTGTTGTATGGACAAAGTTTGGTGTGCTGTGACTAGTGAAGAAATGACTGGAATTCCTGCCCAAAAAGTAGTCGTAGAATTGCAGCTACACCTGATAAACTGATCGGTTGACTGGAGACGTTTTTAATATATGAAGCCACAAAAAAATGAAGGGCCGATATATATCACGCCATGAAGTAATCCTGCCTTATTTTTGTATGGATAGACCTAACTTTGAATTCCTTGATATATACCTACCAACTTCAACTTCCTAGATTTCAAGGAGGTATTTTTATTGGCACGTCGGTTTCATTCTGAACTCTGGTGCACAGTCCGAGATATTTCAAGTATTGGAGGCTAAGGTTCAAGCTGAGGCCACCTTAACTGTTCGTACGGGACATGCTGGCTAGCAAGACTGTACTGCATCTTCGACCCTCACCAAATCATAAACATTACTGAAACAACGATACTATTACTGTTAAACATGTTCCACTCATCTCAACGAAATACCAATTAAAAAACACAAGGAACTCTAGATCATCACTACGCTTCACAATTCCCACCCACGAGGGGAAATTCGAACCAAAACAATAATGGACAAACCTAAAAATTTTGCTTGGGTGCGCAAAAGTAAGAATCAAGCAATCTATTTTCTGTTTTCATAAAGTATTTGGCAATATACTAGCTCCGTACAACTCAGGGCGACCAACCTATTGCCGAATCCGTTGCAACACCACTATCTTCGCGAACGTGGTTCAACCTTATACTTCCCTGTAGATATCTCCTCCACTTACCGTCTACTGATAGCATTACCATCTCTATTCCCTTAATATAGGAGTAAAACTTGGGCACTGTGGTCGATTTGCAATTCCATTTTAGGAATTACTTATTGGGAATAAATAAAGTCTGCCTTGAAGTTGTAGAGTTACCTGATACGAATATGGAGAATAAATTGTGTCCACAATGCTTCCGTTTCACTGTGTGATGTTTCTAATAAACAGACTAAAATGACATCTCCATTCCCATGAGCCGTCCTATAATGTTATTTGCTCCTTCCTTTCCTAATGGCTTCATGTTCTCACACCAATTAATAAGAGCTCTCCCTTTCACCCCTTGCCAATAAACCTACCAAGGTTTCTTCTTCCGTTCCGTTTCCTCTAACCTAATTTTTTTCTCCTTCTTCGCACTTCCTCTGCCTTGATTTCCCTGGACACATTTTTCGTCTTCTTTCTACCAGCTTTTCGGCCAGTTGTCTGCTAGCAGGACACCTGAGGAACCCATCTGTACCACAGTCCTTGAAAAAACCAAACTCTCTTCAAATTTAACCAAAACCCAACCGCCCGCCGAGCTAACTAGAGCTACAGCAGTCGAGTGGGTAGATCTACTGCGTTAGAATCCACCAAAGACCTGGAACCGGTCCGCAAGACCCAGAAGCGAGCGCGAAGAAGTCAACTGGTTTACACTAGCTCTTAAAAAGATATTGGATATATTGAGAACAACCTTGATTTGGGTGGTTATGATCACATGTTTGGCGGAGTTTCGAACTAGGTTTTTTTTGTTTACGTTAGACACAGGAATGCCCGGTAAGTTCACGTAATTTTGTCAAATTTAAATATTCACCAGTAGCTTGAGGTTATAAATGCATCTTCTTGGGTTTGTTTACTGGCAGCATACTGCTGTAAATAGATATGTATATACGTATTGTCACCAAGCCGACTGAAATGCGTAAAATATAACGAATAAAGCAAGAGTCAAGTGTTGAAATAAATCTGCAACCATACAGAGGTGGAGGGTGGTCCCCTTTCCCTTGCCCTTTACTCGCTATTGCTGATTTACCTCCCTGATATCCATAGTGTCAGATTCCCCCTGTTTTCCACCTCTATCAGTCAGCACGATTTCCATTTTCCCCAGTGACAGTCTACTTCTCTTGCCCTCCTTCTCCATTCCTACGTTCGAACTTTGCATTCCCGAAGACGTTTCTTATGCATTGCTTATTTCCCCTTTTGTGGGTTCGGGAAAAGCACTCGAATAATAAGTGTACTGAACGAGTACGTTTCACATATTCTTAAAACCATAAGTTTATCTTCAGTTTGGTATTTTCTTACCAACCCCTAGCATCTTATTACTACTATTTCTGAAATATGATAACTAAGCCCTAGGGTCCTAGGAATTATTCGTCTTTGCAGATTTCTACCACCAATTAAACGGTACTATTCAGCATCAATACAAATTCCTGTTGGCTATGTTTCAAACTTGCAGATGTCTGACTTTTCAAACCTGGTTTAATTTGGTGTTAATGAATGCTGCCGTACTCAATACTTCGTAATAAGGATGATGAGCCAGTTGTCCTTTGTCAGTTTTTGCAGTACTTATATCTATGATGTCCTAGTTCCTCCTTCAGCTTTTTTCTAACTGACGTCCAGCTTATAAAAAAGTAGAAAATCTTTAGCATATAGTAGGTAAGGTTTCCTAAGGTGTGTTTAGGGTTTATTACCCGAAGGAAACCTGTCAGCCGATCAGTATTGCTGTGCGTGCATTTGTTTTAATAAGTGTGATAAATGGTCAACGAAATACTAGAATAACTTACAATGAGCAGCGTGTATGACTGCACTTTTTCTAATGTTATTATCAGGGTCTATTTGTGGAAACTTACTAGTTGAAGTTTGCTTGAAGCACAAACCTATCAGTATCACTCTGTGAGACTCCCCAAGATTTTACAAAATCAGCGAAAAAGAGCATTGGAGAGTTGAGCATTTTTGGTGATTATCCAACTAGCAAAATCAAACATCCAGGATTATCTCTTATGGTACTTCACTCATCACCGGTTTCCATTTGCATTCTGATTACTCCTCATTCTGCCTCCTTTCGTACGAAAGTCCCTGAGCCAGGCTTGAAGTTTTGCGAAGTATTTATGTGTGAAGAGCTTCCGTAGTAATTCCACAGTATGCACCTTGTCAAACGCCTTACTGAAGTCTATAACGCTGGACATCATGTGGATACTAGCAAAGTACTCAGAATTATTTGTTGCACACCAATTAATTTACCACATGGATGAACATTCATCTACTTCACGTAGCAGCAGCGATTACAGTCAACCTTTACAAATCTAGCCAAAGTGATCAAAAGAAATGTTCAGCCATCTGTATTGCTATGGCCTTCAGTATGATATAACTCCTAGTATTACTTTGTACCCTTCTTTCCACTCTGCCTTATCAATATCCTTTTGTTTTCTTGTACATTAGTTATTATTTGTCTTTGATGAGTAACAACTCGAAAAACTATCCACTTCACTAGCTACTACAAAATTTGCCAATGGATAACCTGTTCCACATAATAATTACTATTTTTAACCCCGTATACTTCCTCTGTTGGTTACTTGTATTTTGATTTTTCAAACTTATCATCTTAATGACTTAAAGCCTGTAGTTGTTGTTAATCAACCCCCACTACTTGGTTAGTATTTTGATAATAATTGCAAACCTATGTATCAGTGTTGAGCCAAAGGCGAAGACGTCATCAAAACCTTAATGAATATATTATTGATGTTTGTGCATTGTGGGGTGGATTAATGTATTATAGGTAAATTACAAATCAAAACTTTACACAGTGATAAGTTCTTATTTGGATAATCTTTTGAGCAACATTACCAAACTAAAAACTAGACTATGTGGATGACGACTACCGGTAAGTGTGGAAGCAAATGTTCCTGAGATTTCTAACTGTTGGTGTGATCATGGGGAGTAGTTTTGCTCGAAATATTATCCAAAATAAAACCTTATCATTGTGTGCAAAAAATTACTTATGATACCCTAATGAATATACTATTTAGACCCACAGGACAATAGTTGGTTGCTAACTAACGATTATCGACCTCAAAAACCAGATTGGTTAGATCATCTTTGTCGTCTGGGACCAGGACTTATCGGAGAGATCAAATTATTTCAGCTACAATGTCTGACTGCAAAGATCGCATTCTTTGATGCAAACCAACGAAAACTGTCGATTTTATAGGTTTGAAGTTATCGAACAACCGAAATACCGTGTCTTTTTTAATTTACACCATCAGACAGAGAAGAAACCAACTGTTTTTACCGCTGCTTCTACAGCAGACTTAATATCTACAAGTGACTTAATAGCGTGTCCTGATGACCTTCTGTGTAATTGGTTGTTTCTGCCATAGTCTTGTCATTGTCTCCATATTTATTTCGACTGGTTGTCCTACTGACGTGAGCTTTGATCATGTTGCTTCTTAGTGGTTAGTAGATTGGGTCAATGTCAATGCGTCTGTTGATCTCTAACTGATCTGAACACCAAGCTCTTGAAAATTCCTTAGCATTCTTAGTTTTCCTCTATCCAGGATTTTCACATTTTCTCAGTCAAATTCATCTCCCAGTTGTCCATATGCATTGATATGAACGAAAACATGTTAACGCGCTTCACTGCTAGTTGATGCTCATGCAGACAGATAGGAAGAGGGCGACCACCCTGTCCGATGTAGTGTTTTTCGCAGTTTCTGCAGTTAATTTAGTAAATTATGTTTAGTTTCTCTTCCTTCGCTTTTGCATCTTTTGACCTGCCTAAGAGATTAAAGGAATTCCATGAGCTACGGCGATTCCAAGTAGCATCCCACCACTCTTGAGACATGCACTTCTATCTATCCTAATGCAGGTTTACACAGAGGGAGGAAGTGGAGTAAGATCTAAGTCCTGCATGAATCAGGTTTCAGTAACGGCCAAAATACCAGAACCTAGTTCAAAGACTAAAGTTTCCAGCTCTTGCGTTTTATTTCTAGTGCGATGGACACTGGTGTAGAATAATTTCGAAGAGCTTGCATAACCTTTTGACCCACCAATAAAGCTTTCAAAAGCATTCGTTTCCGAGATCTTACAACCTGAAAACCTACAACTTTTCTCCTTCCTCTTATTGAACTTTTACGTGAGCAAATGGTTCTGTGCTTTTCTGATCCCTTAGATACCAATTTGGTAAGATGCGTATTTCCGTATTACGTAGTTTGTTGGGGGTTGTTCAGGGGTGAGTCCCTTTTCAATTAACTGGACCAACCTTTACGATCCTTCGCTCATCAGGTTTGTCCCTTTTACCCAGCCTAACTTCCCTGAAGATATATACTCTAAGAGAAATTTCCGTTAGAATGTATGATGGCTAACTCGACCAGCTTCAGATCTTACGCATGGCCTATTGAAAGGTTTTTGTTCACTGAATTTTCAGCACTCAAGAAGATCGTACTGGACTTTGGATCTTTTGTTGATAGCCTTGAAAGCCTTCTAAACAGGTTTTATAAACTCCTTAATTCGGGTGAGTAGCTTTGAACCTTTCTTCGAAGTTCCTCTTGAGAAAACTCAGTCACATTTATTTCTCAACTCTGTAGCATTAATATCGTTTTTCAGGGACAGGGATGCAGTCTATGTGTAGTTTAGTACATATCGTAGTCGATGATGGGGCTGTAGCTCATTGGTTTAGGGAGATGACCTTCAAGCATTCGACCCATGGGTTCTAACCCAGCTCCACCTACCGAGATTTGAGCGGACAAGTAGTATCACTGACCCTAAAACACCAGATGTAGCTCATTGCCTAGTGCACGAATGTGAACAAGGTTGCTGATTACACTTCGGTTTTTCTCATAGTTGATATGTTAATCACCTTTAGTTTCCTGTTACGTCGGAAGCAGTGTCCTGGCATTGTTCATTAATTCGTTATTATGCAACATTGGGTCGTCCTTCAATTTCTTGTGGTATACATTTCGATAACACTTGGTGTTTTATCATTTGACTGCAGATTGGTCCGACAAAGTTATTGTCTCAACCATATGGCTGTGTTTTTGACAATAGCATTTTGTATTTTTGTGTTAGGTAAGACAGAGGCTTACAGGCAGAGAAAAGCTGGTTCACTCCAACGCTTATATATGCCTCGTGTCATTCCCGTGTATACTTTCTGTCAAATTGTATGCCTTTGTCAACCGGGAAGTGGTAGTCAAGTAGACCACAAATGGGGTGTCGCTAACATTGTGTTCATATCATAATGAGAACTACAAAGTAGTACCCACTTTTAACCTTCATTGACCGAATCGATGGTATGCATATAACAAAAAAGCATTTTGATAAAAGTTACACCGTTTGAAAAACTGTTCTTCAACGGGAAATGCTTATTGAACGCTAAATTGAAAGAATTTGAGCTGTGACAAAAACGACACAATCAATTTTCTTTAAAGTGTTAAAATATAGTTCTTTTCACGATGTAAAAACCTTACAAAAAAGAAAACCTAAAACTAAAAGAATGGCAAATTCTCAGACATTTACTGAATTGCTCCGAATTTGTGAAAAGCGTGAAAAAGGTCGAACCCTGTCTTCAAAGCGCGTGCGTCAACCACTATTAGTCACTCTGCAGAATTGTAAAAAGTCAGATGGAAAATATTTTAAACTTCTTGAAAGATTCATGTGGTTCAGAGTGCCTTAGTATTCGAAGAATGTTTTATTTTGAGCTAACTGTTTACATACAAAGGACTGAGATGAAATTCATTCTTCCAATGTTAACCCAACTGAAAGTGAAAACTGCATACCTTTTCTTAGATGATTACTCAAAAGTCATGAGAGATTTGAAGAACCAACTCAGTGGGTAGGAATTATCAAATCCATATTTTGGAAGGTCATAGTTTCTCACCACTTTCATTTGACAAGCAATACTATTTTCCTGTCGTTAGTGTACTTTGCTGTAAACATTACTAATTTTCAGGTTCAGGATATTAAACAGAATTTATAACCTTGTCTTATATGAACCAAGTGACATCTCTAACTGCTTCAATATTTTACTTAGACCTCATATGAAACCCATGCCTATTATTCGAGTAACAGTATTCGAATTTCATGGATTGAGTCTTCGTTTTACACCCAGCTGAATGGTATGGTGTAGACATATGGAAGCGTTTGTTAGCTTTCACCTAACTGGAATGTTTTGTAGCGTAGTGTATGAACCAACTCTCGATGAATGTGTTAAATTATTTACTTTGACTTCTATAGACTAGATGCTATTCTGCATTCATATGATAGAACCAAGTGATTGTTTCAGTCTCCACGATTAGTAATCAAGACACAAACTGTATGAAACAATGAATTTATTAGCCATTAGGACGATAAACAGCAAACTGAAATCCATGAAATACGTAGTATTACTTACAGTACTGATAACATTCGACCTGGTGATTGAAACAATCTAGTTATTAGGTCAATCTTATGCATTAGCCATACAGTTTAAACAAATCCAACCAAAGGTAAAATGTTTTCTTCTAACAATGAAATAATGCAAGTGAATTATTAGTATATTTTTTTTTCAAAAATTAGCGTATTTTTTTTAACAAGTTTCACAAAGAGAGGGGGAAGAATGGTTAAGACAATACCTACAAGCTAGTACGAAGTCAAATACTTTATGCCAGCTCGTAAAACAGATATTGGATGATGCTTCTTGGTCGTGTTATTTCCATGTGCTTGTTTTTAGTGTAGTTTTGGGTGTTGGTGAACAATAAAAATATTTCAGGTTGTTATTCATCGTAGACTGACATCAGTTGGAGGAACACTTGAAACCTGGGAGCACTGGACAGCTGTTTCGTTCTAGTATGGGACTCCTCAGCAGTGCGCACCCACGACCCCGCCAGGGATCGCACCTGCAACCTTTAGGTTCCGTGGCCAGCACTTTACCATTGAGCCACTGCTATATCGTGAGCTAACAGAAGTTGGAAATATGGACCATTGGATTGTGACCCATTGGATAGCTCAGTGGTAACGTGCTGGACACGGAACCTGAAGGTCACGGGTTGATCCCTGGCGGGGTTGTGGGTGAGCACTGTTGAGGAGTCCCGTACTAGGACGAAACAGCTGTCCAGTGCCCCCAGGTTTTCTATGTTCCTCCAACTGATGTCAGTCTACGATGAATAATAACTTGAAATATTTCCAAACCCCCACAACTCCTGAAAAATTCAATAAAAAATGTATCATATCAAACTGGACTTTTTGATAAAGCTAACTCAATATGTTAAAACTATTTGTAGTGAAAGTGTATAGAATAGATTTTCGGGAAAGGTTTAAGTCACGTATTGACAAACTATCTGGGCGAAAATATGTTTTTTGTTACCTTCGGAATATGGTATCTTATCACGCTGCACCGTCATGAAAGTTAGAGAAACCATTTTGCTAGTTTTTCTTCTTTCTTATATGCTTTGGATAAATGGACATTGTCGTTAACCATTGTTTATTTTAAGTGAGTAGGTTGTTCGATGGTTCAAGATTGTAGTTTATATGATTCAGAACCAATTGCTTGAACGTAGATGTGTCACAACCTTATCTTAATTCTAACTTATGTTATGCTTCGTTATTCGCTACATTCCTTTACAAGGCTTTCTACAAATTTTAACTGCGTTATTTCCTTTTTCTTGTCCTTTGTCTCATTGTCTGTTACGTTATTGTACTGATCAGTGTTGAAAAGCTTATGTCAATACTCCTTCATTTACTAACTGTCCAAGAGTTATCACGCATAATACACGCTGATAATCACCTAATTGTCTGAAAAGACAGGTTTGGTTAGGGTGATTAACTAATTTCTTTGTTGAAAACGAATGTCATAAATTGTAATACTTCTGTCTTCCGAACACCATAAAAATGTTTTGAAATGGTTCAAGAGTACCCAATAACATTTCCATATTGTTATAAATTGGTTGTGACTGTGATTTGGGTTCATCTCTTGTGCTATTCTTCTTTAGAAATAAAGTTGATTACACTTTAAAGGGATATATCATTGATTTGTTGTCCGGGAAGTGACTTTTGAACTTTGAGAAAGCTGCGAACGCTAGTTCTTCTAAGTTACATTAGCTATATATATATATATATATATATATATATATATATATATATATATATATATATATATATATATATATATATATATATATATATATAAAACTTAAACTTCAATAACACAGCTGTATGAAGCCCGAAAATACTTTTTCTGTCAGTTATGCAGTGTTATCGGATGGATAAAACCTACATTTACTAAAAACGCTCGAAAAGCTTCGAAAAAAAATGTACTTTTACTTGATTTTAATGACTTTGAACTCGAGAATTGATAAGTTGTTCGTGTTTTTCTCCATGGTTAGCATTTTTAATTTCCATAGTCTTGTTAACCTTTTTTGGCTAGTTGCTGATGTAATCTTAACTCGATTACCAAAGTCTCGTCTCTCATCTACTGACTGATGCCATTCTGACACCGGCGAGATATCTGTTGCATACAAAAGGTTGAGTGTTTCACATACAGCAGTCTACCATGCTCTATTGTATGACTGTGGGATGTGGCCCCTTGGAAGTATAAGATATAAACAAGCTGTAGGTTTCTGCTCGCGGATTTTCCTATTGTTTCTCTCGCGTATGGTATAGTCACCCAATAGAGAATGTTGAGGTCAAGCGTAGAATACTACTTAAAGAAAGTTAGTTAGTTAGTGAGGTTGTAAATCTTCACTGGCTGAGATCGTCTGAACGTATGTTATCCAAGAGGAAGCAAAACAGTATTAAGCTGGGAGATTTGTAAATATGATTTCGCAATAGTGCTTGTAACTGCATTTCTGCGATGGTTTCCGAATCCTAGTAATAGGCAGTTATTATTCTTCGAATTCGAGACATATCCTGTAATACTCTAATGAAGCTCATTGTAAAAACGTGGTCATAGCGGAGATAAATTTTAAACAATGAAAGTCAACAATTTTATAACTATTGGAACAAACAAGTATCCGCATGGTTGTTATGAGATTATTTCTGGTTGATTGTAACCGATATTCCATATTGATTATTCAGATTGTTCTAACACCAGTTAGCGAAAGTGTCATGATCAACCTTATCAAGCAGTTTTTCTGAATACTTTCATCCAATTAAATGCATACAGACTGTAAAATTGGAATATTTTCACATTTCTTTTATGATCAAACGTCATTCTACTTCCTCGGATCGGAGAAATGAATTTGTTCTTGAAATTTGAATATAAATTGTAGCGTTGTACATTGACATTTAATGAATTGTTGAGTTCCATAACTATATGTAACATTTTTTGATACCCATAATCTAGTAAGTTTGTCTTAAATGAATAAATAAAATGAGCGCAACTATATCTAATGTCAAGCTTTTATCCAGCCCCCAATATTTGCAATACTATTCATTCAAATCTTGATCATAGTTCATATATATGACTACTGCTTAAATAGGAGTCAATAAGAAACAAATTTATTATAGAGTCCTGATCAGCCGATTTCTGTAAATGAATCATGAAGTTTAATGATCCATGTATCACCTGGAATGAAGATACTCCAGTATCTACCTGAAAACAATATGATTGCAAGTTGAAGTGCAAACTTATATCTATTCAATGACATCTTATAATTTCCTGTTGTTATGCTGCATTGGATTGATCAACCTTTGTTGGCATATAGGCTCGTATGTGGATGCCTCGATGCTACCATCACTCACTGAGGTCCAGCCACCTCCGGCTGACGTGTCCCAAATAGGACGAAACTTTCTTCCTGGATTCCACTGCTCGCTACCAACAATTAAATTGTAATAACACCTTAATGTTTAAAGTTTTACGGTTTAATCTACTTAAATGGCTTATGAAGCGAGCAAAACAGATAAAAATATTGGGGGAAAAAAAGGTTTTCTGTTCTGGAGGTGCTCACACTATAATCTTGAACTATCTTTTATCCTTTCAAACCAATAAGGATTCTAGTTGGGTTATCTGATCACTTATTCGCTTAAAGTGAGAAGAATTACTTCATACATGATCGTCCCACGCTATTTTCTAGTTCTATGGTGTATTTGAAGTTGGACGAAATCACAGAAAAGATCATATCGTTGATTTATATTTTAGCACAAAATGCTGCACACCCTAACCATCCCAACTTTATAGAACCTATCACTTGATTCCCTAGTAAGCTGATACTACTCACTAAACATTATGGTATACATTCAGTTCAATCTTCATCGCTTACTAATACTTCGAATTGGTATTGAGCTTTATTTGTTTTGATTGCGTAATGGTCAAAATATTATGCTTGCCAACAATTGAGGATGTTTGATTGTGTGTGTTATAGCTAATCATATGGCCATTATAACTTGAAAGAAACCCTAGCAAAATCTAATAATGCTTTTATTTCTATCAGAGAAAATTCACAGCATAAAATGCTCATAATAACCTTTATGTCTTTCTTAATACAATGTAAGGAAATACAATTTTTAAATAATTCTATGTCTTTGTTTTATCAGGACGATTAAGTCGAATTTCATTCCAGTCTAACCAACGTAATTTAGTTCAAGTGTATACAAATTTACCGCCTGGAATCAATTCAAAAGTAACAGCTTATCTTATTCTTATTGTTCGTTTATTTCGTCCAACTTCATCACACATTGGATCACGTCGTTCAGAGGTTGGAAATACTTCTTTAAATGATATTTATGTACAAGTTCGATGGTGGGGTGAACCAACAGGAGGACAATATGCTATATTTTATCCTCGATTAGCACATAAAGTTGGACATAAACAGACAACTTGCACTAAAGCTCGTTATAAAGTTACTGTACCTTTGGATCGATTTAGTGCATATCTTAAAGGTATTGCTTTGGATATGAGAATACAATCAATGGATTATTTTTTTTGTTTTATTGAGATGTTTTAGTGTAAACTAGTTCCCTCAATTTGTATTTTACGATTTATAACAGTACCTGCTTTGTTGAGGCTGATTGATTTGGCAGCATTCATATCTTCGTTAACAATAAACTAGACTTGTGGTCAAATCAGCAGTTTTATACGATAATTTTGCTACAACTGTCTATTCATGACGACCATAGGTGAATAAAATTAAAATGTTGAACTGCTAGTCAACTGTCTGCAAATATCTCCAACTATATTAGAACTGGAAAATTAGACGTGAACAAGGATATATACTTACATAAAAACATACAACCAAGGCAAAATAGTTGTTATCTGAATTTGAAGATTGGTGGGGATTTATGTATTGATTTTGGGTTGGTATTCATCGTGGACTGATATTAGTTGAAGAATCATTGAAAACCTAGGACACTGGACAGCTGTTTCATCCTAGTATGGGACTTCCCAGCAATGCGCATTCATGACCCTGTCAGGGGTCGAATCCAGGACCTTCAGGTCCCACGGTCAACACGAGCCACTGGATCGAAATCCAATGGTTCATATTTCCTACTTCTACCAGTTCTCGATATAACGATGTTCAAATAACGAATATTCAGTTACGAGTGTTACGGAAGTCAGCGACTAGCCAATACATTATTATTAATGAAGGTAAAGCTGCACATCTATCCCTTCTATCACAGCCTACTAATGAAAAAGCCATGTGAGTTATAATAACTTAGTCTCTTCTCGCCTAGTTGAATACATTTAAAGTGAGCAGTGATTGATGATTGGAAGTTTGATTGTCAGGTGTAACTTGATGTACAAATGAAAATCACTGTATGCTGAATATAACAGCATAGTGTCAGATGTAAACCCAATAATAGGGTAGATATTGTACCTGCAAAGAGTCACCTGTGATCTGAGTAGCTTAATGGTTAAGTGTTTGACTTCAGCGGTGAGTGTCGCTTGTTGGAATCACTGAAAGAACCCCAGTTTCCTCATAACGTCAGATACACCATGTTGATCAGTGTCAGTAAGCTAGAAACGTAGGTCCAGGGCTCTATGTCATTTGCCTGTCAACACCTAACATTTGTATTTTGTCTTCCCGAGAAACAGTAAGGTGAGGTAGAATTTATTCATGTAATTATTGTACTACTTATATACTGTTATTAGTATTGTGTTTATTGAGTCAATAAAATTAGTATGTCATTGTTTACTTTGAATTACTTCTGTGTACTGAAACGCAGATGTAGCTATTTGGCAGAGGTTCCATTCTTACTGATAAACTGCATCTAAGTCGTGAAAAATATTAATGTGGCGTATTTTGAAAAAGCATTAATAATCGAACTGGTGACGTTTGGTAACTCATAAGGGGATTCAGAAAATTAATAGAAAACTAGTGCATGGATTATGGTGGTTAGGTGTTCTCAGAGCTACAGTATTTTGTTATAGACGTTTCACCATCAGGCTTGGTGACATCCTTATGACTAACTTCTACATGATTTTCAATATCCAACACACTATCAAAAATAATATCATGTTTCTTAGCTTATTGACTATACTGTAAACGTGATCGACAGACATCGGTCACTACTAAGCACCAAGAATTACACCGTCACATAGTCATGGGTTATCAATAGGTGAGCAATTCATGTACTTATCAAACAGTTTTATCAAGATCTAGATTAATTTAGCAAGTGTCTAATTTTTCTCTTTCGATGACCTGTTTCGTATTAGACAATAGTACTATTTGAAACAATTAGTCCCTTTTATGAATTTGGATAATGTAATTAGAAGACGTAGATTATCTGAAAAATGTGATGTATTAGCGCTATACATTTCTAACAATCTGATCACACATTTACTTGTTAAGACATTATATATGAAAACTGGAAGTGGGGGAAGGACACATATGACATAAAGGAATTCAATAATAAGAAAGATAATGAGATGAATAAAAGATAAAACTTGAAAACAATCTTGGTAATACAATAAAATAAACATTACCAAGGTAGGCTTAATGTAAGAACAAACTGTTTTTGCACACACAATGGTGGGGGTTAAATTTATTTATGGCTAGCGCCTCAATAAACTTAAGTATACGCCCCTGACAGTTTCGGTACAAAATCGTAAAGGCTGTCTTGATATCAATTCTGTGACTCTTATCAATGATATGTTTCACAATGAATGATGATGGTTGTCTGTCATCTGCGCTTATTAATGTTTGTGAATCCAGCTGCTTTCGTAGCCATTTTGGAACATGTTCCCCTACCCTCAAGTGTATATCATGATTGGTCCTCCCTATGTATGTTTGTCCACACACACATGTAAATTTATAAACGTAGTTGAGAAGACCAAACACCTGCTGATACCTAGACCTCAACGCTGTATAAACAATTGCGTCACATCCCACTGCGTGTGGTGTGAGGAAGAAATGAAAGCTTGTGGGTAGTCATGGAGCCAGGTTAAGAAAGAAGACTGCAGAAAGAGAGTGAAATGGCAATGTGCTACTAAAACCCTATGTTCCACTAGGAACTCAAAGGACAAATAATAATAAAATAATAATGGTGCATTAGTCAGAGCACACAACTTCCAATCCGCTAGTCAATACTTGGAAAGCCAGTTAGTCATTGGCCCTCACAAAATAGGAGTGATTCACCGTTTACTACACGAATGTGAACATGGTTACTGAGTGCATTTCGACTTTTTTCCGGATAGTCAATCCAAAAGTGTAGATAAGTTAGCACGTGGCCACTCAATGTACATCTACTTTGCTGTCCCTTAGTAAAGGATTATGCTCGTGGGACTGTATCGAATCAAACTCTACATTTTTTATAATGATAAGTTCTCATAACTGTAACAAGTTTGCTTAAACTGAGACTGTGCGTCTCTTAAAAATTTATTATTATGATTTTTACTATTATCATTGTTATTATTATTATTATTTGTCCCTTGGGTGTCAGCAGCACGTCACCGTTTCACTCTGTCCTCTGGAGTCTTTTCAACCTGTTGCTTGTTGTTGGTTGGGTATCTTCATCACCTCTGTCTTTTCTACATTCACCTGAAGAAAGTCCCATCTTTGCTGCCTCTTCTGCCAGCTTGTTTCTTTACATTGTAGGAAAACGAATTTCTTTGCTGACTGACCACATGCAGTACCAAATTTGCCAGACAAGACACTTAGCCAATTAATCTAATACATAATCCTCTTCGAACTATTTATTTTTATCTTTCTCTGTGACTCAGACATGCGTGAACTACGCCTAGATGTGATTGATAGTTGTCATCAACGTATTATTGGACGTGGACGCTTAGATAGAATTGATCGGTTAACATCAACTACACCAATTGATGCGTAAGATGAAGAATTATGTTTATTATCAGAAATCAGTTTTAAATATTTACTATTTGCATTCTACTTAAAACTATTTTGAATACTACTATTTAGAGTAGTTTTTATATTATTTTGAAGTATCTTGTATTGCAGTTTTTGTCAGATAGTATTATAATACACTTCAGAAAGTTGCACGTTTTTCTAGAAGCAATAAAATCTCTTCTGAGGTGTACATGGCTGATACTGCGTCATCTGTTGAAATGTGATAAGCATGAAGTGAGACATCATGCTCAAATTACAGCTATCATGACTCATATATGAGATACTGACCTAACTATAAGCGAAGACAACTCATGATTTACTGAGAGAATGGTATATTTTGCATGTTTTATTGCTATAATATCCATTGTACAGACTAACTTGATGAACTTCATTAGACAGTCATTAGAAAATAACCTTTCAGAAGAAAGTTCTATCTCATTATAAGAATGTTGTAGTAATGTACAAAACTATTGGTTGCCTATGTAAAAATAAAGTCAAAATGCTGATAATGTGTACAGCCTATTCATTTATTTCAAGAGACGTCCGAATCAGTGCTTTACTTCACTATGAGTTATTTCTCATATCTTTTAAATGTAAGATAATATTCTACAACAGAACTACTTAAGAAGTAAAAAGTGAAGTGGCTTAGGATGTTGGACAACTGAGTCATATGCATAGCTACATCTTAACAAAGATACGATGAACTTGTGGCTAAGTGGTTAAGTCAGTTGGCCTCCAACTGAAGGGTCACATATTCTAACCAAACAGCCTATCAAAGGTTGGGTAGCCAGGCAGTATCATTAGGCAGTATACAATAGGTGTGTCTCATTGTCTACTGCACGGGTGTGCATTCGGTTATTGAGCGGATTTCGATCCGACAATGATACAGAAGTTTCTCCTAGTATTTGCAAGCCTACCCTTTCTATAGTGCTAATGTGCTGTTCAAATGCATATCGAAGGATTAACATTCTACTCAACAGTCCGCTCTGTGCTACTTGACAGCTATCAGATAAACCTACTTAATATTCCTTTTGTTTAGAAAACACAGTGTTGAAATCAGTTGATGAGTGTTTACTCAAAAGCTAGAAAATGTAGAAAGAAGTAGTTAAGTGGGAGATTGACATGCCACTTAGCATGCTCAAATGATGCAGTTACATTTACTTAAAATAGTTAATAATACACATGTCAGTAGAAACCAGTTTAAAAACAATAAAAACTTGAAGAAAATAACATTTTGAGTTACTAAGAGCGCTGCCATGTTCTTTATACTTTCTAAAGAATGTCTCATGGCAGGATTTCTTCCCATATAGTAGAATCAAAACTGTCTAAATAGGAATGAGGGAGTAAAATGTAGTTTGATCTGATCACAATTCACCCCCATATACTGTTAGCAGAGCCTTTAAAGTCGCTTTTATTCAGTGTGTTATACTGTAATGTTGACTGTAGTGGTTTATTTTTGTCTTTCTATTTCCATATTTCTTACTGAATGAAGTATTTTACCTGTTATCAATGAAGTTGGCGAAAAATTGGGTGACTTGAATTTGTCGATTATGATTGAACCTGTTCTTAGTAAGTTAAGCTTCATATTATTGTTATGATGATTCAACTTATTGATATTAAAATGTTATATATTAGACTGTAGTACATAAAAAGCGACTGAAAGGAGTGAAGACGAGAAAAGTATATGACCAAGTCACTATTTGAACTATAATAACCTTTTTCTACTCAGATACAAGTGAGATTCCATGCAAACTTGTCCTCACTAGGACATATATGTTGTATTGCAAAAACAAACCAGTAGAAGAGATTGTTATCATCGAAATTGTAAGGAGACAAGATACCATAAAATGTTTATTTTAAAATATGTGGGACTATGGGTAATGAAACCTTAACGGTAAACACCTGAGAAGGGACTGTTTTTCACTTGAGTTTCATTTGAACTCGACGGTAATTTGCAAAAGGTTTTTGTGTGACCCAACTGGTCCCCAGAAATACAGTACTACCTACATATTGAAGCGATTTGCGGCAGATCTATGCCTTTCGATTATGACTAAAACATCCTGTATTTACAAATTCATATACGGTTGTAGAAGCAAGTATGTCGAAACGATTGAAAAAGGACTTCTTTATCATTTTATCTACATTTGGGTAGATGGAAGCAAAGTTTTCAACAGATAGCTAACTGATCGATGCAAGTTGATATTAGAAAGCTTTCATAATCACTAATACATGAAAGAAATGAAATATGCTTCACTTTTCAGAGACTATTTCTGTCACTAGCTTTCATCGTAACTATTTTATCCCCAAGGAAAGTGATAAACCTCTCGTCTAGTCCTGCCTTTGTAAACAAAGTTGTATTTTGAAACCGTTGTTAAGTTATCTTATTTCATACTTACCTAATGATTTGAAACTACATAGTCAATTTTATTTTTATCGCTTTATTTGCTTGCTTAATTTCTAGTGCTAATCTAATTTTTCCGACGTTTCTAGACTCCTATTTTGCTTGTATCACAAATAAGTCAATATTGGTTTTGACTATACTTTACAAGTCTTTTGGCGTTTAACTTCTACGAATCCACTCATTTCCTCGGCTTCATGAAGTTTTTCAGCTTCAACATTTAAAAGTATATCACCTTTTTATTGCTGATACGGGGTTATGGTTAAATGTCGGGTGAATTTCAGATGGGCTCAAACCAGCTGTGTCTGGATTTTATCAACCCAGCCCTCTACTAACTAATGTACCTACAGTATCCAGCTGCCTACTAGATCATAACTTTACACCAATCACTGAAGGTTTCGTTCACTAGCTGATCAGCCAAGTCTTCTCATCCCACATCAAATGGAACTAAACTAGAGGGTATATGCATCAAAGATAGTCATGGCTTGGAAAGGCTTGTATTATAGATTCGGGTACTGACGCTTGCCAATAATTATTGTGATTGTAGACTGCTAACAGTTGATGAGAAGTTCTGAAATAAAATGACCTCACTTTATTCTATAAACCTTGTCTTTGTTATCGTGTTTACACTATACCATTTAACAAAGTGAAGGGTTACTTTTAATCCATTAACAAGTTGTTAAATATTTCCAAAGTTGATCTGTTATTGTTTAGAATCTCTGTCAATGAAGTTTAGGAGAATTTGTTCTTCTGGGGAGACATGAAGTATGGGATATTATAGCTTTTTCATTGATGGGACTTAGTGTAAGAATATGATAACGATTCATCCGAATCAAATATAAATAACGGCATATAGTCTCAAAGTCACATTTTATTCAGATATAGAACTTGAAAACTAGGTGTGCATTCATTTAGCAGTTGTTTTTCACAATCGATTACACTGTCGGCTAACCCAGACCATTGTAAACATGACAGAATTAGACTATGTGGCTCAGTGACTCGCTGTTAAATGTATTTGGATACATGCCACTTCAGTTATAGAGGATAATTACTGAAATACACAAGTTTTTCTTGCGACACTTTTATGCGTTCAATGTCTTTTCAGATCAGTTGTTACCTCAATGTCAGTATACGACCTGGCTTTACTAAGTAATGGTCTGTGTTGTCATATTTCACTCCAGCACATCAAAACAAGGTTAAACGAGATGAGAAACAAAAAAAAGGAAATGATATTATCTTAAGTCATAGGAAGTTCTACAAAGTCCGATTGTATGAGGTAGAAAAGGTGTCAATAACGCTATTTTAGGAAATTTGAGCGCTTGCTGAATCCCAGATTGACTACTTAAACTCACTCCCTGGATCGATAATCCATAGGGGTCACCTTGGGAAATCATCAAAACAAAAGGTTCTGCCCTCATAGAAAAGCTTAGTGACCGTTTATCTATATGTAAGACAGAGTTTACTTCATCTTCCACTGAACATACTGTAAGCATAATGAATAACTTAATGTGTCCTCTTGAATCGAATGTTATATTTGATTCCTGGTGGGAAGACATTTTTGAAGATGAGATTTTCCTTCAAGGAAAGTACTTTCTAAGTGGGATTACTAATTTTTTTTCTAATCAAATCCGGCTCAACTTGGCAAATATATCGAATTCATCCTTCCACAGCAGCCGAAAGATAAAACGTTCGAAAAACAGTTCTAATCCTGCTTTAAAATGCGTTACTGATGTTTGTGGCTAGTAGAGCATGAAAGTGATATTGTCACTTACTTCAATGTTATAAACGCTTCAGACAATTTTCCCTTTCTAATGGTTAGAAAGTCAAGGAAATGAGAAGTTGGAGCAAATAGCTAAATATGATGTAATGACCGATGGATCTACACCACTATGATTGATCCTGAAGAGAGTTTACAGTTGTCAGTATTTGCAGTTTTACAGATGTCATCAAGGAAGCCTACCCTTCTATAAAAATAGACCAAGTAACCGATTAGAAACTAGAAGAACAGATGCCATGTTTTGCTCTGGTTACCCTTAGCTTAAATTATCGGTTTAAGTCATATAAGAAAGGCAAAGATTGCGAGATATGATGTCATCTTTTCCCATTACTTTCTTATCTTCAAGATAGTAAACTTAAATTACAGAAAATAATTAAATACCTATGTATATAAAGGCAAGAATCTAATTACACACTCGCGAGACAAATTGGTGGGTTAAAGTAAAGTGTTGTAATGATATTTGGCAAGACAAAGTATTAAAAGTTAAATGTAACAGTGGAAAGTTTGTGCATTGTAGAATGGATTAATCCACTATAAATAAATGTTCAATGACAGGTTTGCACACAGTTGAACTTGTTGCACTGTAATCGAAATTAATATGTTAAGATGAAGGTATATTCGAGAAAAGAGGAGCAGATGTAGCTTCATATCACCCACCATCTAGTGCAAGAAACCTTCAAACAAGCTGGTGATGATAAACCACAGTTGAAGTTCAACACCCACAACAGAAAATGACGGACGAAGCTACAAGCGACATCTTCACAACAGCCATCAGGGAAAAATGGGATACATTAGGGTCAGGAACTAGCTATGGATTTATCTAGCAATATGGTTGTGATCAAACCATTAAATAACGTTTCGAGGAGATCGTAAGAATGTAACACTAGTTACAAGGCATGTGGTGTTATTCGCAAAGACAATATTTGTTGTCTGTCACCATCATAGGTTCAAAGGCCTGCACTACACGAGGAAACCTGCGTGGAAAAACACTGGGACTCTTTGAAAGAGATGTAGGAAGAAACCTGCATAACCGTGTTACGAAGGAACAAGAAGCAAGACAAGGAATGGATCTCGACGGACACATGAAAGCTTATAGAGAAGAGAAAGATCGTGAAGCAGATAACCCAGTGCAGTGCAGAGATGGATAGTGGAAAGAGGAACCGAGTTCAGCCTACCAAACACTACACTGGACATAGAAGTGAAGAAGAGTGCGCGCGAAGACAAAGGACACTTCTACGACACACTGGCAGGTGAAGCAGAACAAGTTGCAACTAGAAGAGAGAGACATGACAACACTTTATCAACTAACCAGCTTACTATCTGGAAAGGAAGACATCAACACACATAACATCAATGAAATATAGTGAAGGAAAGCTAGTTAACAAAGAGTAGAAACAAAGAAAACGATGGACTAACCAATTCAAAAAACTCTTGAGTCGACCAACACCTACAACTCATCCACAAACACCACTAGCAACCACACAACTACCAGTTGACGCAAGCCCTGCAACCAAGGCAGAAGTCCAGAATACCACGCCATAAAAATTCTGAAAGCCGGGAAAAAACAAAAGAACCAAATGGAATTCCTTCAGAACCATTGAAAGCAATCATCATCATCATCATTATCAACATAGGACCAGGCATTACTGCGTAACGGTCCGAGTTGCCACACCTCATATCAGCACATCAAGTAAAAAGGTAGTGAGGTGAAGGATGAAGATAAGTGAATGCAGTCAAAAGAAATATAAAGTACGAGAAGAAAGGAAAGAGGAGTGACAAAATAGTGAGATTCGGTATAGCGTTGTTAAGATGAGGATAATGTGTGTATACATCTGCGCCACTGACTTCGGTTCTGAGCCATATCACCTAGGGTCTCCAACCACTGGTTCCTCTTGTCCCGTGGACCCCAACCACCTAGTCTGCATCGTCCTACATGGCTTAAACCAACAGTCAGAGACTTCATACATTGGTGCCATGTTTTAGTCTGGCCACCTCGGGCCTTTTTCCAGCCTGAACCCACCTCAGCCAACATTGTGTGACGAGGCAATCGGTGACTAGGCATACGTAGTACGTGTCCCAACCATCTCAGTCGATGAAGGTTCACAACCTCGTCGACTGACTTACCTCTTCTCCCTAAAACTCTACACCTAACTTCTGCATTACTCACATGGTGACACCACGGAATACGTCCTATACTACGAAGGCAACGGTGGTCAAATACCTGTAACCTTCTCATGTCTTCCACTTTCAATGGCCATGTTTCACAGCCATACAGTAGAACAGAGCGGACTGCTGTGCAGTACACGCGACCCTTAATAGACAAACGAATATCACGGCGGCGCCATAGGTGGCGCAAATTGGCAAAAGCCAATCGAGCCTTTTGTATCCGTGCAGAAATCTCATCGGCAACTAACCCACCGGGTTGATCCTACTTCCCAGGTAAGTGAAGTGGTCAACACACTCAACCACTTCACTCTCTATTGTTAACCGCGGTACCGCTGAAGACCAGTCCTGGAGCAAAAATTTGCATTTGGGTGGTGAAAATCGCATCCCAAACATTCTCAAATTCCCACTCAAAGTGTTCAGAAGACTCTGCATCTTGTCAGCGTCTTCACCTAACAGGACTATGTCATCTGCATATTCTAGATCTAAGGAAAATTCACCTGTGATCCGGTCAACGTCTTTGTAATTAGGTGACGAGAGGGAAACCTCCATAAGAATATCTATGATAAAATTAAATAAGAATGGGGATAGTGGGCATCCTTGACGGACACCACTTGATGAGTATAGCTCCCTGGACAACTCACCATAGGCTCTAACATGCCCACAAGTGTTCGAGTAGAGAGCTTTCAATAAGGTGATGTACTTACTAGGCACGCCTTTCAGTGACAGACACTGCCATAAGACTTCTCGATCAACGGAGTCAAATGCCGCCTTCAGGTCGAGAAATACAGCTATTGTCGGGCGTCTGTAAGCATGCCTATGTTCCAGGACCTGGCGCAGTGTGAATATTTGGTCGATACATCCACGGCCAGGTCTAAAGCCTGCCTGGTTTTCTCGGGCTTGCTGTTCCCGAGCTCCACTCAGGCGTCGGAGAATTATAGAACTTAGGATCTTAGACACTATGTTTGTCAGGCTGATTCCTCTGTGGTTATCACAAGAGGACTTCTCGCCTTTCTTGAAGACTGGGATGATCAGTGACTTAGACCAGTCGGAGGGGATCGTATTTGATTCCCATATACTGGCTAACACTTCCGTTAGCCTGACTAAGAGAACTCTACCACCATTCTTGTATACCTCAGCAGGTAGTCCGTCTGGTCCTGCTGCCCTTCCCCGTTTCAGGCTACCTACCGCTTTGGGGGACCTGTCTCTATGTCCCATTCAGGGTCCGACTGGATAGCGGGCAGCGCAATGGTGGCTGGAGGCCAGTTAAACTGTTCCTCAAAGTGTTCTGCCCATCGTCCCAGTCGCCTTCCCTGCGAGTGAATCGCCGATCCGTCCTTCTCCGCTATAACCTCACTAACTGTTGTTGACCATTTCCCCCCAGTCTCCTTAATAAGTCTAAATAACTGTCTACTGTTACCGATCGCCGCTGCCTTTTCCATCTCTTTAGCCTTTGCTGCCCACCACTGTTCACGATCGTTGCGCAGACTTTTCGTCAGTTTATTTTTAAGTTGCGCTCGCTCTTCATTGTACTCAGAGCCTGCAGGGATGCATTCACGTGCATCCATTAGTTTGGAAGAAGCTGCTGATATCCACTGGCTCTTTTTAGCCATTATCTTGGAGTCGGCTACAGTCTCCAGTGCTGCTTTTACAGTAGACTGAAGATGGCACCAAGCTTCTTCTGGATGAGTGACAGTCTTTTGTTCCGATAACTGCCTAGCCAACTTCTCACTGAACACGGCTTTGGTGTTTTCGTTGTCCAGCAGAACTCGTAGTGGTTTTGTTGCCAAATTTTTTCTACGTCCATTGAGACGCAGGCATATACGTGCTCGGACCAACGCATGATCGCTGTCCAAACACGTACTCCAGAAGGAGCGGCAGTCTTCCACCGATCCTCTCCAGCGATGACTAATAGCAATGTGGTCTATCTGTGTCCATCGCTGAGTCGAGCTCGGTGGACGCCAGGTCAGACAGTGCCTTTCTTTATGTCTGAAATTTGTGCTGGCTAAAAATAGGCGGTTATCTGAGCATAGTTGTAATAGGCGATCACCGTTATCTGTACGTTCAGCTGGGATTCCGAAAGTGCCACCTAAGTGCCTTTCTGCCTCACTCAGTCTACCCACCTGTGCGTTGAGGTCACCTGCAACAACCACTACGTCCGAACGTTTGGCTTTCGAGAGGAGGTTAGACAGTTTATGGTAGAACTCGTCCTTCACTTCATCCGAACTACAGTCAGTGGGTGCGTAAGCAGAGATTACAAAGAGACAACGGCGAGTCTCACTATTCCTTTTAGTTCTCACTGTGCCGTTCAGCCTCATAGCGCAGAGGCGACTATCAACTGGGATCCAGTCTAGTAGTGAGTTTTCTGCCCTGGTGCTTAATGCTATACCTACACCTGCAAGACCACGAGAGCTAGCTATCGAATCTCCAGAAACTCGAAGGGTGAATTTTGCAGATTCACCAGATTGGTCAGGAGAGGTCAGGTGAATAACCACACTTGGGTCCTGTATGCGTGTCTCACAAACACAGCACACATCCATGCCTCGAGTTGCTAGAGTCTTTGCCAACGAAGCCTGTTGGCCAATTTGACGGAGGGTGCGGACATTGAAGGCTCCAATATGTAATTTGGAGCGTGGTTTAAGGAGACCAGGGACGCTGTTCTGTGGACTCAGATCGTTGTCGAAGGCTGCAGAGGTAGGAGAAATTGAAGATGATGCAGCATCATTAATTAAGAGACGTGAAGGAAGATTAGAAGGTAATGATGGAGGAGGAGGATAGCAGTCAGAAGAAACTTGGGTGCTGACAGAGTTGTGAGGGCGGTTGACACTTCCCGGCTGCCCACACCGTGGAAGGCTATTTCTTCTTAAGGTACCTGAAAGAGATTTGTGTGACCGCAGAGCCCATCGGACATCTGCTTGAGGCCTGTCACACCCAGCCTTTTGAGTATGATTATTTTGAATTTTTGTATTTTTGGGGCCGGATGAGCGAAAGGAAACGACAAGTGAACCAACACCGCCGGCCCGGCAGACCGTGGGGCGTGGTGGAGTGTGTTATTTTTGGGGCCGACCTTTTCTAACCCCCCCTTCCACTGAGAAGGCAGCATCAGCTTGGCACTGCTGGTCATCCAAGGGAAACACCTTACTGCTGTCACACCCCATCCAGCTAGCAGCAGTACGACTTCGCCCTCAGACCCCCATCATAGTGTAGCAATTTACACTATAACGGTAACTGCTTTTCGTCTAACCACTACCCAACAGACCTTTCTGGTATGGTAGGACCTCGAGGGAACAAGCGTTCCACCAGCATAGCTCGTTGGGTCATTGTGATATGCAAGCCCGACCACCACGTCAAGGTAGCAGCTATCGGTCGGGATTGAAAGCAAACACAGAGACAACAGCGGACATGCTCACACCACACCACTATTGCAGAAGGTTTGCAAGGAAGGAAGGAAAGGTACCTACCAACTGATTGGAGGAAGGGCTACCTCGTTAAACTCCCAAAGAAGGGAGACTCAAGTCTTCGCAAAACTGGTGAGCAATCATTCTCCTATCCTCCTCCACCTAAAGCAAGCAAAATATTAAGCCGCATCATACTGGAGAGACTTAATAATCCCCTGGATTCAAAATTACGACCAGAACAGGACGGCTGGATTCAGTTATCAGTTCTAACATGTGATATCAAGTCATTATAACTAATTAAAAACGAGGAACTTGGTGGATAGATCAAAACTAAGTTGTGTTGGTTGGTTTGTTGTTATGGCAAATGTAGACCGATAGGGTCTAAGCGGTAAACAGTCGTTTTACTGATTTAGAAATAGGTACAACATCGGTGTGCTGGGATCTATCTAACTCAATATATCTGAATTATCCAAACCATCCCCAAAATAAGCCACTACGTGGAAAGGTTTATAATACATAAGATTAAAGCAAGTGTTTGAAAAATCCCCTGTCCAATGATATAACTAGATACGACCTGTTCGTGAGATTACACTATGTTGGGACTCAAAATGAAACAATCACATTGTCTACCAGAAATCAAGTAAGAGTTTTCACTGTAACATCTGGATTTTATCAGATGATAAACTTGTTATTTCTGAGGCATCTTTCACTTGTATCCAGATTCACAATGATTATCATAAAAATAAAATCGCAAGATTAGCTTCGAAAGCGATGGTAAACACCACTGTATCCGACACGGTTCACCGCCAAAGTTTGTCGCTCATTTACTCTATGTCTTCATCACTCGCATGTCAAGAAGAGGAAGAGATTAAAAACAGGTTTTATGCAAGTTTAAGCCAATATACGTTGTAACTAGAATGATGATCTCACTGAATTACAGTATTGTTCTTCTAACTAAATTATATCAAAATGTTATTACATTTTAGGTTCAAATCCTAAGCCTATAATAACACGTTTTAATTGGAAAACACCAGAAGAGAATAATACTTCTCACGATGTTCATAATGATGAAAGCGCAACTGATGAAAAATTGAAAGATCCCAACAGACCACAAAAAGAATTATCGTTTGATAGCAGCAATCAAACTGAACAGGTATACACTTTTTCTGTAAATGATGAGTGTGTGTGTGTGTGCACTATTAGTTAGACGCTTGTAGTTATTCTAGGTGTACATTTTAACTTTTACGGTCATGATTTATTTGTGCATTCAAAGCCATACATTCTGTCTTAGTCGTCCAGTAGCTTTATATACGCTATATTTAACAAACAACAACTGGAATACCATGCCAAAATATAAAACTAACTATAACGCCAATAATCAAACAGCCAATCATTGACAAAAACAGAATTCCTAACCAATATAGGAAGAAAGTATATGTTCAATTAGACCTTATAGCAACATAGCGAAGCTAAAAACTAGTTGGAACTTTTGTGTAAAGATAGGTCATTTTTTGACATCCAAAAAGTACAATATTTATCAGTAGAGTGACTGCACTCAGCATACAGAACAAGATCCAGATTACCAACAATAATGTCAGTCAAGTAAGTCAGTGTTTCTATGTGATGATTGAGAGACTTGGCGTGTTACGAAATGCATCCCCAACAGACTACAGACATCATACATCATGAACAGCTGCCGCCTACGCTCACTTGATACTGAAGGTCAGATCAGATCAGAGCAGATGACGAGAATAATAAGAATAAGCAACAAGGAACTCTAGTTGGCTGACTGTCAACCAACCAACAAATATGCAGAAGAAGAGAGTGAAGATGGATTGGATTGAATTGAACATACACTGAGAAGAGCGTTTGGGTACATCAGGCGTCGGGTGGGCCATGCCGTTGAGTGGAACTCAAATGGGAATGGACTAGTTGGGCGTCTGAGGTGAGGTTGACATGGAGGAGATTGCGTGTGGAAGAAATGAAAGGTAATGGGCAGTGGTAGAGAGAGGTTCCAAAGGCTGCAGAGGTTGGAGTGAAATGGTGAGGTGCGAGGGAATTCGTATGTTCCTCTAGGAACTCGAAGGAGAAATAATGTTGATGATAATCATAATGAGAATGTAGTTTCGTATTTATATTGTTGAATAAACCTCTGCTTTAATCACTTGATTTCCGTGAACTTTCATTGTCTTGTCATTTATAATGCATATGTACTCGTATATCATTTATTAAATGAATGCTTTGGTTTTCGTCTACAAGAAAGATATATGGAAGAGTTCGATTCCCCGTCATTTTAACTTCTGATGTATCTGCCTGTCAGGATATCTCAACATTCAATCTTCTTGCACTTAACTAAATATAAGTGAATGAGTTGCAAGGATAATTCATACTTTTTGGTGAAGTAAATACCCTCACTTCATTGCCTCTCTTCTCAGTATTAGGTTTGCGGAGTTATCGCAGAATTTATTGTAAGTTCATTAATGTAATTGGATTTTGCAGTAATGATGGATAGTGGATAGCAGTGGAATCCAATATGCGCATTTCGAACTATTCGGGACTCGTCAACTGGATGTACCTGCCTCCCAGTGATTGATGTTGTCCCCATCGGGATTCGGACTGGGAAGCGATCGCTCCAAACGCTTGAGAGTTATCCACTACATGACCGAGCCACGATAGCCACTTCTTATGCGACGGTTATAGTTTTAGTATAATTGCTTGCATTATACCGTCATTGATTGGACCGAATTGATCGTTGTCTATTGGCATATGGTCTCTAGCTAACGAGTTCCAAATAGGATGAAACGCGCATCCTGGATTCCACTGCTAGCCAGTATGCATCATAAATATAATTAGAACACAGGTAATATCGAGGCATTCGCACAGGAGCCCATATCCCAATGGAGACCGATCAATACGGTCCAATCAACGACAGTATATGAAAACAATTTTTTCAAGGTTGACGCCTTTTCATTTTTCTGTGATTGGCTAAAACAACCAGTATTTCTTGTTTATTGAAAATGCTTTGGCAAAATTAATCTTTTTGAAAGGAGTGATCAGTTTATTTCACAACGGTGAGATGACTAGCAGTGAGTAAGCGATGCGTACAATGGGAATGCCTACTTAGACAAAACATTTGTCAAGTGCTCCTTGTCAATGAATAGTTGGAGTTAAAAAATGTAAATAGATGGCTAACTTATTTCGGGATAGTCATGGAAAATCTGTATGACAACATTGAAAAGACAGTTGGTTCTAGAGAACATGTATTTTCGTTAACTTCTCATCAGACTTAACATTTATTTATTTTTTTGTCCCTTGGGTTCCTAGTAGAACATAGGGTTTCAGTAGCATGTCTCCATTCCACTCTCTTCTCTGAAATCTTTTCAAACTGCCCCCGCAACTGCCCTTGAGCTTTCATTTCCTTACACAATCACCTCCATGTCACACTTGCTTTGGACACCCAACTCGTCGTTTCCTATTCGGATTCCACTCGACGACCTGATCTGGCCTGACGCGTGATGTCCCCAAACTGTCCTCTCAGTGTATGTCCAATCCATCTCCACTTCCTTCATCTGCATATTTGTTGGGCGATAGGTTGTTGGTTGATTGGTTCGTTGCCAGCCAGACAGCCAGAGTTCCTTGTTGCTTATTCTTATTATTCTTGCCATCTGATCTTGTGTATCGAGCGTAGGTAGCTGTTGATGTATTTATGTAGGTATGTTAAACACTCTTAATTTGAATGCACCATTGCATACACTCATTGTTCTGATTTATTAGGTAATCAATGGTAAATATTTTCATTTCACCTTCAATCATCTCCTAGTATTAATACTAGTATACTAAACCATGTCTATCTCATTCAGATAGTCAAAATAAAAAATGTGAATATATCAATAAAAATGTTTCTCCTATTTCACGTATAGGAAAGTTCAGTTCAACCTCAACAAGATGATAATAATGTGGAACATGCTGTCGATTTAGACATTGGATCACTCGATCAAAATCATTTTTCGCATAAAATGAATATACTTGAAAATTTAAACAATTACAGACAGTATCCAACGCGAAATCATTGTACACGGTTGAATATTAACAATGATAATTTACTGAATAAAAGAAATACTGTTAATTTTGAAGATGATGAATTAATCTCTGTTGCACTTGAAAAAAGTAAGCATTTACGTGAAGCACTGAGTTGTTCATCATTATATACTCGTCCTGATGATGATGATGATAATGGCGTGAATATGCCAAAAGGATCACAATCAGTTTTTGATAATAATCGACGCTCTTTAAAATCTTCACTATCGAATAGGTAAGTTGAGACATTACCTTCTATTGTCTAATTATTTAAACTTCTCGAAATTTTGAATAAGCCTTATCAGTCTTACGTAATGTAATGAAGGAAATAATACATACGCCTAAGTGATGTTTCCCTGTCAAAGAGAAACATCATTATCAACTACAGAAAAAGAGAGTTGGGATATTACAGAGAAACAAGAAAAGAATTAAGTAGAGGATTAATCGTAGAACAAGTTAAAGGGGACTAAAGTTATTACCGTCGAATCATAGAACGGGGAGAGGGACAGATGCAAAATATTTTCATAAATATAATTCAATATCTTAGTTCTGAATGGTAAGGATTTCTATAAACAATTCTATGGGGCAGATAAATCTCCCTTTGTAGATAGCGCACTGAATCACGGGACAAAATTATTTGCACGAGAATAGTACTAACAGCAAGTCGACATTTTCCGTTGAAAAACTAATGAACTGTTTGTGCCATATGCGACTTTTATTAGGACTAATTTTGTAATAGAATAGGACAAAATGTATTGATTCGATTAAAGGTGCATATAAACGAAAGAGCAATATAAATTCTCAAAAGAAAACCATTATTGAAGTCAACTAGAGTGAGAATACACAGCTAGCGTTGATTTTACCAAATCTCCTCAGTGTATCCAACCACCAGATTTGACTGTCTGTGAATTTCACCTACAATATGCGTTCGTTGATCAGTGGAGAGTAGCCGATTTCATGTTGTCTTGTCCCAAGTGTTGACTGAATTCTGTAGATCGTAATGAAGGGACCAAGGTACTGGACTCAGCATCAAAGGACACCAATATCACCATCAATATAGGACCAGACATTGCTGCATAACGACATAAGTTGCCACACCTCAAATCAGCACATTACATAACAGTGATAAGATGCAAGATGAAGCAAGGAAGAGAAATCGGTCAAAAGCAGTACACAGTAGTAAAATAGAGGAGGAGGAATGAGAATATGCTGAATTCAGTATAACGGTTAAGATGTAGATAATGTTTGGGTATGTCTAAGCCATATCACCTAGATTCGCCGGACTCTGATTTTTACTATCTCGTGGATCCCAATCGGTCAGTCTGCATCTCATGACTCAAGCCAACAGTTAAGAACATTATGTAGTGATGCCACTTTTCATACTCTTCGCCTTGAGCCTTTTTCTCACTTAAACCTACTTCATTTAACATCGCACGACAAGGCAGACAGTCGCTAGGCATGTGTAACACTCCCTCCAGCCACCTAACTCCATAAAAGTTCACAACCTTATCAGCTGACTTTCCTCTCCTCCCTAAAACTCTACATGGGACTTCTGGGTTACTCATGTGGTAACACTACGACATACGGCCTATTCTACGAAGGTTACGTTGGTCAGACACCTGAAGCCTTCCATATCCTCTAAATCTAATGACCGTGTTTCACAGCCATACAGTACGACAGAACACGGTACACATGACCCTAAATCAACAACCGGATATCGTGGGGGAGCTACAGATGGAGTAAGATAGCAAAAGCCAGTTGAACCTTTTGTTTCCATGCAGAGATTTCGTCAACTAATGATCCAGAAAGTTTAATCCGACTTCCCAGTTAATCGAGTTGGTCAACTCACTCAACCACTTCGTTCTTTATTGTTAGCCAAGGCATTTCTAAAGACCAATCCTGGAGCAACAATTTACATTTGGGTGGTGAGAAACGCATCCCAAACATTCTCCACTTGAGGCTCAAGATGTCCAAAAAACTGCAGTTTGTCAGTGTCTTCACTTAACAGGACTATGTCATCTGCATATTCTGGATATACCAAATAGTCTTCCGCGATTAGGTCAGTCCCTGTGTAGTCAGATGACAAGAGAGAGACCTCCATAAGAATATCTATGAAAAAATTGAATAAGAATGGAGATAGTGGACATCCCTGATGTACACTACTTGAAGTACACAACTCACTATCACCATAGCTCCAAGATGGCGACAAGGGTCTGAGTAAACAGCCTTCAGTAAGGTGATGTACTTACTTGGTACCCCTTTCAGTGAGGGACATTGCCATAAGACTTCTTGATCGATGAAGTCGAATACCGCCTTCACGTCGAGAAATACAGCTATTGTCAGGCGTCGGTAAGCATACCTATGTTCTAAGACCTAACAGAGTGTTAATATTTGGTCGACACACCCACATGCAAGTTTGAAGCCTGTCTGGCATTCTCAGGATTGCTGTTCCCGAGCTCCACTCAGGCATCCAATGTTTGTGAAACCCAGAATCTTGAGCAGTATGTTCATCAGACTAACTCCTTTATGGTTATCATAGCAGGACGTCTCGCCTTTCTTGACGACTTGGAAAATCAATGATTGAGAGCAGTCAGAGGGGACTGTGTCTGAACTGAGGACGAATATTGGTGTCCACCGGGAATGCCTGCTCTTACCATTCTTGTTCAGTATCGTTGTAAATGTTTTAATGGACATAACCTTAAATGTCTTCGAAGTCGCAGGGATTGACGTGCTCCCAGAATGGTATCCGGTTGATTTGAAGTACGGAGAAAACATATCTTCTGCTAAATGATAACGCTGACGAAATACTGGGCCGACGAATTATTCAGCTACCTATTAAAAAACAAGACAAGTAGAATGGACTACAGTTCGATTTGATTTGTTATGGAGCTATGTGACGTGGCTGTTGAACGTAAATATAGGTTTGAGAATATGGATATCTGCGTAGCACTGTCCAGTTACTGTGGAATCTCCTTATAAGTAGTGTAGAGGTTAGTGAAGGTTGTGAACGTTCACCATCTGAGGCGACTTGGGCATGTGTTGCGCATGCCGAACAACAGCCTGTCTTGATAAGCAGTCTCACCCAAACTTGGTAAGAAGGATCAAAGTCGCCTTACTAAAAAGTGACATCAGTTCATGAAGTCTATAACAGTTGGTTTGGGCTGTGTAGGTTAAGTCCGCTCAGTTGAGGTCTTCGAGATAACAAGAATCAGTGATTGAGTACTCGGTGACAGCTGAAAAACGGTCACCGTGGTGGAGACGTATTCACTCCTTGACATCTTCGTTTTTCATATTTCTTCTGTCAAACACTTTCGTCTACTTTGGTATCACTCTTTCTCTGTCCACTTTTTTTTTACATTCTGTTGTGAAATTTGGCAGTATGAACGGCTAAACTTCTGTGCACGGTTCTCTGTTGGTGTATAGAATATATTCGTTTCCATGTTTGGGTTCAACTTCCACTCTAGAATATTAACTCATTCTTTAATTATTTCACGTCATATCAACGTTATCTCTTCTTCAAGCTGATAATTTCCTATCAAATTGATTCAAGTATGAAAACATAAGCAATTTGACAGTAGAATTGTCTTGGTTTACAAGAGGTTGATGAGAATTATTGAAGTAACAATAGATCCATGCCATCCCGTTAAAACTGTTATTGTCGCTCTTTCAGATAATCTTTTGAGCCTTGTAAAAACCGCTGATACTTAGCAACAGTCTTATAGTTACTCTGTGAATTAGTCAATCCTGAATTACGTCATAATGACTTTCCATCAAGGTCAGATGATAAACACATTATAAATATTTCAAGTTGTTATTCATCGTAGACTGACATTAGTTGGAGGAACATAGAAAACCTGGGAGCATTGAACAGCCGTTTCATCCTAGTATGGGACTCTTCAGCAGTGCACACCCATGATCCCACCAGAGATGGAACCCGTGACCTTCAGGTTCCGTGGCCAGCACGTTGCCATTGAACTAGCCACTGGGTCAGAATCCAATGGTCCATATTTCCAACTTCTATTGGTTCATGATATATAGAGCAACCACTATGAATCCATCATTTTACTGATACCGGATGGAATTTATTCACATGTTTTAGGAATGTATAGTGTTAAAAATCGTTGGAATGTATACTGTCTAAAAGTTGTGAATTTTTAATGAACTTCTTGAGCTTTATTAATTACTGAAAAACAGTTACTTTATTACAAATAGTTTTTATTATTATTTATAATCTTAATAAATGATACTTTTATTATGTGTATCAGCATTTATGTCATTCCAGTTTAGTTATGTATGGTTTCAGTTATTCAATTAAAATAATGGATTCATGATATTATTTAAAAGATTAAAAAAAAAAGTATTCAAATTAGGATTTTCTATTTTTCAATGAATTATACCTTTTATAACTTACTTATTTCACAGATTAATTCATCATTCAAGTCCAGATTTGCGAAGTGTTTTATTTGAAGAAAATAATTGTATAGAAGACGTGAATTCTGATAATGAATCTAATCATCATCATGGATATTGTCATTATAAGTTGTCAAAAAGAAATTCAAAATCAAATAAGTTAAATTTATTAAAATATTTAGTTGATAATGAAACATTAAATGATCCTTTTATTAATAACATTCATCATCATCATCATCATCGTTATCATCATCAACAGCAGCAGCATACCGATAATGGTTATGATAAAGGTGAAGACTATAGATCTTGTAATATACAAGAGAATTGTTCAGTATCGAAGAAAATACAGACACCATGTTTAAATTCAGAATATATAAAAGAAGATGATGAATTAATTGAAAATTTACTGTATAATAAAGAAGTGAGTTCAATAATTATTCAATAAAAATAAATAAATAAATAAATAAATAAGTAAGAATTTCACACAAACATTAATGACTTAACTATCTGAATTATTTTACAAGACATTTCACTCAATATTTGCTTCATAGTCTTATTATTGCATAGCTTATCTTTCTCAAGTGATTTCCATTGATTCCTCTCTCCATTCAGTATGACCTATGATTATGAAATAATCAGAAGTTAAGTGAAATTGACTATTGTACTTCCCGATGACTTCCAGGTATGAAATTAGTTATTTGACTGTTATGAAATACTTATGATGTGTTGTGAACGTGTAATCCTGTAGAGTACATCTGAATGGCATAGATTATTATTACTATTATTTGTCCCTTGGGTTCCTTAATGGAACATAAGGCTTCAGTAGAACGTCTCCATTTCACTCTGTCCTCTGCAGTATTCTCTTTTAACCTGACTGCACGACTGCCCACAAGCTTTCATTTCTTTCTCACATGATCTACTCCATGTCATCCTTAACTTGGACGCCCAACTCATTGTTTCCCAACTAGGTCTCTACTCAATGGCCTGACATCACGTATGATGTCATCAAACCATCTTCTGAGTGTGTGCCCAATCCAATCAACATCCACTTTCTTCTTCTGCATACTTGTTGAGCGATAGGTTGTTGGTTGGTTGGTTCGTTGACAGCCAGCCAGCTAACCAGAGTTCCTTGTCCCTTATTGTTATTATTCTGGCTATCTGATCTGATCTGATCTGATCTTCGGTATCGAGTGAAGGTATGCGGCAATTGTTTATGATGTATGATGTCTGTAGTTTATTAGAAATACTTTTCGTCCTTATAGGAAGAATGTAAGAAATCCAGCAGGGTTACTATAGAGGTGCACAGAACAAATTAACTTCACATTTAAGATGAAGTGTACTTTCAGCTGGTTGACTAGGTGTTAATCTTACCTGGTGGTTCTCAATATAATTGAGTTCTTGACTGAAAGCTTCTGTTTTCAGTGAATATAATCTGAGTTCGCTTTTATTATTTTCTGCCCCAATAGTCATCCTAGTTGTTTCTGTTTATATTTCACAAAGTAAATAAAGTAAAAAGAGGTTTCAAAATAGTTTTCATCACGAATTGATATCTGATAAAGAGAAGACTATTAAAATCTTGAGAGCATGAACCCATTAGCTAATTGTAATATGTAAACTGTAAACGAATTTCTTCAAAGCGGATTTACTCAAGTTATAATAAGAAACAGTGATCTTTGGCATCGAAGAATTTTGGAGTGAAAACGGATGTTCATCAATGACATTGAGTTGAAACCGTCTCAGGGTCAGGAGTGTGCATTGTCTAAAACGTTTTAGACGCAGGGCAAAACAGTCCTCACCTGATTCACAATTGCCCACTAGTTGACATCAGTCCATGATGAATACTGCTTGCAAATTATTCAGTCTCCATGAATCTCTAGCCGAATAAAAGTAGACTTTCGAAAGTATTGTGTATATCTTCTGCTATATTTCAAAATACTTAGTGATGATTGAAGATGAAATTAAAATTTGAGCTGTGGCAGGACTCGGACCAGCAATCACTAAGTTTCCGGTCCAGTGCTTAATCAACTGATCTACGAGACCTGACTGCTGACCAGATTTTTATTTCACTCCAATCACCATGTGTTTTGCCCGACTGCCATCTAACCAGGGTCAATTAGCCTATCCAAACACAAAAAGCCAACTAGGTCGATATGGTAGATCCTAGTAAAATAAGAAATTTAGAGAAAATCTCGGCCATATAGCTATGCATGCAACTACATACAACCATACAATAGGATGGAACAGGGTGAAAATCCTCAAAGATAACATAGCAGGGTGTAGAGAGAGATTGATAGCTTAATCTTTGTTTATCCAATCAACACCTAATATATTCAACAGGAAATGGCTCAACCCTCGTTACGGATATGTGGAAAATCCTACTATCTACATCAACACAGTAGGCGAGAAAATGAGAGCTATTTAAAGCATATCTCATAGTTGTCTATCTTGATATGACTATGGACAATAAATTTTTATCTGAAGAGTAATTAATACTATTCCACTGTGTGATACAACCAATATATCAACTAAAATGGTATACCATTTATACTCCAGCCTTAATCTCTTTGTTGTATATTTATAAATTGTTGTATGCTATAGACTTTTTTTTCATTTATATCGATGGATGATTGACAGCATTTCAACATGCAAAGAATTCAATTTCCTGCCTCATATGAGGCTAAAGGGGGAGGGGATAAGTATGACTATGAAACAGTATTCTAGTAAACAACATCATAATACGGTTTCCAATTGTTCTACATATAATAATATTACAATAACAGAGTTGCTGTTGGACACATTTCTATACAAACAATCACTTAATTGTGATTATTTTGTACAAAAAATTAAATTTTCTTGTAAACACCAAGTGAGAATGTCTTCAATTATTTCCCATAGCTTTTAAAGCTACTTGTTTAGTTTGTAAAAAAGGACAATTAAACTTCTTGAAAAAAAGTTGGGATCCCGAATGCAGTTGGTATTTTTTTTTTTAGTGGGATGTATCAATTATCATAATCAAGTGACATATGATTTATTGTGGGGAATAGTAAAACTTTTTTTTCCCTCCTCTTTTTTATGTAAAGGATTCAATTAATGAAAATGAACAATTGAATGCCAAAAAATTTTCAGTTATCAATAATTCACAATTATCAAAGCGAAACTTTTCAACTGAAGAAACTATGAGACAAAAGTGTCATTCTAGTTCGTAATTTATTTTCCCTATTATCATTTAATTTAAATTTTATCAGTGTTTTGTAAAAATATTATTCATAATTTTCTCTTTGTTAAATGTGTACTGAAATATTTTTACAGCTAAGTGATGAAGAATATGAGAAAGAAATGAGAGTTTCTGAGCTGTCGTGGAACCAGGTTCAAAAGATTGGAGAGAACAGAGTGCAATGGAGGCGTGCTGCTGAAGCCCTATGTTCCACTAGGAACCCAAGGGACAAATAATAATAATAATAATAATAATAATAATAATAATAATAATAATAATAATAATAATAATAATAGACTAATTTTACCCATCCTCTCCAACATTTCGAGTAATATGAGCGATGAACCAGCAGTCTCATTTTTTTATTTCTTGGTCAGGCAGAAGTTGATAGTTTTGTTTTCAAATGACTGTTTGTAATCATAGAAGGGTCTTTGTTAATTAACTTTTTGCTGATGGATTGTATGTTACAGAAAGACTGTGTAAGATGTTGCGAATTATTCGGTAGTAGGTCTCAGATATTAGTCTCGTATTTGTTAACATTTACATCGGTTACTATCGTCTGACTCATTTTTGTACATGGTCAGTATCAACAAGTTATGAGTAGTACCTTAAATCTCTGAGTAGCTCATTAACTTAAGTTACAGTTCACTATGGTGTTACATCATTTAGTTCAGTAGCTAGATCATAAACTTGGTCAATTGAATTATATTGACATTAAACACACACAAGACATGGCAGTAACCTACAACAGGTACACGGTGTAAAAGTTAATTATTTTCACTAGTGAGCACCATTTTTGAATTTAATTCAACTATATCTATGGTACTTTGAATAAAATCAATAGTCTGCATATTCCCTTGGTACTGAAAACAGATGGTGGTGTAGCTTGTAATTATGGATGGATTATATTTTGCATATATCCCGGTTAACTGTATACTAGCCAGAAGATTAAATCGTTACTTTGTACTCACAATGTTTTACCATGATGAATCAGTGACTCTTTATGGCTCAATTGAATAAAATTTAAAAAAAACTGAAATGTAGAGTTAAAAGGTTAAAAGCCAACCAATAAATTTCAACTAATCAGTGTAAGACTTCATTTTTATCCATTCCAACAACAGTATTACAATGTGATTAGTATACTAACTGTGTATATATAATATAATCTGACTTAGAACCTGATATGGATTAATATCCAAAAATTCTGTACCACAACAGAAATATTAGTTGTTAGATAACGACAGTTACTTCTGTAAATCATGTATTATGCAACCAAATTTGGTTGTAACATACATAACATAACATCTGGTCAGCAGTCGAACCTCGTAGCTCAGTTGGTAGAACACCGGGCCGGTAACTCACTGGTCGCTGGTTCTGATTCGGCCGTAGTCCAGATTTCCATCGCACCTTCAATCACTATTCAGTATACATACTTTAGGCCAACGAACTGTCATTGAACATCTTAAAGAAAGTTCATCATACTTATCTTGGAAACCAAGCAAAACCTTATATAACATTCTTCACTTTATCATACCCTATAGAAAAAATATCATATTTCGTTAGGATTTACTAGTGTTTGTGTATTACTTGTGTGTACAGAAAGTACTCCTTACTACTCTTAACTTCTGAAAAGTTTCAACTAGAGGCGAGAAAGATGTTCAGTTCTCTAAGGTTTTCACAGGTTCTTCAGCTGATCTCAATCCATGATAGACACTACTTTGAAATCAATAAATTCCCACTACTTTCCATCGCAATTGATTTTCTTTTTATTTGTCTTTGTGGCATTGCTCACGTTTGATGCCATCGACGTGTTATCACTTTCAAGGTCAGATGAAGGATACTAGACAGTACAGCCAAGTCGATTGATAAGGTTGTAAACCTTAGTCTACTGAAATGGCTTGGATGTGTACTGCACATACCACCGCGAGCTACCGCTTACCTAAATGTTAGGGGAAGCTGGATTAGGCAGCAGGTTGGTTGAGGATGGCGAGACCAAAACCTGGCGCCAGACAATGGAGTCTCTTATCGTCGGCCTGAACCGTGTGGGGAGATGTAGACTGCGTGGTTAGGGTCCCTAAGACTTATAGAACCACTGGTTGAGAACTCTGGATGACATGGCTGAAAATCGGTCGTAATAGCGCAGATGTATTTACTCCTTGAAATTTCCTAAAACTTGAACTGACCTGTATCTCCAGGTTGCTTTTTATCTCGCACAACTTTTTGTACTTTAACATCACTACTTTTATATCCACTTGTACTCTGTGTATCATTGTGAAATGCGGCAACTGGTCGTGATGTACTTGTGTGCGAGGTTCTACGTTAATTTTATCGCTCAGTTATCTGCTTTATCATTGTCTCAAGAATACAATTATTATTATTATTATCATCATCATCATTATTATTTATCCATTGAGAGCCCAGTGGAACATAGGGCTTCAATAGCACGTCGCCATTGCACTCTCTTCTCTGCAGTCTTTTCAGCCTGCCTACACGACTTCCCATTACCTTTAATTTCTTCCTCATACAATCTCCTCCATATCACCTTCCCCTCGGACGCCCAATTCCTCGTTTCCCATTTGGGTTCCACTCAAAGGCCTGACCTGGCCCTGTGCGTGATATCCGCAAACCGTCTTCTCAGTGTATGTCCAATCCATCTCCACTTTCTTCACCTGCATATTTGTTGGGTGATAACTTCTTGGTTGGTTAGTTCGTTGACAGCCAGCCAGCCAACCAGAGTTCCTTGTTCCTTATTCTTATTATTATCGTCATCTGATTTGATCTTCAGAATGGAGTGTGTGTAGGCGGCAGCTGTGATGAAATATGATGTCTGTAGTTTGTTGGAAATGCTTTTCGTGACACGCCAAGCAATCACTGATATGACTGACTTAGTGTTGAAAATCCCGATCTTGTTCACGCTTTGTGCTGAGTGGGGTGGAGTGCAGTGATCTCCACACTGATTTCAGATTAATGAAGACCTGTCTTGCTGTCTTTCCAATCCTGGCTTTGATGTCCACATCTGTACCTCTGGCTGTAGTTGAGACGATTCTGCTTAGGTGGGTAGGTGAAAGAGACAATTTGCTTTAGATTTCTTCCGTTGATGGTGCTTGTTGTTGTTGATGATGGACGGGTATGTTCATCACCTCTGCCTTCTCTAAACTCACCTGAAAGAAGTCCCATCTTCCTTCGCTACCTCGCCTCCCTTCGCCTCTTCTACCAACTTGTTAGTTTTCGACTGCAGATCTTCGAGTTTATGCTACAAGACATCAGACAATATTCATCATCACTGGCAAAATCCAAATCTCCTAGAGTCTTTGTCTTTTCATCGATCAAACAGCATATGCCCATCTTCTCACAGCTTCTTGCATAATCCAGTCAGTCCAATCCAGTTCAGTCCAGTCGAGTCCAATCGAGTAGACCACAATCAGGAAGATGATGGGTGAAAGTAGGGGGCAACCGTGTCTTACTTCTATCCCCTGTCTTCACTTCACTTCACTCCACTTCAAAGACATCACTCATCTTTCCATTGTGAATCACTTGGCATGTAGTCTCATCATATAGCATATAGCATATAGCTGGTGTTCAATCAGGTTGATAAAGGTTTGTGGTACTAGAACTGTAGTGGGGAAGCAGCTGGCTGCCTACCTTTACAAAATTGATGAAGTTGAGGTAAAGATCGAGTTGACTGGAATTCTATGCTGTGTTCTATGATGATGCTTCGCGTAGCGTTGCAATTTGATTCGCACATGATTTGTACTTGCTGAATCCAGCCAGCCTGTTCTGGTCATGATTTTAAATGCCGAAGATTTATTCCATCTCTTCGGGATGATGCGACCTAATATTATGAATACAAAGTTTAATGATAATAGAGATTCATTGATGATGGTTACAATATATTCTAATTGTTTTTCTGAACGTTTTTAACAAAGTTTACTTTTGATTGTGACTTGATCTGTAGGCAATTAATCGTAATTTTTACGTTTTATGATACAATTCTTTAATGGTCAACTTCTACAGTCTTATTATATTTCCTTTTGTTTAGATTCACCTAGATCTGGTTGTACTTTAATGGCAGTTAAGTTACACTTTAAATGTTTACGTTTATTTAAAACATTTGCAAAGGATTTACTATCCAACATAAAATCATCATCTAAAATGATCAATTCGTCTAAACTTCCACACTATGGTGGTGATGGTAGCGGCGGTGGTGGTGGTGGTGGTGGTAGTAGACTATCTAGATATCAGATGAAACAGTCACATAAATTACAACGTCCAACATCGATATCACCAACACTACCGTTTATTAAAACAAAATCCAGTGAAATAAAGTAAGCAAATGTTAATAACGTCTTAAACCGTTTCCTTGTAAAGTATTCTGCTTGAGTTGTGAAAAATCTACTGTACTACTGTGGCAAATTCACAGTTGGTAGTTTGATATATTTTATAAAAGTTAGTTGTGTTTACCAGCTTCATGAGCTTTGTACACATCCCACTTTCAACAACAGGTTTATCACTTATGCATAGTAATGATGAGCAGTGGCTAGCAGTGGAATCCAAGATGCACATTTCATACTATTTGAGACTCGTCAGCTGGATGTACGTGCCCCTCAGTGAGTGACGTTGTTCCCATCGAGACTCGGGAGCGACCACTTCAAACGCCATGGCGTTATCCACTATACCACCGAGCCACAATAGCCACTTCTTGTGCTAGGGGTATAGGTTTAGTGTTATTACTTTGATTACACCATCGTGGCTCGGTGGTGTAGTGGATAACGCCCTGGCGTTTGAAGCGATCGCTCCCGAGTCCCGGTGGGAACAACATCATTCACTGAGAGGCAGGTACATCCAGCTGACGAGTCTCAAATAATGCGAAATGTGCATCCTGGATTCCACTGCTAGCCAGTGCCCATCATTACACTACATGGTTAAAAAGACAGGCAATATCGAGGCATCGGCATAGGAGCCCATATGCCAACAGAGAGTGATCAATTCGGTCCAATCAACGACGGTGTAATACAAGCAATAACACTAAGTTTATCATTGTTAAATTCATTTCAGAAGGATGATAAACATAAGTCTTGAGTAACTTTTAAGGCCACCTAAGCAACTTCTTAGGTAACACATTATATTTCTCTATTCTGTAAAAAAACTATCTCCCTAAGCTGAAATTCCAAAATCTGGTAGTTTATTTCAATAGTTCCAAGAATCACTATTAAAGTCACTTTTTCTACGGGTATTTGAATGAGCGAATTTGAAGGCAACCTAACAACTACTGAAATAAGCAATCAGATTTTGATATTTCCCCTTAGAGATAGTTTACCATAAAACAAATGTCAATGTGGCCTCTGAAGTCACTCTCATTATTTGCGTTTGTTAATGCCGTAAATTTACAAGTACTTTTACAACATATAACGCTTTTCATTCAGTTCTTTTATTTTATGCTGATTGGTTAGGCTAAGTTTCAGTTAATGTAGGCTTTAGGCAGAATCTAGGGTACAGGTTACGTTGTTGGGTTATTTTGGTAACGAGTCTCAGTAAATTCCCTTAGACTTGTTTGTATAAGTTGCATGAAAACAAACTAAAATGCAAGCCATCTAGTTTACTTCACTTATAAACAGATGTTTGTTTGATTAATGAGCGTGGTTTTTATGCTGAGTGTATTGTTGCTTATGGAAGAATAAAGAAGAGCCTAGTAGTCGAAAATCATTGTTCTACCTAAACTTTATATAAATAGCTAGGACAGGCAAACCAGTAATCATTTTAAAATGTGTTTGTTAATATGGTCTCAAAGCTTCCAGTCAGACTGCAGACTAAATCTGTTGAGTTTTGGCTGAAATGAAATCTCTCTTTGGAGTAGTTGTATATCAAATTATTATGGGAAATATTTTTTCGCTGAGTGACTGTAAAGTTGGATATTCTTTTTCGTCTAGACGACCACCCTTTGATGGTTAATTTGAGTACATAATCCAGTACAACAGTGGTTCATTCATGATCTGAATAGGTATGTGATAAAATTTTCAAGTTGTACACTGAATGATCGAAGGCATAGTAGTAGTTACCTCACGGTTACTGATATTCCTTACTGATGAGTGCAAGCGATTACGAAACCTAGGTTTCAGGACTTTCTGTTAACTAACTCCTAATATCTAACACTAAACATTCGTTTATTTATAACCTTTCTCATTATTTCATCATTCCTAACAGGACATCAGCAGACAGCATACATATGGAGTTGGAAATATCTGTCCCAATATCATTTGAAACTAAGACGTCTCAAGTACAGTCATCATGCTTTGCTGCTACAGATGGTGGTAGTAGCAGTTGTAGTGGTAGTGGTGGTGGTGGTAAATGGACCACAACTAGCTTCACATTAAACTCTGAAGTAATTAATCAATTTGAAATAAAGTCAAACAAACAAACTGATGATTACATCAATTTCTATTGTTCAACATATCAGAAGAATGATCAAATTAACTACACTAATAAAAATAATCATAATAATTCTTATATCTTTGTCAATTTGAATAACACCAATTGTAATGATACTACCGATAATACAGATCATCATATTCGTATACGATTATTTTGTTTAAATAATCCAATCGAGGAGAATGATGATGTCACTCAGTGGGAATCAGAGGTAATTTCAACTTTTCTTGTTTTAATTTGATAAATTTGTGGGATTTTTTTTAATGAATTGCTTGACTTCATTGGAAAATATGAAAATAATGAAAAACTGTTTTGTCCTTGTTGTAAATTTTCCAGCGGTGCACACTTACAATCTCACGAGGCATTGTGATTAGAATTGTTAGGTCCTATGACAATCATATTATCATTCACTACTGAGGATTTCTGAGCTATAATAAACCAGTAGTATAGGAGTAAAACTTGAGCACTACAGTCGACTGTAATTCCATTTTAGGCTGTTTATTAGAAATGTCACACAGTGAAACAGTATCATTTATTGGATAACTTTCGAACACAATTTATTGTCCATATTCATATCAGGTAACTCCACAACTTCGAGACAGTCATTATATTTTCCTAATTTTCTCTCCTTATCTGTGATGACAAGGGTAGTAGAATTTTGCATATATCTAGGATAGGTGCAGAATCATTTCGACTGCATGTGTTTGGTGTTGATTCGATAAACAAAGATTCAGTTATCAATCTATCACTCCCTCCACCCAACTTAGTTTTCAACACTGTGTGACTGTGTATAATTGCGTGCAGAGCTATAGCCGAGCTCATCTTATTAGAATCTACTAATCTTGATTTAGCTAAGCTTTTATACTCTGTTATCCTAATCCACCCTGGTCGATCACTTCGACCATGCAATCATTGCAAGGGATTCGGTAAACTAAGTTACTCTGCTCAATTCGACCAATATGATCGTTTAACCTAGAAAGTTTATTTGTACACGAGTTTGTTGGTTTAAATGCTACTTGAATCCCAGTCAGTCTTATTGAGAATTCTTCGTAATGCTTCTGAGGTGTCTTCCATGTATGACAACACAACAGAGGCTTTGAATTCTCTCTCAACCCTGTCACCATTATTAGTGGGATTATTATTAATAACACCTGTATTACTACTACTACTACTAGCACTGGTAATATTTTTCTTTCGATTTCTTATGAATTTATTTATAAATTTTGGTGGGTAATTATTGAGACGTAGGGTATTCTTGATGTGTCTAACTTCTCGTTGTAGATTTTCTGGTCTACTAGTAAGCTTTCCCACCCTATCACTTAGGCATTTAACTAAGCCTACTTTGAATGAAATGGGTGGGAGGATTTGAAGTCTAAATAGCGATTTGAATGGAAAGGTTTCCTATAGACACTGGTCTCTAGACTTCCGTCTTGTGTTCGTTTAATCTTGGTTTAATCTTCTTCATCACTTTCTAAGTCACAAGTAAATTCTGTTGCATTCACTACTGAATTTATATGTACCATGAACCTATTGAGTGATATGTTCCGATTTCAGTGCTGTAAACGTATCACCTGGATATCGGAACAATATTTTTGGAGTAGGACTAAGTGTTTGAAGGACTATAAATATGTCTGCCACGACAGGAGATATTGGTAATCCCATGGGAATACCTTCAGTGTGTTTATATATTTTATTTTGAAGCTTAATAACTATAGGTGTCAGGCACTATCGTATTCCTAGCATGATTTCCTCGATCCGCACCTTAGTTCGATGCCTAAGCTCTTTGTCATACTTAAGCCTATTTCTAACTGCCTCTAGAGCTATGACGATCGGTATATTTGTGTAAAGGTTTGTTATGTCGAAACTAAGCATTTTTTCATTGTCATCTAAGTGTACGTACATACAATCAACACCAAATACATGCAATCGAAATGATTCTGCACCTGTCCCAGATATATGCAAAATTCTACTACCCTTGTCATCACAGGAGAGAAAACTAGGAATATATAAACTCTGTCTGAGAGTTATGAAGTTAGCTGATGTGAATACGGTTGATAGATTTTGTCCGAAACGTTAACCATTAAATGATACTGTTTCATTGTGTGACATTTCTAATAAACAGACTAATATAGAATAAAATAGAGCAGGTAACACATCAGATCAACTTGAGTCGGTGGGTATTTACGCAGATTTGATTGCTTAATTATCAATCTGGCTGCTAATCTACATTAGCTATTGGAGAACTAGTTATCGATCGATATCTTCTAGTTGCTAAGACCAGCACAACCAAGCACGACAAACTGATTTAGCAGAGTATATATATATATATATATACTCACCGGGAGGCGGGTACATCCATCTGACGAGGTCCAAATAGGATGAAACGCATATCTTGGATTCCTCTGCTAACCATGGTCCATCAATTAGACCTCTATAAATTTAGGATACTCAGTTAGTGTTCAGAAATATTGAGAATGGTGTAATGTCAATCAGAAAATAGATACAGACTGAAAATTGAACTTTTGGTTTGGCTTACTCTTGGAAGTTGAAGTAGGTGAAAGTATGTTCAACTTAATAAAACTCTATTGGCGATAACTCAAAGTTTAAAATGACTAGTGGCCGCTCCATAATCAGCCGTTTTAGAATTTTAGTCATGCAGCGTTATCCTGAAGAATGGTAGAACAATTGTGTCAAGCTATAGGTCACTAACTTATTTCTTAGGTTTGCACATCCATATAGATTTTTACATACTAAAACAAATAAAACGTAGTGAATGAAAGATTATCTTACATACTTTAAGGTAACTTAATAAGGACAATAGTCCTGATGGAAAACACTTGACTAAAATCATTGTACACAAGTTTATATCACAGCGCCAGACGTCTTGGTGATTCATGTTACCAAACATATCAGCATAGGATGAAAGAAATAGACAGGAACAGAAATGCTTCATGACATATAAAAAGACTCACACCTACTATCTGTGTATTCATGCGAAAGCTTCACGTCTTGAACTGACTATTCTTAGCTAATTGTCAGGAAAAAACTTGTTGGATGTGTCTATGTACATTCGATATTAGTGACTGTTCAGTCTAAGTAACACATCCCAACCAAATTCTATCAGCGCTAGTTAACAATCTCACCATCTTTCTTTCCCTCCTCAACTATAACTTAGTGAAGTGAAGTGAATAAAACTTTTTGCTGTTAGTTAGCTGGGGAAAACGACCTGGAAACTGGACTCTGGTGTCAAGTCGACCTGCACTTCTCAGTGAAGAGAATCTGCAAACTCATAGACTAATCTTGGAAATTTGAATCCATACCCGGGTCTGCGGGACAAAAAAAGCCAGTCGTTGGGACTCTAGGTGATCACGTGGCTCAGAACTGATGTCAGTGGCGCAGATGTATACACACATTATCCTCATCTTAACGCTGTGCCGAATCTCACCATTTTCTCATTCTTCCTTTCTCTCTTTTAGTACTTTATATTTCCTTTGACTAAATTTTCTTTTCTTCATCTTCCGTTTCACTGCCCTTTTACTTGATGTACCGATATGCGGTGTGGCAACTCGTACCGTTACGTAGCAATGCCTGGTCGTATGTTGATTTGGATGTATGGATGGATTCCATATCCACCGTTAGGTCAGTGACAGTAATACTGTTCCATTCGCACTAAAGTATGACGACAGTTGGTGTATTCTGGCCAGTAGATAGCATCAAAAAATGACTAAATAATCATTTAGCTGCTTTTAGGGAAACCTGGAAATATTGGTGTGCTCGTATGATTTGAAATAGTGGAGTATATTTGTAGCTCAGGTGGATGGTCTTCACCTTAATTTACATAACAACCAATTGGATATTAAAGGTAACGACATTTCATCACTCATTTCAATTCACCTGGATTACAACTATAAACATGAATTCAATTTCCACAATGTAGAAATTTTGCACACAGAGACAAAACACACAGATTATCACAGAATCTCTAGAAGCTTGGCATTCATGTCAGTCAGCAAATGCATAGACATATAGACCCAATCTATCAACCAGTAAGAATAATTGATAAACAACACAAAGGTCAGAGAGGTGAAGCAGAGGAACAGCCAACAGGAAAATCTATATAGTCAGTCAATGACACAACAATCAAAGGAAACAACCAACCACAAACCATTTCATCAGAGCAAGCTACCTAAATTACTCACGAAGAGATACTGACAGTATACTTCATACTGAAGTTAGTACTGTGGATGATGTCGTCTAGCAAGATGATGAAAACTTGACGATTAAACAACTCAGCTCAGAGAACACAATACAACCAAGATATTGTTCTGTATATGGAAGCGATTGTGTCAACCAAAGCTTACAGCATGTATTGTGGTTAATAAGTGAGCAAATGTATACGTGACTATTTAAAATTGTGTCGTGTTTTTTTTCAAGAGACAAAGTAAACCAGTATACTTGAAGGAATATTCAGCCTAAAAATACAAGTCTTCGTTAAAAATAATGCGTATTTATATGCGATCAAAGGAGTTATTGTAGTGTTGTAAAAGGGAATTGATTTAGATTACAATTAATTACTGAGATGTCCAATACAGAAGCTCTGTGAAAAGCATGAAATTAATAGACTGAAATGGTCAATAAGTAAAACAAATGAAATTATGATGAGAAACATTCAAATACAACCGCTACTTTTTCAAATTCCACCATGTAATACCGGTAAGATGATGAAACTGGCCTAGGTGACCTGAATTTTGGTTGTTACAAGTCGGTCTTTTGTAAGTAGCATAGCATATCACCTACATTTTGTATTTGCTGGTATTCATCAGTTTTGCATATATTTGAAGAAATTCATGTTTCTCAATTTAGAACTTGCATCACTCACTGTTAGAGATCCAATACTATATCTTTAAATGTTTCAGGTGTAACAGAATCCCTGTAGGTGCAGATTATGAATACAAATTGGTCACCGAATGGTGACTGATGGAACTTCTAAGTTTTATTTCTCAACACTGATAGAAACTTAAAGATTACTCTGACTACTTAACCAATATGGATCAAATTTACATGATATAGAGTCGGAAGGAATATACAAAAAATGTTTAGTACTCATCTTAGAAATCAAATTGAATTACTAATTTGGTCTGAAGACTTACTGTTCGATGCTTCTGTATGTATAGGTTTATTTTTACCTACTGATTCTATGAATTCATGAAACTGGGACCATCATTAGTATTATTTGTCCTTTGGATTCCCAGTGGAACATACGGCTTCAGTAGGACGTCTCCATTTCACTCTATTCTCTACAGTCTTTTGAAACTTACTCCACAACTACCCATAAGCTTTCATTTCTTCCTTACACCATCTCCTTCATGCCACCCTCACCTCGGACGCCTAACTCATCGTTTCCCATTTGGGTTCCATTCAAAGGCCTGACCTGGCCTGACGCTTGATGTCCTCAAATGGTCATCTTAGTCTATGCACAATCCAAACCACCTCCACGTTCTTCTGCATATTTGTTGTTGATCATTATCCGAACTATTTACTTCGTTGGTGCGTAGAATATCTTTAAATTCATGCTAATCTGTGTAGTAGCCATTGTTTCGAATGTTAGAATTTCATAGGGTGAATGCCACTTTCAGACCATAGATTCTCATTTCTTCAGTTTTGGGGTCTGGATTCTTTATCACTGGTAGACATTAAAGTTCTCTAAGCGTTGTGCTTCCTACTTATACTGTCTGAACTTTTTTAATTTTCATACAGTTGGTCTTTGTTTTAATTCATTGTCTTGCAAATATCTTTTTCTTGAACCTATTAAATTGCAGCTCATTGGTGTAAATTTTGTCAATCCAGATGAAATTCGATCAATTATTCTATCGAAAAGTCATTTAAATTCAGCTAATCCAACTACTGGTTTATTTATTCATCTATGCTCTGGACAAAAATCTAAAACAGGTACTCCGAATGTGATTGGTCGATTGGAATTTCAATTGGAACCAATCTGGGGTATTATAAGTATGAATAAGACAAATAGTGGTAAGTTGATGAAATTCCTTTCAACGTATTGAGTAATAAAATCAGATAATATGTATAGGATTTCGCTGTCAAATTCAATTTTTTAAGAGAATAATCTGTTGGGATTATTGGTTAGAGAATGCCTGAAGTAGAACTTAACTTACTGACAGCTTCCCTACATTAGAGTGCGCATATAGCTGATTTATAACAAATAAAGTCAAGAGGAAAATAGAATCTGTTCATTCACCCATAGACTGGTTATTTCAGAAATTTTAACGTTAAATTTTTCTAAATTTAATTCGCTTTTGCGACAAAATAGAAACGCAACTTCATGGACCAATCGAAGGCAAACGTTAGATAGTTTTCCTCATCAATTATTCTTAGTTTACTTCAGAAAGTGGAGCCACTGATCACTTAACTATTTACGCAATAAGTATAACTAAAAAACCTATAGAGACTAAAATGTGCTCTGGATTCAAAATTACGACCAGAACAGGCTGGCTGGATTCAGCATGTACAAATCATGTGCAAATCAAATTGCAACGCTACGCGAAGCATCATCATAGAACACAGCATACAATTCCAGTCAACTCGATCTTCACCTCAACTTCATCAATTTTGAAAAGACCTTCGACATAAACCTTTATCAACCTGATTGAACACCAGCTATATGCTATATGCTATATGATGAGACTACATGCCAAGTGATTCACAATGGAAAGATGAGTGATGTCTTTGAAGTGGAGTGAAGTGAAGTGAAGACAGGGGATAGAAGTAAGACACGGTTGCCCCCTACTTTCACCCATCATCTTCCTGATTGTGGTCTACTCGATTGGACTCGACTGGACTGAACTGGATTGGACTGACTGGATTATGCAAGAAGCTGTGAGAAGATGGGCATATGCTGTTTGATCGATGAAAAGACAAAGACTCTAGGAGATTTGGATTTTGCCAGTGATGATGATTGTTGTTTGATGTCTTATAGCACGAACTCGAAGATCTGCAGTCGAAAACTAACAAGTTGGTAGAAGAGGCGAAGGGAGGCGAGGTAGCGAAGGAAGATGGGACTTCCTTCAGTTGAGCTTAGAGAAGACAGAGGTGGTGAAGATACCCAACCAACAACAACAAGAATCGCAAATCAGAATCAACGAGAGAAACCTAAAGCAAATTGTCTCGTTTACCTGTCTAGGCAGGGCAGCATCATTTCAACTACAAGCGGTGGCGGCGGCACAGATGATAATGTCAAAGACAGGATTGGAAAGACAGTAAGACAGGCCTTCCTTCGTTATCCTGAAATCAGTGTGGAGATCTACTGCTCTGCACTCAGCATGAAGCGTGAACAAGATCGGGATTTTCAACACTGAGTCAGTCAAGTGAGTCAGTGTTTCTATGTGATGATTGAGAGACTTTGCATGTAACCAAAAGCATTTCCAATGAACTACAGACATCATACATGAACATCTGCCACCCACGCTCACTGGATGCTGAAGATCAGATTAGATGGCCAGAATAATAAGAATAAGGAATAAGGAACTCTGGTTGGCTGGCTGGCTGGCTGGCTGTCAACGAACCAACCAACCAACAACCTATCTTCCAACAAATTTGCAGGTGAAGAAAGTGGAGATGGATTGGATTGAACATACACTGAGAGGACGGTTAGGGTTAGTTGTCCTATTCTCCTTTCCTAGATTTTTTTTGATGTCAAAGTGAAAACAGAACTTCTTCATGATTGAATAATATCTTGCGAATAGTAATAACTGTAACAGAATCTTCAATTATTTTTTTGAAATGTAATTAATTTGCATTACAATTAGAGCCATGTCTAGTTATCTGCCTTTTCTTTGGAGAAGGGAATTATACTTTTTTACACATAATAAAGTTGATAGCAATTTAATACAAAGTTATCTATTATGAAGATCCCTACAGTATTAATAACTGAAGTTTAAGGTGTACCTTCTTGTACATGATAACCAGTTGGAACACTTCTCCTTGTTACCTCTGTAAATAAAGAATAAGTTCCTGAAAAAATGACACCTACACTCTTTTTCTATCAAGATTTAGGACCTGAGATCTCCATTGGCTACGATATACCGACCTGTTTTTGATTTGATCCGCTTATTTATTCATTTATGTAAATCTCTTATTCAAAATCACTTTTCTAGTGGGAAACTATAGTACTTTAAGAAACAGATTTAGGTTTCCTACAAGCAATGGTTCCATATCATTTTATTTGCTGTTCAGGATGAGCGTTTATGCCTTAGCCAGACTGATTGCAGTCTAATAAATTTGTGGTTTAGTGTTTTATGAAGTCGATAACCAATTTCCTGTTTTAATCTACTTGATGGGTGGCAGTAGGATCCAGCACGCGTGCTTCGTTTTATTTCTGGTTGATTTTACATGCATTCCAGTAAGTGGTGGCCTTTTCATTAGGACTCAAATCTCAATGCTCATTACTTCAAACCCTCAAGCGTTATCTTCTAGGCCACTGTGGCACGGAAGCCACCTCTTATGCAATGGGTACCGTAATCTATGGTTGCTATACTGCGTCGAGTTGCTCGACTTCTATTGGCAGATGAGCTCCTTCGTGGATTCCTCCATACTACCTGCTTACCCATCATGTTATATCTGCTTAGTGGCTGGCAGTGGAATCCAGGACGTGCGTTTTCTGTTTAGCTTTTCAGTGTTGTTTGCCATCGGATTCTGTGAAACTGCACGTCGTTCTTATTGATCAATCATTAATGAGTATGTATAGTGTAATAAAACGAATTTTTTGAGACAGTTGATGTATTTGCTGGATACATTTTGAGCAATCTAACCATGAATTTCCTTGTCAAATAATTTATATGAATAGTGAGAATAGAATGTGGTCATGATGGGCAGAGGAAGAGGAGATATGGAAGTAAGAATATGATGAAAGTAGAATACTGTTTTTACGCCACCTTTAATGTTAAATTGTGATAAAGATTATCAAAAAAGGTTTAGATTTTTAGAAAAGTTCTTTTGAATATACAAAGAAGGCTTAGACTCTCGTGTAGTTAAGAACTCAACAAACTTGAGCACCCGTTTCTCTGTAGGCAAAGGTGTAGAAGACAGAGGTGATGAAGATACCCAACAAAAACAACAACAAGCACTATCAACGGGAGAAATCTAAATGAAGTCGTCTCTTTCACCTACCACCTACCTAGGCAGCATCGTTCCAATCACAGACGACACAGGCACAGATGAAGATATCAAAGCCAGGATTGGGAAGACAGCATGACTGGCCTTGCTTCGTTAACTTGAAATCAGCGTGCAGATCTACTGCATTGCACTACACTACACCCAGCATGGAGCGTGAACGAAATCCGGATTTTCAACACTAAGTCAGTCTAGTCAGTGCTTTTGTGTGATGGTTTAGAGACTTGGTGTGTTAAGCAAAGCATTTCGAACAAACTACAGGCATTCATGAACAGCTGCCTATGCTCAATACTGAAGATCAGATCAGATTAGATGGCCAGAATGATCAGAATAAGGAACAAGGAACTCTGGTTGGCTGGCTGGCTGGTTGTGAACGAACCAACCAATCAAGAACCCATCGTTTGACAAATATGCATACGAGGATAGTGGAGATGGATTGAATTGGGCATGCGCTGAGCAGATCATTTGGGGACATTCCGCGTCAGGCCATGCCAGGCCATCGAGTGAAACCTAAAGCGGAAAGGGCGGATTGAGGGTGCGAGGTGAAGATGACATGGATTAGATTGTGTGAGGAGGAAACGAAAGCTTGTGGGCAGTCATGGAGCCAGGTTGAAAACACTGGAGAGAAGAGAATGAAATAGTGACGTGCAACTAAAGCCGTATGTTTCACTAGGAACCCAAGGGGCAAATAATAATAATTTGCCCGTGTATTTATCAAACTGATCAGGTGTGCTCATTTCTCCAGACATTTATTGGTATGTTTCACCGTCATCACTTGCATAGTTCAATTACTCTTCCCAATGTGTGTTCGAAAATAAGTATAAATTGATTCACGTGACAGGTTGTGATTTGATCATCAATGAAATGTTGACGTTTATGTTTGGGGCATCGGTTTTCTTCACTCGGTAATGGTAAATTTGACCACAGTATACGTATTAAATCAGCGAATAAATGAAATTATCATTGAAATAGTCAAAATTACACGTTATGTTCTATCAGTTATAACCGTTACGCGACAATCGTTTTTCAACCTTAGGACCGCAAGTTCGAACCCAATTCCACCTACTGGTGTATGATTAGTCAAACGAGATCACTAGTATTCGCTACTGAAAAAGCGTATTTCATATTCTGTTAAAGTATTCCTAAAAATAATATCACTGTAGTATATTTTAGCATTTTATATCTTCTCAACCAGAATATCTTTAGGCTAATGCCAGTGTTATTCGAATGGAGGTATTGTAGTGGGCGTTGCTGATAACAAAGGATGCAAGTAGTTTATATGGAGAGGGTGGCAGGAATCATAGGGAATTACCGGCATGGGTAGGGTTTCTGCCAAGAGCAACGCAAGGGACAACACAGGCGTATTACAGGGGATGGTGCTGATTTGTTCTTGCCTGTTATTTACCTCTGGTGACTCCACTACCGCTACTCCTGTACCCATTAGCTGTCTGGTCACCTTGGCCATTTCGCTGATGTCCATGGGCTGGGCTGCATTGACTTGTCGTAACTGGTGGGCAATGGCCTTCGGAACACTCTCAGTGAACTGTGCGGTCAGCAACTGTTGTTGGGCATCCTCATCCAATGTGGGAAGCGCTCGTCGAAGTAGTTTGGTCAACTTCACAGCCAACACCAGCGGATCTTCATCTACTCCCAGCGTCACGCTGCGGAACTGCCGCATCTGCTTTTCCCTGTATGCCGAGCTGTTGAACTCCACCTCCAGGCGCTTAACCATTCTCCGCCAAGTCTCCTTCCCGTCACCACGTTCCACTCCGTCATATGCTGCTTTCGCTCTGCCCCACAGCAACGTTCCCAGCACCACGACCTTCGCCTCCGGATCCCGAACCGCCACCAGCTCCGCTACCGCCTCGAAGTCCTTGAGGAAGATCTTGATGTCTCCATCCTTGGGATTTTCATCACGTCCAAAGGCAGCGACACCAACTGAAGAAACAGACGATAACTTTTTATCTAATACATAAAATATCTTTTGTTTTGATATATTTTTATGATCGTTATAAGTAGGAGAGACTAGAGTTAGTTGTATACATGGGTTATTCACTCTCAATATTTATGTATTACGCAAGAGAGATTATCATAGTAAGAATATTAAAACTAAATAACCATCATTTTAGTAGCCTATCATTGTATCAACTGAGTCAATTAGCTTATTACTACTTAGAATAAACATTAAGGTTCATCATTTATGACTAACTGAAATATTTCAATTCAAAATAAAGTTTTTACAAGTTTATAAATTTATTTCATATTCAATAAAGAGATTTATATATTTTTGAGATGAATGGGGATTTTTAAATTTAGTAGTAGTACTCATCATGGACTGACATCAGTTGGGGGAACCATTGAAAATCTGGGAGCACTGAACACCTAGCTGTTTCGTTCTAGTATGAATACTCCTTCTAAATTAAAAAATCCCCATTCATCTCAAAAATACATGACTGTACAGTGCTCATTAGTGACTTGCTTCCAAATGGATACCACGAAGCTCTAATGGGAAGCCATGACCTGTCGGGTCAACCAGTCGGAAGTGAAGTGGATGCTAACTGAAGACCTTGGGTGATAGTCACGCTATGTCGTGAATTGACAGAAGTTGGAAATTGTAAACCACTGGAAACCGACCAAGTGGCTGAATGATTAACGCGTTCATAGTGAAACCTGAAGGTCTTGAGTTCCATCCCTAGCCTGGTCGCGGGTGCGTACTGCTGAGGAGTTTCATACTAGGACGAAACAGCTGTCCAATGCTCCCAGATTTTCAATGGTTCCCCAACTGATGTCAGTCCATGGTGAATACTACTTCTAAAGAAATTTATATTTACATGGGTTTTTATATTTCTAGTATTCGATTTTATTTATCATGTTTGCCAGCAAATAGCAGAAACACAGATTAATGTTGGACTTGTAGAAGATAGTTTCAAAAACAATTACTTCTGTTTATATTAATGATGGTCAGTGGATAGCAGTAGAATCCAATATGCGCATTTCGTACTATTTCGGATTTGCCAGGTGGATATACCTGCCTCCCAGTGAGTGATGTTGTCCCCATCGGGATTCGGACTCGGGAGCAATCGCTCCAAACTCCAGAGCGTTATCCACTACATCACCGAGCCACGATAGCCACTTCTTGTGCGACAGGTATAGTTTTGGTATAATAATTGTTTTTATATTATACCGTCGTTGATTGGAGACAATTGATCAGTTTCTTTTGGTATATTGGCTCCTGCAACATCACTCACTGGGAAGCAGGTACATCCAACTGACGAGTCCTAAACAGGACGATATGTGCATCCTTGATTTCACTGCTAGCCACTATCCATCATTAATATAATTAGAACACAGGTAATGTCGAGGCTTCCGCTCAGAAGCCCATATCCCAGTGGAGACTGATCAATTCGATCCAATCAATGGCGGTATGATTTAAAAACAATTATACTAATTACTTCTGCTATCCATCATGAATGTCCACTTTCTCTTTAATGATGCATATTACAGGCAAGTTGATAGGATTCCCATGAGTTCATCATTAGGCACTAAATTAGCTAATTATTTTCCCTGCTCAACTTGAGAATATACCACTGAAAGATGTCATCGATAATCTGCATATGTATACACGTTATATTGACGGCACTTTCATTGTCCTTGATCAAAACGTCGACAAAAACGTATTGTTGAGAAAATTCAATGGCATGCATCCTTTTACTTTTACTTGGGAAGAAGAACAAGAAGATGTGCTACATTTTTCACATATCTTATTGATTAGAGGAGAAGATGGGTAATGATTGAAGGTGAGATGAAAATCTGGACCGCTGCCGGTGGTCGATGCTTCGAATCCGACCGCCGTCCAGATTTTCATCTCACCTTCAATCATCACCTAGTATATATATATATATATATATATATATATATATATATATATATATATATCCACCATGACTGGTTGATTGTTTCTTATGTATAAGAAAATTTATGTATATTAGCGTAGAGCTTGATGAGAGCTAATTGAAAAGAATATTATTCACGCTTTAATGTCTATTTTTGTTTGATTTCAGATCAGAAAAACATTGAGAGAACACATAAAGTTACTACAAATGATAATCTTCATTCAATTAAAAACTCAACAGTAAGTGTTTTTCTAAAATACCTCAACCTCCTGTTGTATATGACGATAATATAGACATTCTGTTGTAGACAAATGTTCATTTTATAAATGTAGAAGGATGGTGTACTTATGTGAACATTTTATAGAACAAACTTCAGTTCCTGGAGAATGAAAAATGTTATAAAATGATAGAATATTTATACTTATTATTCACTCTTATTATTATTATTATTTGTCCCTTGGGTTCCTAATGGAACATACGGCTTCAGTAGCACGTCTCCAGTGAACTCCGTTCTCTGAAATCTTTTCGACCTGGCTCCACGACAGCCCACAAGCTCTCATTTCCTCCTCTCACGATCTCCTCCATGTCACCCTCGGACGCCCAACTCATCGCTTCCCATGGAGGTTCCACTCGACGGCATGACTTGTGATGACCCCAATCGGCCTTCTCAGTGCATGCCTAATCCATCTTCACTTCCTTCTGCATATTTGTTGAGAGATGGGTTCTTGGTTGGTTCGTTCCCAGAGCTCCTTGTTGCTTATTCTGATTATTCTGGCCATCTGATCTTCAGTGTCGAGCCAGCGTAAGCAGTTGTTGATGAATGTCTGTAGTTTATTGGAAATCCCTTTCGTAACGCGCCAAGTCTCTGAACCATACCGAAGCACTGATTTGACGTTGGTGTCGAAAATCCGGATATTGTCCCACATGCTGAGTGCAGAAGATCTCCACACTGGTTTAAGGCTAATGAACGCCTGTCTTGCTTCTCCGATTCTGACTTTGACCTCCTCGTCTTTGCCTGTGCCACCTGTAGTTGAAACAGTGCTGCCTTTAGGTTTCTCCCGTTGATGGTGATTGTAGTTTGTTGTTGTTGGTTGGGCATCTTCATCACCTCTGTCTTCTCTATATTCACTTGAAGTCCCGTCTTCGCCGCTCTACCTCTTCTGCCAACTTGTTGGTTTTCGCCTGTAGATCTTCAAGTTTATGTGACATCAGGCACAAGTCATCGGCGAAATCCAAGTCTTCTAGGTTCTTTTCGTTAGTCCAGCGTATCCCCCTCTTCTCACAGCTCCGCACTGTTTGCTGCATGATCCAGTCCAGTTGACCACGATCAGGAATATCATGGGGGATAGTAGGCAACCTTGTTTCACTCCTCCCTGTCTTCACTTCAAAAGCATCACTGAGCTGAGCCTCCCATTGTCAATTACCTGGCATGTGGTGTCTTGATGTAGTTGTTAAGTGAGACTGACAAGCGTTTGCGGTATTCCGTAGTAGTGAAGCAGTTTCCAAATTACCTCTCGGTCGACGCTGTCAAAGGCCTTCTCAAAGTCGATGAAGTTGAGGTAGAGGGTTGACTGCCATTCTATACTCTGTTCAATGATGATGGGAAGCGTTGCAATTTGGTCGGCACATGATTTGTACTTCCTGAAGCCTGCCTGTTCCGGTCGTAGTTTTGAATCCAGCTCATCCTTTAGTCTCTCCAGGATGATGCGGTTTAATATTTTGCTTTTGGTTTTGCTTTGGGCGGACAGGAGCATGATTCCACGCCAGTTCTTGCAAAGACTTAGTTCTCCCTTCTTCGGGAGTTTGACAATGTAGCCCTCCTTCCAATTAACCTGCAGGTACCTTCCCTTCTTTCCTTCTAAACCTTCTGCAATAGTGGTGTGAGCATGTCCGCTGTTGTCTCTGCGTCTGTTCTCAGTGCTTCTGGCGGTATCCCATCCGGTCCTGCTGTTTTCCTGCATTTCAGTAGCTTTATGGAGTTCAGGACATCCACTTTTGTTGGAGGATTTATGTTCATTTGTAGTTCTGTGGCTAGGCTGCAGGTGGTATTTGTGGATGAAGTGCAGGTGGTGGTCGATTCAAGAGCTTCTTGAAGTGGTCGGCCCATTGTTCCCTTTGTTTTTCTTCTTCGTTAGTATGATTTCTTTCATCATCTACTTTTGGTTTCATCTGTGTTGATCTTCCCCCTCCCAGATAGTAACATAGTTATTTGATACAATGTTGTCTGGTCTCTCCTACCAGCCGGAAGCCTGTTCTGCTACACTTGCCAGTGTGTCTTAAAAGTGTCTTTTTTCTTTCCGTGCACTCTTCTTCACTTCTTTGTCCAGTGTTTTATACATTGTACTCAGATCCTTTTCTCGTTGTGCATCCTTGCACTGGTTTATCTTCTGCTTCACCATCTTCCTCTCCCTGCTTGATCAGCTTCTATGTGTCCATTGAGGTCCATTCCTTATCTTCTTTCTTCTTCCTTCCTAATACGGTTGTTCATGTTTCTTCCCACATCTCTTTCAAAGACTTCTAGTGTTCTTCCACACAGGTTTCTTCAGGGATGTTCCTCGATATCTCCCATTTTTTCTTGATGGCTGCCGTGAAGATTTCCTTTGTAGTTTCGTCCTTCAGTTTTCGAGTGTTGGACTTGAACTGTGGTCTATCACCAGCTTCCTTGAAGGCTTTTAATTTGATTTGGAAGGTTCCTTGCACTAGATAGTGGTGTGAACCTACATCTGCTCCCCTTCTTGACCTTGTGTCATGTAGGCTGCGTCTCCACTTTCTTCATATTGAGATGAAGTCGATCTGAATTTTAGTGTGTCCTGGTGTCTGGTAGAATCCATGTCGCTTTGTGGATATCCTTGTGCCTGAACACACTGCCTCCAATCACCAAATCGTTGAATGCGCAGAATTCTGCAAACAATTCTCCGTTCTCATTCATTTCACCTAGCGCCTCTCGACCCATGGTTAGTTCTCTTCCCGTGTTGTCCCCTCCCAGTTTGGCATTCATGTCGCCCATCAGAATTTTGATATCGGTAACTGAGGTGGTGTCTTGTCCAGTACTGATTGAAGTTGTCTGTAGAATTCCTCCTTTTTCTCTTGATCTGCATTATTTGTAGGTGCATAGCATTGTATGATTATGACCTTCCTTCCTTCCTTTTGAGTTGAACCTTGCTGTGATGATAGTGATGCTGGAGGAGTTTGGTTCCCACTGCATGAGAGAGAGAGCCTTCGATGGTGTTAGGGACATCATGACCACCAATCCAAAATTCAGTGTGCTCGTGGTTGTCGTCTATATGACAATGTCGGAGTAGATTATTGATTCTCCAGTTAACAGTTTGGAGAGTCCACTTCGATTCCATCTGCTTTCGTAAATTCATAGCACTTCTATACCATACCTTCTCATTTTTTCGGCAATCTGGGCAGCCTTGCTGAGTTCAAACAAAGTGCGGACATTCCATGTCCCCACGTTTACTCTCGCTTTCATTGAGAGGAGAGAAGACACATCGGCCAATTGGCTTGCCGAAGACTTTCACCAACCGGCGTGATTTCGCCTCTCCGATTCCAGTGAGGAATAATTTTGTTTTTATTTTTTTATTTTTTTTGTGCTTTGAAGTTTCTTTAGCGGTTGGATTTGTTTTACGGGTTAGGGTTGCTAGCCCTATGCCCAAACTTCCCTTTTTACCCGGGCTTAGAACCGGCTAGTAAGTAGAGAACTAGTTAACCAGGCGAGGTTAGAATGTTTATACTTGAGAGGTTATATTAAGTGAAAAATATGTCTATATTTAAACAGCGTAATGAGAAGATGAAGATTATCTGAAACGTGATGTATTAGCGCTATACATGTCGAACAATCTGATTACACATGGACTTGTCGAGCTATTGATATGAAAATTTACGAAAAGGGTCAATCAACTTAATAGGAAACATAGGAATAGGAAGGCTAGAGAAAAAACAAAATCTTCAGTCACGTTACTCTAGGTATGAAAATTAAAATCAGTACTATCAAGGTAGGTTCAATGTGAGTACCAATTGTTTTTATATACGTTATTATTACTATTATTTGTCCCTTGGTTTCCAAATGGGACAAAGAGCTTCAGTAGCGCGTCACCGTTTCACTCTATTCTCTGCAGTCTTTTGAACCTCTCTCTACAACTGCCCAAAAGCTTTCATTTCTTTCTCATATGATTTCCTCCATGTCACCCTTGCCTCAGACGCCTAACTCGTCGTTTCCCGTCGAGAGCGTGATGCGTGATGTCCCCGAATGATCTTCTCAGTGAATGCTTAATCCATCTACACTTTCTTCTGCCTATTGGTTGGGCGATGGGTTCTTGGTTGGCTTGTTGGCAGAGTTTCTTGTTGTTTATTCTTTCTGGCCATCTGATCTGATCTTCAGTATCGAGTAGGTGTAGGCAGCTATTGATGTGTAATTTCTGTAGTTTGTTGCAAATGCCTTTCGTGACGCGCCAAGTTTCTGAATCATATAGAAGCATTGACTAGACATTAGTATTGAAAATCCGGATCTTGTTCTTTGTGCTTGTATACATAAAGGAGGTTTGAATTTACGGTTGGCAAGACCTTTAATAAATTTGAGCATTCGGCTATGACCACTTTTATGTAGTGCTTTAAAGGCTGTTTTTGTGTCTTTCCTTTAAGTTAGTTTCTAGTACATCTTTAGCTATACACGAAGATGGATGTTTGTCACTGGCACTTATCACATCTGTTGAGGTTATTTGTTTTTGCAGCCACTTAGGTACATGTTCAACCTTCTTTAGCTGCATCATATCACGATTACTCCTCCCTGTGTATATGTGTCCACTTATACATATAAATTGATAAGCGTAGTGGAATGTGACGTAATCGTTTATATGTTGTTTTGGTTTGTGCTGTAAAATGGTCTTTATCTTCTCTACAATGATGACCTTGTCTGCATAATATGTATTACAGATGGCCGATCTAAGTCTTTTCCTCACAAGAAATCTATGCGAATCACCTCTAAATGGTAATGAGATGTAGACATTTTTCTTAGCAACGGAACACTGTGTACTTTTCAATGGTACATAACTGTCGATAAATTTCATCGGGTGGCCATTCTGTATCAATTTTGTCGTCAGTAAGTTGGTCACTTCCTCCTTGGTGTCATCGGTGCAGATGCGGTTTGTCCTGTTGAATAAACTGTAAGTAAACCACGTCTATATTGGACTGGGCAATAGCTATGGAAATTAAGATATTGCCCTATCCATGTAAGTTTCCTGTAGGTTGACCTCCTGATCAAGCCATCCTCCCGTCGATTCAGCAACATGTCCACAAGTAAGGCCGTGTTCATATTCTCTAACAGCCACTTCGCATCATCAGGCTTTTGACATATAATGACTATACGATAGACGTATCTATCATAAAGTGAAACCCTTCCAATGAGATCGTCAGCCATGTTTTCAATATATGACATGTAACAGTCTTAATGGACTACACATCGCAACGCGATCAATCTGTTGAAAGTGCTCACCTTTGAATGTGAATTCAACTTTATCAGTACATAATAATAATAATCAATCTTTTAAAAAATTAAGGGGGATAGGGAATATAAGACTGTTAGAAGAAATATAATCACATAAAATATCAATTGTTATTATCAGATCTAGATCAGTAAAGAAAGAATTTACATTGACCCTTTTGTAAATTTTCATGTAAATAGATAGGCAAGTTCATGTGTGATCAGATTGTTCGAAAGGTGTACCCTAATACATTACATGTTTCAGATAATCTTCATCTTCTCATTACGCTATTTAAATTTTTAGAAAGAAGACATCGATATTTATAATTTTGTGGATGATCTTAACTTTTTAGGGCTTTCGTCATTAACTTTCTTTTAATCTTCATGTCTTACTAAGAACTAAAAGTGAGATTGGGAAATTCGTGATACAATTACTAAGCTTACTGTGTGTTTCATAGAGATTTAAGAAAACGGAGTAATTTTTGACCATTTGTTTGGTAGCAAGTAGTAGTGGGACTTAAGAGGTACGCTTCGTCTCATTTAGGACACCAAACTGTTCATTCATCCAATTGGTTTTTGTATGAATGTAGGACGACCGCTGACATTCAAAAAATGAGATTAAGGTCTGACCATAGGTGTTACTATCCGGAAAGAGATCAACGAAGACGAAACAAATGAAAAATAGTTAAGGAAAACTAGTTACCAGAGAGGAGAAACAAAGGAAACAATGGGCTGGCCACTTCAAAATCTCTTGAATCGACCACCACCTGCAACTCATCCGGAAATGCCACCAGCAGCGGCAGAATTACAAGTGAACACAGGCCCTCCGACAAAGGCAGAAGTCCTGTATGCCATAAAGTTGCTGAAATTCGGGAAAGCAGCAAGATCAGATGGAATTCCACCAGAAGCAATAAAAACAGATGCAAAGACATCAGTATACATGCTCACACCGCTATTGCAAAAGGTTTAGAAGGAAGGAAGGAAAGGTCCCGCAGATTAATTGGAAGAAGGGCTACCTTGTCAAACTCCCAACGAAGGGGGATACCTAAGCCTTTTCAAGAACTGGTGAGCAGCCATGCTCCTGTCCACCCGAAGCAAAATATTAAACCGCATCATCCTGGAGAGGCTAAAAGATGCACTGCATTCAAAACTATGTCCGGAACATACTGGCTGGATTCAGCAAGTACAAATCATGTGCGAATCAAATTGCAACGCTACGTAACGCATCATCATAGAACACAGCATAGAATTCCAGTCAACTCGATCTTTACCTCAACTTCATCAACTTTGAAAAGACCTTCGACAGCGTCGACGGAAAAGTAATTTGGTAAACAGCTGCTTCAACACTACAGTTCTAGTGCCACAAACCTTTATCAACCTGATTGAACACCAGCTATATGTTATATGATGAGGCTACATGCCAAGTGATTCACAATGGAAAGCTCAGCCACGCATTTGAAGTGAAGACAGGAGTAAGACAAGGCTGCCGCCTTCCATCACCCATCATCTTCCTGATTGTCGTCCACTGGACTCCATCATGCAGCAAACTGTGAGGAGCGAGATGATGGGCATACACTGTTTCAACGATAAAAAGACAAAAACTCTAGAACATTTGGATTTTGCCAGTGATCATGATTCTCGTCTAATGTCTTGTAGCACAAACTCAAACATCTACAGGCAGAAACTAACAAGTTGACAGAACAGGCGAACAGGCAAAACGGGACTTCAAGTGAATGTACACAAGACACAGGTGATGACGATACCCAACCAACCAACAGCAGCGTCAACAACAACCACCAATCACCATCAACGGAGGAACTTAAAGCATGTACCTTCCCTCACCTATCTAGACAGCATCGCTTAAACTACAGGTGGCACAGACGAGGATGTACAAACCAGGATCACAAAGACAGCAAGACAGGCGTCCACTAATCGGAAATCAGTGTGGAGATATACTGCACTGCACTCAGCATAAAGCGTGAACAACATCCGCATTTTCAACACTAAGTTAGTCAAGTGACTCAGTGTTTCTATGTGATGGTTGAGAGACTTTGAGCGTCACGAAAAGCATTTCCAACAAACTGCAGACATCACAGATCATCAACAGCTACCTACGCTCGATACTGAAGATCAGATCAGATGGCCCGAAAGAATTAGCAACAAGGAAGTCTCGGAGCGAACCAACCAACAACCTGTCACCGAATAAATATGCAGGTGAAGAAAGTGGAGATGGATTGGATTCGACATACACTGAGGAAATCATTCGGGGACATCACGCGCCAGGCCAGACCCTTGAGTGGAATCCAAAGGGGAAACGACGAGTTGGGCATCCGAGGCGTGGGTGATATGGAAGAGATCATGTGAGGAAGAAGTGAAAGCTAAGGGGCAGTCCTGGCGCCAGATGAAGAAGACCTCAGAGATCAGAGTGTAATGGAGGCGTGCTACTGAAGTCCTATGCTTCACTGAGAACCCAAGGGAAAAATGATTATGATCATAATAGGTGTTACTGTTGCATTACGCACATGTAGTCGAATCGAAGTATGATCAATATTGAAATTAAGCTTTGAGTATGTCATATATTCCGAACGGATATAATACGCACGCTTAATTGATAGATAACTTCGTATGCAACAGCCACTAACTGCAACCCGGGACGAACAGAAAAGAACGAAGTAGGTGGATGGGAGAATTTATCCATCCGAGTATAATAATCAATTTATTAATTCAGGTATGAAGTGAGTTTGTGTGCACATGAAATGTGACCTTGTCCGCAAATTCAGACATTGACATAGTAAGAGTAAGAATTAACCAATCAGCGAATTACATTACAATGAGGGCAGAAAATAAACTACTCATGTTCAGACCATAACAGTGTTTTATGTAAAACTGGGGCTTTACAATAGAGTACGAAGATAGAAAGTCGATGAGACTGTGAAACTTGAGCGGCTGAGAACGTGTGTTATACATGCTACTTCACCACCTATCTTGATCCGTGAGGCTACGCAGCGTAGGATTAAAGTATAAAAAGTTAAGCCTTTTCAAGACCATGATGTTTTTGACTGTTGTTTTGACCCCATATAAAGAAGTGAAGGCAACTTGAATAGATGATACAAATCAACAGTTGAGTATTCTTTTTAATATGGTTCCAAATTGGTGGTATAGACGTAGGCACTCTTTATCATCTCCAAAATCTCAGTTACTGATTTTTTTTCTCTCTTGCACTTTCGTCTGCATTATTACGATACTTTTCTTATTCACTTCGTTTTACATGCTACTATGGAGTATAGGAAGTTAAAGTGATGCACTTCTTTACATGGGTGTATATTGATAAGTCGGTTTGTGTAGACTCTACAACTGGTTATAGATGTATCCTCCTATATGTTATCATTCCAACTGGACTCAAATCCTAACCCCTTTTTACATTAAACTTCTGAAAGTTAAGCACTAGATAACTGAGCGATTATCTCATGAACTAATTCAGTGATATTTTCAAAGTTTACATTGTTTACCAGTAGCTGATCTTCATAAGTTATGATTCCAGTGTGGTCTATATCTCATTCTATTCTATTCTATTTATAATCATATTACATAACTGAAATTATTAAAATATATGCTAATTTTTTCAGTTATAAATATAATCTGGAATTCATGCAAATAAACATTTTTCTCCCCTGGTGTATATATCTACTAATTATTCCTGTATATTTTTACAGGGTAGTAAACAAGATTTCGTGATGAATATGTTTTCAACGTCTATATTGAATACTGATCACACTGTATTGGATACAATATTATGCATATCAGAAGGAAAACAATTAAAAATACCAAATAATTATCATAGCAAAAAATTGTTAACATCAAAATGCATTGCTAAATTACAAGATGATTCAAATGTTGTAGTTGAACATTCTTATTTAGTTGTACGTTTACCCTGGTGTCATTCAGGCATTGAACAGTCACCAATAGATAATAAGATTCAATCACGCTTAGATCAGTTTCATTCAAATGTTACCTGGTTAAGTGGATCATGCCCACAATATGCATTTAATATTCGGTCTCAATGTTCATTGAATAAGGTAAATATAGTTATATTTCTTTATGTCTATAGGAACGATAATTTACATGAACTTCTGTGTGTAAATGAAAGAAAAGCAGTTTAGCTTTCTAGTTTTATTTTATTTTTGTATTATTTGTACCTCGGGTTCCTAGTGGAACATAGGGCTTCAGTAGCACATCTTCATTTCAGTCTCTTCCCTGCAATCTTTTCAACGGCTGTCCATTACTTTCACTTCATCCTCACACAATCTCCTCCATATCACCCATACCTCAGACACCCAACTCATCACTCCCCCTCTGAGTTCCACATGATGGCTAGTTCGTTGACAGCCCAGCCAGCGAGAGTTCTTTCTACCTTATGCTTCCTCGTCATCTGATTTGATCTTCAGCATCGAGTGGCGTAGGTGGCAGATGTTCATGTATGATATAATGTCTGCAGTTTTTTGGAAATGCTTTTCGTAACACGCAAAGTCTCTCAACCATCACATAGAAACACTGACTCACTTGCCTGACTTAGTGTTGAAAATGAGGATGTTTTTCATGCTTTATGCTGAGTGCCGTGCAGCGTAGTGCAGTGATCTCCACACTGATTTCAGATTAATGCAGCAAAGCCCATCTTGCGTTTCCGATCCTGGCTAGTTTGCTAGTTCACCAATCGCTTAAGAAACTTGAAGCACAGAGAAATATAAAACTAAACTTATTCCTTGCTGGAATCGGGGAGACAAAATGACGCTGGTTGGTGAAAGCCAGGTTTCTAGTCCTAAATGCTAATTGAAAATTGTTGATTGTGTACATGATCTATTCCTATTCGACTTAGTTGTGCTTTAACTAACTTATTGGTAAAATATTAAACTTTAGGATTTGGCGATTTAGCTTCAAATTCTGTTGGGAACATGAATTCTGGTAATAATTCTTGTAATTCTTACCGGAGTTTAGCAGAATATCTTGCTAATCGACACTTATAGTTTCATAGTTTTGTCCATGAGTTCAGCTTCTTCGGTTAATCATGGAAGTTAGGTAACGTAAATGCTGTCAGAACAACACATCAACAGATAAGCCACACAAATTTCAGGTACTGCTCATATAGTTCAATAAAAATCACTTGGTCATTTTAAAATTTTAATATTATTGCAACGGTTTTATTTTTGGTAGTATTATACCTTGAAAGGGCCGATGTTTACTAAAACTTAAGTTAGTATGTAGGGCAGTGAAGAAGTATTCAATGATACAAATTAATATTCAATATTATTATGTACCTGCACCCAATGATGCTGTTCCCACTGAGACTCGAACCTCGCACCCATCGCTACAATCGACGAGGCGTTATCCACTATCCCACTGTTTCTGGAATGGAATCGCTCAAAGATCCTTTCTCGTTGAACTCTCTATTCTTTTCTCATATCTGGATAAGTGTCTTCCTGACTGCGGTCGACCGGACTGGAATGGAGCTGTGAGAAGATGGACATACGCTGTTTGACAGATGAAAAGACCCCAGATGAAGATTTTGCTTTCATCGAAGACGATTTATGTCTAATGTCTCACAAACTCGCAGATCTGCACTCGAAAACTAACAAGCTGTCAGAAGAGGCGAGGTGAGGCAGTGAAGGAAGACGGGACTTCCTTCAGGTGAACGTAGAGAAGCCACAGGTGATGAAGATACCCAACCAAGAACAAGAATCACAAATCACCATCAACGGGAGAAATCTAAAGCAAATTGTCTCTTTCGCCTGCCTACATAGGCAGCATCGTCTCAACTACAGCCAGTGGTACAGATGTGGACGTTAGAGACAGGATTCTAAAGACAGGAAGATAGGCCTTGATGCATTAATCTGAAATCAGTGTGGAGATCACTGCACTACGCTGCACGGCACTCAGCATAAAGCATGAAAAACATCCTCATTTTCAACACTAAGTCAGGCAAGTGAGTCAGTGTTTCTATGTGATGGTTGAGAGACTTTGCGTGTTACGAAAAGCATTTCCAAAAAACTGCAGACATTATATCATACATGAACATCTGCCACCTACGCCCACTCGATGCTGAAGATCAAATCAGATGACGAGGAAGCATAAGGTAGAAAGAACTCTCGCTGGCTGGGCTGTCAACGAACTAACCAACCAAGAAGCTATCTCTCAACAAATATGCAGGTGAAGAAAGTGGAGATGGATTGGATTGGGCATGCACTGAGAAGACCATTCGGGGACATCACGCACCAGGCCAGGCCAAGCCATCATGTGGAACTCAGAGGGGAGTGACGAGTTGGGTGTCTGAGGTATGGGTGATATGGAGGAGATTGTGTGAGGAAGAAATGAAAGGTAATGGGCAGTCGTGGAGTCAGGTTGAAAGGACTGGAGTGAAAAGAGTCAAGTGGTGATGCGCTACTGAAGCCATATATTCCACTAGGAACCCAAAGCACAAATAATAATTATTATAATAGTGATAGTTGAAGGAGGTTATCTGGGCAAAATTTGGAAAAATGTTTCATATGGATTATTAGTCCTTAAACTTGATTTCTTGTGTGAACATCATTCTGGATTACATTTTCTAATGAGGTTACGTTAATTACGCCTATGTGATTACTGTAATAACTTCTGTTCTTAATAGTCTGCATACGGCTGCGTAATGAAGAATTGTTTCACACTTCTTTACTAGTAGTTCTCTACAAAATGGAGAATCGCACTTCTCAACAGTCGTGGACAAGGACCAGTATACGAAGAGGCATATTAGTCATTCAATTGAAATCAAACAGTGAAACTGAGTCAAGGTATCCAGATGAACCTAATTCAAAAGTCACATAAAGCATTTAATTATTTTGAACTTATAATAAAAATAAAGATGATGATAGAAGCAACAGAATACGAATAGTTACACTGAATCATTTCAGTTTCACTTTAACAGAGTATTCTTTCTATTAAAATACGATTAGTTTTTTAATAACCCACGTAGGTGTGTAACTCACTGGCGTGTACGCTCGTTTGTCCAGTGATTAATTCTAGGTTCAAATCCTATCTCACTTTACTCTGGCCAATCATGTACGTAACTATATTAATTGTGTTTCATATTCTAGAACATGAGGTTGGGGGGGGGGGCACGTCTCTGTCAAATAAAACTAAACCGACAACCTATGTAAATCCTTATAGTAACACGTAAATATTTTTTCCCATCTTCTTTCTTGATGTTTATATACACATCAATTTTTTTTCTTCTCCCTTCATTATTTATTAGGAATCATTCCTTCGACTGATCAAGTCATCTATTGTTTTAGAAGTTTGGTCTAAATCGATGAGTGGTTCACCTGATCACTTAATTGGCCTTGTGAAAATACCTACAGACATTATTGTAAAGTTGTATGCTCATTTCGATTTGAATTGTTCACAAGTATATTGGCATTCAAATAGTGTTATACAAAGTCTACTGAAGGCAAATGTGAGTTGTTGATTTAGACTATCTTGGTTGTTATTATTATTATGATCCAAGGAATATGCCTAACGAACCAACCAAGAACCTATCGCTCAACAAATATGCAGACGAGGAGAGTGGAGATGGATTGAATTGGGTATACACTGAGCAGATCATTTTGGAGACATCACTCCAGCCCCTCGAGTGAAACCCGAAAGGGAAACAACGATTTGGGTGTCTGAGGCAAGTATCACATGGAGGATATTGTGTGAAGAAAAAGTGAAGGCTTTTGGGCAGTCGTGGAGCGAGTTTGAGAAGACTGGAGAGAAGAGAGTGAAAATTCGACGTGCTTCTGAAGCCATATATTCTACTAGGAACCCAAAGGACAAATAATAAATGGGTACCTCCATGAGATGCATTTCGTATATGTCTCGATTTACTATTCTATTTGAATGTTTCAGTCACATATGTTTAAGAGCTTCCATTCATATAGGAAAAGTATAAAGTGGCAGGTCATTTCAGTGGTTATGTTACATTGTTTCTTTCTAGCCGTAACACTTGCTAGCTAACATGCTGTAATGATATGCATTCGACTGAACACTTAACTGAATTGCGGGAACTGATTTTTGACAGGTGGATAAGTTTGATCATAGTGAGTCATCTTCATCATCATATAAACCAGTAACGTTTCTGTAAGCTGAGATGATTGTCAAAAGGTCTAACTACTGATTTTAAGAGTGTTTGAGCATATTTCCTAATTTAGCTGTATAGGTAACCATTATAGCGACAAGAAGCGTGACTGACATAATAATACGACGCATTTTTCGACAGTATGCAGTTAATCAGAACAGCAAGACAGTATGCATCAAATAAATTAGAGTAAAATTTCTCTCCACTTTTGAGATATCTTAGTCATCCTGTTATTAAAACGAGTGAATTTTCAGGCCCCAGACTAGCAAGAGATAAAGCAAGCAATCAAATTTCTCTGTTCTATGAAAAATTATCTTCCCACCCAAGATGATGCAACCTGATTGGTTATTTTGACAGTTGTGTTAGGATGGCCTTTAAAGTCATCCATTAAATCGGTAAGTTTGGAACCAGTCAGTTTGAGTTTAGTATCATGTTTTCCTGTCATGTTGACGTCATATCAGGTGATAAGAAGAGGGCTGTCAGCAGGTCCTTTGGTTTCATACTTAGACTATACTATTCAAGCTATACCACAAAACTATGCAACAAGCGCACTGAATGGGTATCATAACTCAGTAGCCTATTGGATGAGATGTAGATATTCATGGTAGTGGGTTCTGATTTCGTTCATTTGGAGGCACGTACATCCTACTATCATATCCTAAGTGAGACGAAGTGTACGTCGTAGATCCTCACTCGTAGCTACCGTAAGTAATGACTATCTAATATGTCTTCAGTAATTAACCTGTCTCAGATATATACTATATTGTTTTCACCACCTCAGTTCATTTAACTTTCAGCAACAAAATGAGTGGCAAATTCTCAATAGTTACGATCTCTTTCATGGGACATAATGTAACCTAAATCGACTACCTAAAACAAACTGATTGCATTTAGCTCATAAAACTAAACTATGTGGGGTGGATTTGACGCTTCTAATATCTGGCTACAATTTTTGAGTTATTCTAAGGGGATATGTTATTTTATTATTATTATTATTAGTCCTTTGGGTTCCTAATGGAACATAGGGATTCAGTAGCACGTCTCGAGTGCACTCTCTTCTCTGAAATCTTTTCAACCTGGCTCCACGACAGCCCACAAGCTCTCATTTCCTCCTCACACCATCTCCTCCATGTCACCCTTGGACGTCCAACTCATCGCTTCCCATGGAGGTTCCACTCGAAGGCCTGACGCGTGATGTCCCCAGTCGGCCTTCTCAGTGTATGCCCAATCCATCTCCACTTCCTTCCACTGCATATTTGTTGAGAGATGGGTTTTCGGTTGGTTCGTTTCTAGAGTTCCTTGTTGCTTATTCTGATTATTCTGGCCATCTGATCTTCAGTTTACTTTCGCTTTCATCGAGAGAAGACACATCGGCCAATCGGCTTGCCGAAGACTTTCACCAACTGGCGTTATTTCGCCTCTCTGATTCCAGCGAGGAATAATTTTGTTTGTGCTTTGAGGTTTCTTTAGCGGTTAGATTTGTTTTACGGGGTAGGGTTGCTAGCCCTATGCCCAACCTTCCCTCTTTACCCGGGCTGAGAACCGGCTAGTAAGTAGAGAACTAGTTAACCAGGCGAGGTTAAAGGGATATGTTATGGACAGTGAATTTTATAATATATTTACATGTAAAGTATATGTAGCCTACTGTGAGCATCACCCGCCAGGCCCTCAAGTGGAATCCAAAGGGGAAATGACGAGTTGGGTGTTCGAGGCGAGGGTGACATGGAGGAGATCATATGAGGGATGTAGAAATGAAAGCTTGTGGGCAGTCGTGGCGCCAGATTCAAAAGATTTCAGAGAAAAGAGTCAAGTGGTGACGTGCTACTGAAGCTCTATGTTCCACTAGGAACCCATGGGAGAAATAATATAATAAGAATAAATTTCACATCAATGTACGTAATTAATCAAAGAAGAAATAATCGAATACTTATTACTTTTATTTTAAGCATCCAATGATTCCTATCGATTCATGGTTATCTATTATCGATCCATTTTCTGGTTTTGAATGTGGTCAACTTCATGTTCTCTTAGCCGCTGGTACTCATGAACAAATCAATATTTTTCTATCATCGAGAAACTTGAAATGTAGTATTGACAATACTTATACAACATTGAATCAACATACAGAAAAAATGTCTAATTTAATTAAAGATATAGATTATCATTCATCTGTTGATTTTACAGGTAAATTTCTTATTTGATTACATGAAATATTTAGGATTCATTAGATTAGACATCACAACAATATTTTAACATTGAGTTATACGTTTTTTTTCTTCTGTTATTGTATATAGAGCTGTAATTGAACTGCAATAAAGAAAGTGTTCATTCTAGGTGATGTATAGATCTAAAGGAAGTGAATTTCTCTATGTGGATTAGTTGTTATATGAATTGCTCACTGAGTTACCCAGGTTCAAATTACCAAGAACATATCAGTCTCTATATGGCCGTGAATATATCATGTCTATGGGGGTTAAAAAAAAAAAAGCTAAAACTAGGGTTAGAGTTTTCTGTCAGTCAATGTTTGATATATATCACATTAAAATGAAGTGAATTAATTTCAAACTCTAAGAGATAATGAGTCTGAATGTCTACCTCAGCTAAGTTCTGTACTTTTCGGCCAACTTAGAGAAACAATCACAAACACTTCACTACTAGGGTCTTAATTCATCTTTATGGGATTAGGAGTGTCACAATCTAAGATGAAGTCAATTAAACTGTTAGTAAGTGTGAGCAGTGTTTTTAGGATAACACAGTATCCCAGCATACTTTCTCGATTGTTTAATTGATTAGGAAGCGAAACATAATTCAAGTTGATATTCACCATGGACTGATATACCTTAGAGGAACATTTGAAACCTGGGAGCACTGGACAGCTCTTTCACCCTACTAGGAGACTCTTCAGCAGTGTGCACCTATCACCCTACCAGTGCTTGAACCCAGGGCCTTCAGGTTCGGTGACCAGCACGTTACTATTGAACCACTTGGTCGGGACCGAATGGTCCATATCTCTAACTTCTGTCAGTTCACAATCCCTAGCGGGGTCATGGGTGCGCACTGCTAAGGAGTCTGAAACAGCTGTCCTTGTGCTCTCAGGTTTCCAATGCTCCTCTAACTAATGTCAGCCAATGATGAATACTAACCTGAAAAATATCACTTAATCACTACAAACCCCCCAAATTAGACATAATTGGATTTTATTTGTAGAGAATTGATTGATTTTTAGGCGGTTTTCATAGTGGGCTGAAATCAGGTGAGGAACCACTCAAAAGCCTAGTAGCACTTGAAAGTTGTTTAGGATTTGTCAACAGCACTAACCAATACCTCTAGGCTTGGTTCTTCACAGGTTCTTGAGTGCACGCTGCTGACAAGTGTTGGACAGATGCGAAACAGTGGTCCAGCGATAATTGCTTTTCAGTGACTCTTCAGTTTATTATGCATTGGCGTAAGAAGAAACCAAATGTTATAAATTATCAACAGATAATGAGTGAGGCTGAAAACAAAATCAGCAATCTTCAAATTTGGCTGAAATTCATGATCTCTGAAATTTAGGCGTCATTATCTCAGATTAAAAGATCAAACTGACAAGTACAGACGTTTTCATACGGTTTGATTTTATGCATGTCAGGAAATAAGGAAGGATCAGCATTATTTATTCCCTATTTGTTCTTTAACCAATTTGACTGTACAATCTATTTAAAAGCTGTTAATTCATTGTTTTGTTTATGTGTTGAATCAATACCTCTTTTTTCACTCTTGGAAATACACTAGTGGAACATAGAATTGGTATAACTATTGAACAATTAAGAGAATTCGATCCTCACATTCCACTTCAACACGATCCAAACTATGATGGAGCTGTTCCATGGGGTGATTTAGATTGTTTTGTTCAATATTTCTTTCCCGTTGGTAAGTATACATTTGGACTTCTGTCCATTTTTAAGGTTAATACATATATTAGTATAATTGCCTGTATTATACTGTCGTTGATTGGACCAAATTGATCGGTCTGTATTGGCATATAGGCTCCTATGCGGATCCCTCGGTATTATCTGTGTTCTAATTATATATAGTAATGATAGATATAAGCAATTTTACTAAAACTATACTCGTCGCACAATAAGTGGCTATCGTAGCTCGGTGGTGTAGTAGATAACGCTCTGAGGTTTGAAGCGATCGCTCCCGAGTCGGAATCCCGATAGAAATAACACCACTCATTGGGAGACAGGTACATCCAGTTGGCGAGTCCTAAATAGTACAAAATGACCATCCTGGATTCCACTGCTAGCCAATATTCGTCATAATTATATTAATGGATATATGTTTACTTTAAATACTACTACTGGATACGATATTTTCATTTCAAAGGTGTTAGTTAATTTGCCCACATAAACTATTGAACTCGTTAAATAACATAAATAAACGTCTACCTGAACATTTAATAACAATACTGGACATTAGTAAAGTAAATACTTTTTCCCAAGACTGTATACAAGGATTTGTTTCATTATCTGTATAGAGGGGGAGATACAGAGGAAAATGGAAATGAGGTCAGCTATATTTTCTATGATTTTCAATGCTTATGTTTCAAATAATTTTGTACCAACAGAATAATATTGTTTTGTAACTGTCTTATTAAGCTTTCTGGTTATCCATCCGATTATAACTCCATACCAAGATTCTAAGACAACTGGCATTCAACCGAAAAGTATTCCAATTTCTTAATAGTCTGATGATATTGCAGATCATTTCATTATTTCCTTATAATTCAAATGTATGTTGAGGAAATGGAGGATATGTTTGTTAATGAATCTTCTGGTATTTAGTTCAATCGATGACTCATTATGTGATTTCTAGATCTCGTACAGGTGATGTTTGATCATTGAGATGCATAAGAAGTTGTAGTCCCACGAAAATCCAACAGTTAGGTTAATTTGCTCAAGTAAACATATTTGTTTGCCGCTGTAACAGTATTGTTTTTTCTATCTATCTACGTGTTGTAACTACTAACAAGAATCGGTGCCTGGGCTTGATGTTAATGTAATTATGTTTTGGCTACCTTAAAACTAAACACATTGGTTATTTTAGAATCATGAAATTGGATAAGACCAAATGAAAAACCCTCAAATTGGTTAACTTTACTTGTTGCCAACATTGTGCAAATGTATAAACTAAATGAGAAACTTCATAACGAGTATCAGTGAGTCAGCATAATCACCTATGTACAAAAATAATGATAAACCTAAGGTAGCTATCATTTGATCGTCAAGTAATATATAAAATTGATGTTAGCAGCAGCTGGTCAATAGATTTTGATCAAGTCTATTATCAACATTATTCACTGTCTGAATTTCTTTACTCGAGTTTCACTTTTTATCATCACTAATGAATTCAAAAACATACGCTTGATAAATATCATAGCATCTTCTTTGGCAAGAATAATTTATTACTCAGGCGAAAGTCAACGCATTTTCTTTGTCACAGTTATAATATTGAAAACATTTGTTTCCCGATACAAATTTAAAACAAGCAACAAGTGTAAAAAAAAGCAGGATTTAATGAATTCATAAATATCAGTAGTACTCGTCAGCTGTATACTCTGTATACTTGATTATATAAACTGTTAAGCAATGGAAAAGAGCATACATACATACACATATAACGTAGACTGAGACAGATCTAGGTGTAACAATGTTGTGATGCCCCAGTTTTGTATAAAACATTGTTATCGATCCGAACATTTTAATGCGCCATTTCCATACCATTTTCTTTACAGCATGACTAATAGTCTATTTTCTGCCCTCATTTGTAATGTAAGTTGCTGATTGGTTAATCTTTACTCTTATAATGCAAATGTCTCAAATTGCAGACAAGGTCATCTTCCACGTGCGTACATATTCACGTAATTTGTATTGATTCATTGTTATTATATTATATTCTCGGAGTAGTACACTCTCCGATCTGCCAGCTTCGGTCTTCTCTCTATTCGTCTCGGGGTCGCAGCCAGTGTCTCTTGCGTACCAAGTTAGCTGTCAGCTAAGCGTGCTTATTATATTCTTTTCGGAATATATACATATACCATTAGCGCCTCGAACCCATAACAAGCAACAGAAGTGAATAGTTTTTACAGGTCAGATGGTAATCCGGACGATAGAAATGGATATTCAAAATTGTTGACATAGGGATGAGAATTGAATCGACTGAGCGTTGATGACGCCATTGAAAACAAGACAATAAGAGAACAAGGTGTATATTGAGGTGAATAATAATGATAACATTGGTAATAGGAATAGTTTAATTAGACGAAACAAATCAGGGAAGGAAAACAAAATATGAGATGAGTGATAGTTAATAGTGAAGAGTAAAGTATGATTAGACAATGTTATAATTATTGCCATGGCAGATTCAGGCTGACTACCGTTTCCTTCTGGATGCAGAGGTTTGGTTTGACAACTCGAATAGTGCAGGCTTCTACATATCCAAGCAACTTCTTATTTTGCTGTTTATTGATAACCTTATAGGTATGAATATCATATCCATAGTTCATTAGGTGCTTGGTTATCGAGCTCCTCAGGGTCTTCTCTTCGGCATGCTTCAACCATTTCGGTATGTGCTCAACCATTCGGGTGGACAGACGCCTCTCCGTACGACCAATGTATTTGCTTCGTCAGGTACATTCGAATTGGTATATGCATTTAGATGTATCGTGGACTGCTGCAATACCCTTTTGGTGGTGCTGAGAAGAACCGGTTTAGCTGCGTAGTAAGTCCTTCTGATAGACTTCTCCAGTCTTCGTCTAACTACCTCTAGCACGTCTTCACCTTTGAATGGCAAGGTGACATAGGCTGGTTTCTTCTGCACTGTTGGGGCCGTTGTTCTGCTCCTTACCCACTTTGCGTGCTTGTTGAAAAAGCTTTCTGGGTACCCATTATTCACCAGCACGCTTTTCAAAGTCCCTATTTCGTAGTCTAATGTGTGTTGGCTCTATTACACAGCGTTCTAACTACATTCACATTGTATCGGATCGGAACAAAGCTCCTAAAATGAAGGTGTTGTCCTGTCCAAGAAGGTTTCCTATAGATGGACCTTTCTATAGATCCATCGATTCTTTTCACTAGTGAGACATCTAAGAAACTAATCATATTATTTTCCTCGTGCTCAATCGTAGAAGTCAGGTTTAGGTGACATGAATTGAAGCTCTTCAGTAGTGCTTATGCCTCCGCTTTACTGTTGCATACAATGAATATGTCGTTCATGTAGCTCTGGTACAGTTCCGTCTGACCAATGAGGCTCTTCAAGCTACTGAAATTTATGAATTCATTAAATCCTGCTTTTTTCATACTTGTTGCTTGTTTTACAGTTATAATACTTTTTTTATCCAATCGATAGTTTCTGTTGTTTTCTCAGAGTGTTACCAATCATGTTGTGTATTCTGTCTTTTCAAATTGAGTAGTACCAATTGGTAATTACATCAAATAAGTCATAATCACTTAACAATCAATGTGTTGCATTGCCTTCTTTGTATATCCTTCGGTGATTTCGTTATTATTTTTATCTGTAGTTAGAAATGTAGCTATGTTGTGGCATAAAATGTTATTTTGATACTACAAGTAGAATATCTCATTTTTCAGCATGATTGATTGGCTGGATGATGTATTCAAACAATTGAATTGAAAACAATATTAAGAAAAGACTGAAATACATAAATCCTATTTTTTATAGCGAGTGAAACCAGTGTTCTGGCTGAATATGTTTCGTTCGTTCTCATAAATTATGCACGAGACATAATTATTTATCGTTATTAATTGTCCCTTGGGTTCCTAGTGGAACATAGGGCTTCAGTAGCTCAAAGCCATTTCACTCTCTTCTCTGTAGTCTTTTATTAAACTGAGTCCATGACTGCCCACAAGCTTTCATTTCTCCTTCACACCATCTCCTCCATTTCAACCTTGCTTCAGATTCCCAACTCGTTTCTCCTTTGGCTTCCACTCGATGGCCTGGCCTGATGCGTGATGTCCCCTAATGGTCTTCTCAGTGTATGCCCAATTCAATCCATCTCCGCTTTCTTCTTCTGCATATTTGTTGGGTGATAGTTTCTTGGTTGGTTGTTTCGTTGACAGCCAGCCAGCCAACCAGAGTTCCTTGTTCCTTATTCTTATTATTCTCTTCATCTGATCTGATCTTCAGTATGTAGTGAGGGTAGGCGACGGCAGCTGTTCGTGTATGATGTCTGTAGTTTGTTCAAAATGCTTTTCGTAACTCTCCAAGTCCCTGAACCATATAGAAGCAAGTAGTGACTTGACTGACTTAGTGTTGAAAATGAGGATGTTGTTCACGCTTTATGCTGAGTGCGTGGGAGTGGAGTAGATCATCTCCACACTGATTTTAGAATAATGGAGGAAAACCTATCTTGCTGTCTTTTCAATCCTGGCTTTGACTCGGTCATCTGTGCCGCCTGAAGTAGTTGAGACGATGCTGCCTAAGTAGGTGAAGGCAAAAGAGACAACTTCCTTCATATTCCTCCTGTTGGTAGTGATTAGTGCTTGCCTGGTTAACTAGTACATTAGTTACAAGCCGGTCCTTAAGCCCGGATAAAGAGGGAAGTTTGGGCATCGTGCTAGCAACCCCAACCCTACCCCGTGAAACCAATCCAATGGCTAAAGAAACTTCGAAGCACAAAGAAAATATAAAAAAAATAAAGATAAACTTATTCGTCGTTGGAATCGGGCAGACGGAATGACGCCAGTTGGTTAAAGCCTTCAGGAAGCCCACTGGTCGTTGTGTCTTCTCTCGATGAAAGCGAAATTAAGCGTGGGAACATGGAATGTCTACACTATATTTGAAGCTAGCACGAAAGATAAGGGGGTCTTTATTAGCGTTTAATTCTATGCAACGAAAATCGCACTGAAACCCCAACCGAAAGTAAATATCTTAAAATGAGAGATTATCCTGAAAATAAAGAATACACCTTAATACGATGTCTCTAAATAAAATTCAGTAAATGGGGAAATTTCGTCAAAGCGAAAACTTTATACAATTGTTGATGACGTCAGTAATAAGAAAGATACTATGTAATAGTAGTGAAATTATTGGATACCTGTTTTGTCCAGTTTGAGACTCGTTAGCTGTATGTACCTACATCTCTGTAAGTTATCATCCTCCCAACAAGAACTGAACCCCAGCGCCCATCGCTTCAAATGCCAAGTACTCTCCACTAAATTATATGGAACGGGTATTAGTTGTTGTTGTTTATAGATAACTTTAATTTCCTGTTGCTATGCTGAGTCGAATTGCTCAACGTCTTTTGGCAAAGTAAACTACAATATGACAAGTATTCAGGCAATATCAAGGCATTCACATAAGAGCCCATCTAGCCATTCGACCGAGTATAGCAACGGGAAATCGCAAGTGTGAATCAACTGCTTTTGTTAATTTTCCACTAAACACCTCTAAATTTTTTCACTGTTAGTATATGGCTAATGGTCTACATTTATCGGTAGGAATTTATCGACTGTCTACTGACCTTCATATTCCCTCTGATCCTTTGGTATTTGAAGGTCAATTGATAATTATTCGATTTTGATCTTGGTTAGGGTCTTATAAAGCCATGATTAACTGTTTTGTTCAGTTTGTGATTTTTGGGCCTGAATATTGGACTAACATTTCAAATTTTTGGTTTCACTCAGTTGGTTTGTGGAGTAATCACTATTAGATTACTAGTGTTAAAGTTGTAAATTAAACCACTAGTTCGGTTACACAATCTAATGTACAGTTTAAATATGCAACATTAATGGGTATTTATATTTACGGTCGTTACTGTTACGACAGTAACATTCCATTACGGTTCCTAAGGAAATCTTAACCATGAATCTAGAATTCAGGGGAGACAGCACAACCGAAGTGTTGAGAGACCGTCTGTCAAGGTGTATCAATAGTAGCTTCTATGCTTCCAGACTGATATTGATATTCTACAACCGCCGACTGATTCGACAATGCATGAAGGATAGGCTTCCACTTATCTCTACATATATATGTATATATATCTACAAACTCACATACTGTTATGAAGCTGACTATATTAGACGTTGTAAGCGGGCCCTCCGAAAACGTGTTGCTGAACATTACCCGGTTTGGTTTACCAGAAGTGAGCAAAAGAAAACGACTTCTTCCATATGTAAACACCTAGTACAATTAGGTCATTCAGCACCTCAAGATTCATCCTTAAAAGTAAATTGAACTACTCCAAAGGTTAACGTTTCCACCACTTATGCATAGGTGAAGCATTAGCTATACATGAACAAAAACCGAAACTTTGCATTCAAAAACGTTTAGTGAAACCACTTTTTCTATCTTAGCTTTAACAATTCATTTTGGTTATTCTGTCATTTTCATTTCACTTCACTTCACTCTGGTATACTTCTCTTTCACTGCCATCATTATCACCAATTTTCACTTCATTGACAACATTTGATCCATGTTTCACTCTTTAATATAATCAATTCATCCCTTATTCATTGACCTATTTTGCATGTTTCAGCTAAATTGTCACCGTTTTTACAATTTTTTTGACAGCACATGCCTCTTATCTCACCAATTGTTATCAGTTAGTTCCTCCTTATTCAATGACCCATCTTCTATGTGTTCCACTTGAACAAATACCAACACCTACACCTACTGTATATTTTGCATATTCATATGGTAATTATTTGGTGCAATTATCTGTCGCTTTAGTGAGTATAAATACGACTGTATAAGCTTGATAATGAAGTCGTTGAAAAGAGGTATTTCTTCTTAGCTAATACATGTCTTCTTCTTATTCAAGAAATAAATGGATATATTTCGTCAATTCTAACTGTTATATATTCGACGGGCGGATATAATACTCACGCTTAACCGACAGCTAACTTCGTACACAAAAGCCACCCACTGCAACCCGGGAAGAATAGAGAGAAGACCGAAGTTGGACGATGAGATAGTTTATTCCTCCGAGAATATAAAAACAATAATCAATCCCCAAAAGCGTGAATATCTATAAATATGAATATGACCTTGTCCCCAATTTGAGACATTGACATAGTAAGAGTAGGAATTAACCAATCAGGGAACTATATTACAAATGGGGCAGAAAATAAACTATTAGTCATGCTGTAAAAATGGTGTGAAAATGACAAGTTAAAAATATTCGGATCGATAACAATTTTTATGCAAAAGTAGGACCTCACAACACCAACTTAATAGAACCTTGGATTCGTTAAATATTGTAATTTCGTTCTAGGCCATAGGTGGACGTATACTACTTGTTGACTGTCATCAAGTACCAAGCTACTCTCTAATTTGAACTCTGTATGTGAGTTGACTTGGCTAATTACTTCAAAAAACTGAGTGGACAATACAGGATAAATCAATAGACTTTAACTAGGTTTGTACGAGTCTCGATAAAAACTTAGTCAACAAATTTCAATGTGTATTCCAACTCTTTCATAACCACTTTATCTCGCATACACTAATTGATTGTTTAAACTTTATTTGCTTTATGTAGACTAATTGATTTTAAGGGAGTTGTGGAGATTTGGAAGTATTTCAAGTTGTCATTCGTGGTAGACTGACATCAGTTGGAGGAACAAAGAAAACCTGGGAGCACTGGACATCTGTTTCGCCCTAGTGTGGGACTCGTCAGCAATTCGCACCCACGACCCCGCCAGGGGTCGAACTCCAGACCTTCAGGTTCTGTGGCCAGCGCGTTACCATTATGCCACTGGGTTGAAATCCAATGATCCATATTTCCAACTTCTGTTAGCTCGCGATATGCGCAACCGCCACCGAGTGTCATCGTTGAGTAACTGATTGATTGATTTTAAATTATTTTTATCACTGATTGGCATCAGTTGGAGAAGTATTCAAAATCCGATAGCACTGGATACCTATCTCATCCTGGTTTGCAGTGTGTACTCACAAACGCATGGGATACTTAAACTATAACTGTTTGGCCTAATCCATCACATATTCTCATGGATAAGCACTTCTGATGATTCTTAGCACACGACGAAACAGTCATTCATTGTTCTTAACAATGATTGTCTAATTGATATCAATCTACAATATTTTTTAACGTTTCACTGGGTTTTTATTTTCTAGATACAGAAGCTAAATGTTTAGTAAGTTATCGTACATCTGTTCAAATGCTCAATAAACCAAGTAATAATAATAATCAAGGTGAAAAGCAATATACCTCTTGTGAGTTTATTTCTAATTATTCGTCAAATGAATGTGGACAATTATCCCCTAGATTAATGAAATCATCATCATATTGGAATCATATACATAAATTGTGCATGAATACAAGAATAACTCCGAGTGGAAAATGGAATGAAGATCATATGGAAGATTTGATGAAGAAAAAAATTGAAACAGATTTTATTCAATGGATTTTGGACATGTTAACTCGTGCAGATTTTAAAAGTAGTGAGTTATAAGTATATATAATGCTGACAACTCTTCTTTTTGTTCATTTCCAACCTAATGATTAAAGCGAACTCATGTTTATGATTGTAATTGATTTAGAACAAAAGATTTAGATCACCAAAAGTTACTGATCACTATTATTGTCTCTCCGATTTTCTATTAAGCGCCGCATGTACTGCACACCAGTCAACTCTGTTCTATTGCATAACTGTGAAACATGGCCATTGAAGGTGGAAGACATGAGAAGGCTTCAGGTGTTTGACCACCGTTACCTCCGTAGTATAGGCCACATTCCGTGGTGTCACCATGTGAGTAACGCAGAAGTCTGGTGTAGACTTTGAGGGAGAAGAGGTTAGTTGACAGGGTTGTGAACCTTGATCGACTGAGATGGTTGGCTCCGACATGTGTTACGTATGCCTAGTCGCCGTCTGCCTCGTCACACAATGTTGGTCGAAGTAGTTTCAGGCTGGACAAAGGCCCGAGGTAGCCAGACCAAAACATGGCACCAATTTATGAAGTGTTTGACTGTTGGTTTAAGCCATGTTAGGCGATGCAGACTGGGTGGTTGGGGTCCGCAGGACAAGAGAAACCAGTGGTTGGAGACTGATTCTATGTGACATGGCTCAGAACCGATGTCTGTGGCGCAGATGTATATGCACATTATCCTCATCTTGACGCTATACCGAATCTCACCATTTTCTCATTATTCCTTTCTCTCTTTTAGTACTTTATGTTTCCTTTGGCTAAATTTCCTTTTCTTAATCTTCCGTTTCACTGCTGTTTTACTTGATGTACTGATATGAGGTGTGGCAACTGGGAGGGTTACGCAGTAATGCTTGGTCTCATGTTGATTTGGATGGATTGTCTCTAATAACCAAGTTATGCAATTATAATGAGCACTCAGAGATATTATGGTTTATTCTCTTGGTTTGTCTACCAAACGATTAAAAAAATTTCATATTCACCGTTCTTCAAAGAAAACACTTCTCAGAATATCATCTACAACTGTTGAGAACACATGAATAACATATGCTCGATCGTCTTCAATAAAGCTAAATATTTGAAACAACAAACAAGGGGATAAACATTTAATTGTCTTATCAGGTCTAACAGATCCACGGAAAGCTTTTTTTAAACTACAGGATAATTTGTTTGGTTAGCTAGCAGAGGAATCCAAGAGGCGCGTTTCATCTTTGATATGGTTTCGAACGCTAATAGTTATATATGTATATATATTCTGGAACGAATATAATACGCACACCTGGCTGACAGCTAATATAGTACGCAAGAGCCACTGACTGCAACCCCGGGAGAAGACCGAAGCTGGATGGTGAGAGGGTTTATTGCTCCGAGAATGTAATGATAAATCAATCCCAAATCACGTATGTACACACGTGAAAGATGACCTTGTCCTCAATTCGAGACATTTGCATTATAAGAGTAAAGATTAACCAATCAGCGATTTACATTACAAATGAGGGCAGAAAATAGACTACTAGTCATACTGTAGAGAAAATGTTGTGGGAATGACACATTAAAATGTTCAGATCAGTAAAAATGGGGCATCAAAACAATCCTATTCTTGAGACTCGTCAGCTGCATGTACCTGCACCCCAGTGAGCAATGTTGTTTCCTTTGAGACTCGAACCCCGTACTCATCTCTTGAAACACTAAGGCGTTGTCCACTATGCTATGGTGGCACAAAAGCCACTTCTTGTACAACGCGTAGTAGCTATTTCCATTTATTGGTATACTTGTAATTTTCTGTTGTTTCATTGGATCAAATTGTTCGACCTCTATTGGGATATGGGCTCCTATGCCAGCCACAACCAAACAAATTGTCATAATTACCATTCAGGCACTATCGAGGCATCCGCATAGGAGCCCATATTCCAATAGAGGTGGAACAATTTGATCTAATAAAACAATGGAGAATTGCAAGTATATCGATTTATATTAATAACTACATGATATTTCAGCTGCTTTCGGATAAGCTGTATGCAGTTTTGGAAAATGTAATTTACTATTCTTAAGCATAGATATAAAGCATGATATAACCACAAACATGAAGCGTTGTTATTAACTCAATACAACTATATCATTAATTGTTGGGAATTAGTAGTTTTAAACAACCGGGCTTAACTAGCAATAGCGTCAAAACAAGTGTATGGTAAGAATGACACAAACAAATGTAACTCAGAATTTAGACTCTATGAGGGTTTCGGTGTTATAAGTTGAATCATTCGAGGTAAACTACAGATAAGCTCTATGTCAAATAAACGAAGTATCCATCTCTTGTCTGGTCTGTCTCAATCTGACTAACGATAAGTACTTCTGATCAATCAAAGTTGTTTTTAACTAAATATATCAACCAGTAATGAAATACCATCCAGTTCTAATGATTGCATCCTCATTTCAATTTTTGAAGACTCTGTAGTTTGACATCCTTATGAAATCGAAGGTAAACACTACTGAAAACTGTTCTTCAAAACAGTCAAACTTTTGTTCTGTGGTATTTCTTTTTACCTTGAAGTCACCTTCAGCTTAACTAAGTATCTGTCACTGATGCCTAGTACGTTTGATAAATGAGAATTATTCTTCTCATTTTGATTTAAGCCATAGAGTAAGGGGTTATAAATGACCTAGAAATGGAAATATGCCTTTATAATGCATGAAAGCTTTCAGTGTTACCAGTTGTTACCTGTCTTCTGAGATTGAAAACTCTCTTAAGAATTTTTATATTTGTCAACTTTAATATCTAATTTCAAATATGTTTCTTTGTACCGCGTTTTACCTGTTGTGTTTTAAAAAAAATTTTTAGTTCTTCACGAGTTAACCATATGTTCATTTGTTGCTTTCATCTTTCTATGAACAGATAAATTAAATTTGAAACGTGGCTTATTGATAGAAATTTGGTTACGCATTTATTCACCAAATCTACATGATTGTTTAGCAGCTAGAGGATATATTTCAGAAGAATTGTTGTATAGTTTAGTTAACCAGGACAGATCAATGAATTCAAGAGAAAATGCTAATAATGATGAGCATAAACATCAATCCATACGGTTTTCAATTGATCTCTATGATGTGAATAGTAATGTTGGATGTTTAAATGGAAAGTTACAAATTAGTTTGGATTACTGGTATGTTTGATGCGTTATACAGATGTGATGATAGAGATTATTCTTTTTTGTTCCAACTACTAGGCTTTATTACTGTTTAGAGATATGCTTGTAATTCTCCATTGTTTCATTGGATTGAATTGTTCGACCTCTATGGGATAGGGGCTACTATGCGGATGCCTCGATATTGCCTGAATGGTAATTATGACAATTTCTTTGGTTGTGGCTTGTAGAAGAATCCAGGGTGCGCGTTTCACCCCATTTGGGACTGGTCAGTTGGATGTACCTGCACCCTTGTGAGTGGTGTTGTTCCCACTGAGACTCGAACCTTGTGCCCATCGCTTCAAACGCCAAGGTGTTCTCCGCTATGCCACGGTGGCACGATAGCTACCACGTGTATTATAATTATAATTATTTGTCCTGTTGGTTCCTACTGGAACATAGGGCTGCGGTAGCACAAAACCATTTCACTCTCTTCTCTGCAGTCTTTTCAGCCTGGCTCCATCACTGCCCAGAATCCTTCATTTCTCCCTCACATGATCTCCTCTATATCACCCTCACCTGGGACACTCAACTTGTCGTTCCCCCTTCGGATTCCACTCAACGACCTGGTTCGGCGCATGATGTCCCCGAATAATTTCCTGACTGTATGCCCAATCCAATCCATCTCCACTTTCTTTTGCATATTTGTTGGTTGGTTGGTTGGTTTGTTGACAGCCAGACAGCCAGCCAACCAGAGTTCCTTTTTGCTTATTCTTATGCTTTTTGTAACGCGCGAAGTCTCTCGATCATCACATAGGAGCACTGACTTACTTCACTAACATTATTGTTGGTAATCCGGATCTTGTTCACGCTTTATGCTTAGTGTAGTGTAATGCAGTAGATCTCCACACTGATTTCAGATCAATGAAGGAAGGCCTGTCTAGCTGTCTTTCCTATCCTGGCTTTGACATCCGGAGGAATGAGGATAGCAACGTTTAAATATGCTACTTAGTCCATAACACTAATTTATTTTCTGTTTTTTTTCAGTTATAACATTATCAACCAATCTGTAGAGTTTGACAAAACCAAGAGAAAATTACATAGTACTAATAAACAAATTGAGCTCTTATCAACTCCTTCAAAGCACCTGTCGAATACAGTTTTAATTCTTCCTAGTAAAACACAGTTTAATCATCGTATTCAAATCTACTTAGATGGAATAAGCGGACTGAAGTCATCCATGGTCGTCAAGAATCATTTCAATTCTTGTAAGAATTTTTCGTTTCATATACGTGTACACTGCTTATTGATTATACCTTCTTCATCATATACAGTGAATAATTCTTACTCAGGTGATCCATGTTATCATCTTCATGCCATTAAATCTGTTATCAGTTCACCTGTATATAATTCATTTCATGCAATGGAATTAAATTGTAAATTAGATGTTCAACTGCCTTCATCTTGGTTAATTGCCTATCAACATTATCATCATAATCAATCTATTACTGTAAATAACACTTCAAATAATTTTGAGCTCAGTTTAATAGAGGCAATTTTAAATGGAGATGAATTACAAATGGAACAGTATTCAAGTCCAATTACAAAACCATGTATTATGATTCAGGTGGATGTATGGTCACAGAAATATACAACAGAATCCTTTCATGAATGTAGTCAAAGTCAGGTCAATTTTTGGGGTAAGTCTTTTGAGGTACCATTATCAAGCTTATTGCATTGCATATATCTTTATTATCGGTCTAAAAACAACGAAGCACGGCACGGAAATAGATATTCCAGTCTCCATATTTAAAGAACTACTTCGGAAATGTACGATAAACACACAATTCCTTTTCAACAATGAACTCTACCGGCAATCTGATAGTGTTGCTATGGGGTCATCCGTTGGCCCGCTCATAGCAGATTTTTTTCTGGTAAAACTAAACTGTCCACTGAACGAAAGTATTAACCGTTGTGAATTATATTGTCGTTACGTGGATGATACCTTTATAGTTCTCAAAAGTGAGATTAATTGGAATGGCGTTTTCAATAAGTTCAATAGTGTTCATCCGCCAATCAACTTCACAATGGAAGAGGAGAAAAATGATACTTTCCCATTTCTTGATGTCCTGTTGGTAAGAAGGTTAGATGGAACTCTGAAACGAAATGTATATAGAAAACCAACATCAGCAGGTCAATACACGCGGTTGTTCCGTGCCATACTCTACCAATACAAAAGGAACCTGGTGAAATGCCTGGCATACCGTGCGACAGCTATTTGCTCAGATGATGCTATAAAGGAAGAGTACGCCACCATCTGTGATCTCCTTAGCAGGAATGGTTACCCAGACAAGCTTGCACCTAAGCATATGGATATTACGGGGTTAAGACAAGAACGCCAACAATTCCTAAGAGGCAAATCTTCTTGAAGCTGAAATTCAAGAGCGACATAGCCAGTTAGATCATGACGGCGAATAAGAAGTCTTGCAAAAAGCCTTCCTAGCCACTAAATTTTGTCCCGTCTTTTACAACCGCCCGATTCTAGGTGCAAGAAATAAAGACAAACTGCCTGATTCTGCCACTCCTATGTGCATTTATCAGCTCAACAGCTCCTGTGGAGCTAGCTGCATTGGGCGTACAACGAGCACCGTCCATAATGGCTGTGCAAGGGATAAATTAAAAGAATAAAGACCCATACTTGCACACCCAGTATAAATTGGATATCTAGTGGATACTGGAAAAGCATTTAAATTTACTCGTCACATTTCAATTAATTTCCCACATGGAATACGCATTCGCTTACTTCGCATATCAAAGGTGATTGCAACCTACCTTTACAAACCCTAACCTTTGTATTCAAAAGAAGTTTGTTCGACCACTTTCATTACCGTGGCCGTTAACATAATGTTACTTCTAGTATTACTTTGTACACCTATTCCCCTTCTTGTTTCTATCGGTATTCATTTGTTTTCTCATCATTATTGCGTAATCGCTTATTGTGGATGCCTGAATACATCAGTCCATTTACCTAATAATATGTGCTTCATATTTCCAATTCTAATAACTCTATTGATTATTTACATCTTAATTTCTAAAACATCATCATTTGATTGAATTGTAAAACTACGCATATTAGTGTAGAACCCAAGATGAAGATCTAATTGAGAAGGAATATATTTCTTCGCTCAGTCAGTCTTTTTCTAAATGGTAATTTTAGATTTTAGTCTCTGTTTTATCATGCTTCCAGTTGATGAGATATTATGGTACTCATGATACTTCGATTATTAAACTCTCAAAAATCTGTGCTATTGCGAACATCAAGAAGTCAGGTTGTAAGATATTTATCGACGGGTTTTTAATATTTTACTCCTTAAATTATGTTAAAACCGACTAATTGCTTTATGCTGCTATGTTGTGATCTTTTGAATTCATGTGTGTAATGATGCTTCCAGATTTTCACAGCATTATCGACTTTCTAGGATACCATAAAATAGTAAATTTAGTCTCTGTTAAAAAATATCGTTAACTCCTGAATATCGTGTAATAAATTTTACTGAAAATCTACTATTATAAAACACATCGTTCCAAAGATTGTAAACCTGCGTGAAAATTAGATAATTATAAAAGACATTCTAAACACTGGTGAAATAATTAATTGGGTTTCTTGATTAACGAAATACCTACCTTTCCAGCAAAAATAACAGAAACCTATTTTTGGTTGTATTGTGTTCTCTGAGCTGAGTTGTTTAATCGTCAAGTTTTCATCATCTTGCTAGACGACATCATCCACAGTACTAACTTCAGTATGAAGTGTACTGTCAGTATCTCTTCATGAATAAGTTAGCAGCTTGCTCTGATGAAGTGATTTGTGATTGGTTGTTTCCTTTGATTGATGTGTCATTGACTGACTATATAGATTTCCCTGTTGGCTGTTCCTCTGCTTCACCTCTCTTTGACCTTTGTGTTGTTTATCAATTATTCTTACTGGTTGATAGATTGGGTCTATATGTCTATGCATTTGTTGATTGCTGACTGACGTGAATGCTAAGCTTCTAGAGATTCTGTGATAATCTGTGTGTTTTGCCTCTCCGTGCAAAATGTCTACACTGTGGAAATTGAATTCATGTGTATAGTTGTAATCCAGGTGAATTGAGATGAGTGATGAAATGTAGTGGTGTTTAATAGCCAATTAGTGTTTGTGTAAACTAAGGCTTATTCAATCAGTTGTTAGAATAGCTCTTCATGTTACTCCGATGATTTTTCAACTACCCTGCAAATACCTATAATCTGAATGGTCTTTTATTGCAAGTTCATGGTGTAGAAATCTACAGGCTCGGACTTATTTGCACCTTCATGACATCAATCCCCTGGTGTCTTTGAGTTGCTGTCTGAGCTGTGTAAGGAAACATGGACTTCACGATTTAGGCACATATTCGCAACAGAACCGGATGGTTGAAGAGTCTAGGTGATGTTTCAGAATCTATCTTAGTGTCGTCGGTGCATCCACACACTATCTTTATCTTCTTCATCATACTGAATTTCATTAATGTTTAATATCTCTTTCTGCAACTATAAACACCTTTTGGTTGCGTTATTAATTGCTTCTCCTATCTCTTATCCTTTTACCTTGATGTGCTTGGATCATAAAGCAGAAATGCCAAGGTCTTGCGTTGATGCCGGATAAGTGATCAGTTCAAGTTATCAAACGATGAAAAACTACAACAATGCTAGAGGTGAACAAGCGTGATAACATTTTAAGTGAGGTATCAAATAAATGTTATGGAATTGAAATTTAAAGTGATATACATGCAACTGTTCAGGTTGGCTACAATTTAGTTTACTTGAGTAAAAGAATGGGGAGTGGCAGGTATAAGTAAGCAGCAATCGGAGCACTTCAGCCAATATTTAACTGTCATAATCAATAGCTGTGATGGATTGAACACACCTAGTCAGTAGGGTTGACAAAGTTATTCCATCTGAAAATGAGATTTCCTGTGTGAAAAGTGCTTATTTGCCTGTATCCCGACATTCTAATTAATATTTACACTTCTATGCTACTCTGATTGATATTACAATCTTATTGGTTGTCTTTGCAAATGCTACTGTATCTATGCTGCAGTTACTATGCTACCGTGATGACATAACTGTGAATGTAGTTATTTGTTATTACGTCTGAGCCTTAGCTGTTTTGATACACAATTACAGCTTAAGTTCCCTTTTACTTGAGTCTGAGAATTATAGTCTCGGTTATTACCAAATACGAATTTCAGCTCTAAAAAAAATCCATGATAAAGTTCATTTCAAATTTGATGGGGAACAGTTTTGACAAATAGATGGTGTGGCCATTGTAAGTCCGTTAGCGCCATTACTTGCTGATACTTACATGTTATATATTGAAGGCTTGACTGGTGACCTCATCAATAAAGTTACTCTCTATAAAGGATATGTTGATGATATAAATGTGATATGTGACAAGCTTCAAGGTGCAACATGTTTGTTAGAAAGACTTAACCCCATACAAAACATTATACACTTAGCATGTGGAGAAAGACGGCCGTTTACCATTCTTGTATATACTCCTATGTTGCAGGAAACCTACTTGTACACGTCAGTATTTAAGTTTACGTAAGTTTTTTCCAACTGAATACAAGCGAGATTCGATAATTTGTCTATTCAAAAGGACCTTCATCATATCTGTATCGAAGACTCAGTGGATGATGACACTAAAATAGTCCAAAATGGATATCCGCTCAAATTTATAAGCCGTTGTAAGAATCGGTAAGTGTTAAAATCTAGTCTGCACTCTGTTTCAAACACATGCGTTTATATCGCGTTACCATACAAAGAGGGATCTAACAGCGTAATTTGAAAACGAAGCCTATGGTCTTCCATTAGCAAAACATTCTATACAGACAGGTTAGCTTATTGTAGCTGAAACGACCAAACACATGTTGCAACATAGACCTCAACACTGTATAAACGATTGTTTCACATCCCATTGCATTTATCAATTTTCATATGTATTTGAACACACATTACAGAGGGAGGAATAATCGAGATATGCACTCAAGGGTGGGGAATATGTTAAAAAAATGGCTACAAAAGCATTAGGATTCGTTAACATCGATATTGAAAATGCGTTTACAATTTTGCATGGAAGCTGTCAGGGTGTATATTTAATCTTGTTAAAGCGCTAGCCGTACACAAGTTTAAGCCCCCATTATGTATTCAAAAACAGTTTATCTCCTATGCTAAACCTACCAGGGCAATGTATTCGAGTGTTTTCTTTTATTCTTTGATTATCTTTCTCATCATTGAATTCCTTTATATCATATTTGTCTTTCCTCCACTTCTAGTTTTCATGTACAAATTGACTTGATGAGTAAATGTGTGGGAGATCAGATTGTTCGAAATGCATAGTGGAAATACATCACATTTTTCAGATAATCTGTTGCTTCTAATTACATTATTCAACTTCATTAAAGGGATTAATTATTTCAAATAATAACAATAATAATTTCCAATATGCGTAAATAGTTCAGTAACAATCTTAGTGGATAATATCAAGACGTGAATGTATCAATGATTGTTATTCGCTTATAGCCCTTATTGAACATATAGTTAATACTGTCTATGCTCCAAACATCTCGGAATCAAGATTCATACACTTGGTTTCGTCATACGGTTTCCTCTTCTTACCTTTACTCATTTAGAGATGAAACTACTGCTCATTATGCGCATTTTTAATAATGATATGATATACCTATATACATATCAACTACAGGTTTTAATGCTCAGGAATTTTCTAAATTAAAATGTCTGGTTTCGTACCAAGGAAACAGAGTGACGTAGAACAATTCTTCTCCAGAAATAAATGATTTCTTTAGAACTATAAATTATGCGAAAATTTAATGAAAATTCAGACTGAAACTCTCAAACTGGATAAAGTATAAAATTATGTTGTAAAATAAGTAGTTGAACACGAAGTCGTTTACTATAGATGAACAAGTCCAAATAGTTGTACTTATCTGAGTTTCTCATTTTCCTTTCTCTGTCTTTATGACCACCATGATGTCTTAAGAAATATATGTTACTTTCAATGTTAAATCTCCAAAAGATATATCCTCCAATAGGGATGGGGATGTACTCGGATTAATCTTCCAAACAAATAGCATTACCATAAACTCAATATTTTGCTGGTTCATTAATTCGAGAAGCTAGTTTGCCAACAAAAGGAAATTAATTTTAATTATTTTTTCCAGAAAAGTGAACCCAAAACAACCAACTTATTCTTCGACAATAGCCAAATATCCAAATCAAAAGTTTATCTGAAATACGGTACTGTGTTCACAAATAATAAAAGTAACTTGTTAGTTGAAACCTCACACCGTTGAGTGTATGTTTGCTTTTCAACATTACAAGCAATCTACACAAATTGAATCGACTAAATAAACAGCTGAGCGGCACCCAAAGTTAACCTTGAATGAGAATATCCGGGTTAGTAAGGAAGACAGGCGAACGACAAATGAGAACACATTTCCGTAGTAGAAAAGATACTATGATCATAGGAAGTGAAAATGATGAACAAAATAAAGTTCTAACTGAATTGGATAAAGATGCAAAGTTATACTGTAAAACAATATGAGGTATACTACTTATCATTAGTGAGTAGTATGAAGCTGAATAGAGAAAGAGAAAAATGTCATCGTCAAAATGTGAAGAATAACTCGAATTAGGCAATTTTGACAAACTCGGTTCACTGAACTAAACAACAAATAATTTCAAGTAATGAATAGTTTTTTTTTAATCAGAAGAAACATAATATAAGTGAAGATATGATTACATCTGCGACACTTGAGAAAAAAATTGCAAATTGAATGCTTCTGTATTTATGCCATCTGTTTTGAAGCATGGGTTACATTTTTGACTGTTGAATTGTGCCTTCTAAGAAAAACATCATATAAGTGGTCAGACCATTTGCGTAAAAGAAACTAGAATACCTTGGTGTTCCATGTGAAGATTTATGTCGATTATTATTGACAGAATTGTGTTGGTTGAAGGTGAAAATGTTAATTTGGGCCATGGGAAGATTCGTACCAGAGACACAGTTGGGTGCTCAGCAACTAGGCCTCGTAGCTCAGTTGGTATAGGACCGGACCGGGAACCCAGAGATCATCGGTTCAAGTGCTGCTCGGACCCAAATTTTTTATTTCACCTGTAATCACCACCCAGTATTTGCGTAATATGTATCTAGTTTGACTGAATTCATTGCCTAAATCTCATCTGTCTTCCGTATTCTTTGTTGTCATCTTCAAAGTATGAATTAGGGTCTCAAAACGCTTCATATAAGGTATGATGATATAAGGTATGATTATTAAATCACCTTTTTGAACTGTATTTATAATTATTATTTGTCCCTTGGGTTCCTAGTAGAACATAAGGCTTCAGTAGCACAAAGACATTTCAATCTCTTCTTAGTAGTCGTCTATTAACCTGGCTCTGAAAACTGCCAATTACCTTTTATTTCTTCCTAACACCATCTCCTCCATGTCACCCTCGCCTCGGATGCCCAACTCGTCGTTTCCCCCTTGCATTCCACTCAAGGGTCTGGCCTGACGCGTGATGTCCCCGAATGATTTTCTCAGTGTATGTCGAATCCAATCCATCTCAACTTTCTTCACCTGCATATTTGTTGGGCGATGGGTTCTCGGCTGGTTGGTGGCCAGAGTTCCTTGTTCCTTATTCTTATTATTCTGGTGATCTGATCTAATCTGACCTGACCTTCAATATAAAGTGAGGGTAGGTGGCAGTTGTTGATGATGTGTGGTGTCTGCAGTTTGTTGGAAATGCTTTTCGTGATGCGCAAAGTCTCTCAACCATCACATAGAAACACTGAGTCACTTGACTGACTTAGTGTTGAAAATGCGGATGTTGTTCACGCTTTATGCTGAGTGCAGTGCAGTAGATCTCCACACTGATTTCCGATTAGTGGACGCCTGTCTTGCTGTCTTTGTGATCCTGGTTTGTACATCCTCGTCTGTGCCACCTGTAGTTTAAGCGATGCTGTCTAGATAGGTGAGGGAAGGTACATGCTTTAAGTTCCTCCCGTTGATGGTGATTGGTGGTTGTTGTTGACGCTGCTGTTGGTTTTTTTGGGTATCTTCATCACCTGTGTCTTGTGTACATTCACTTGAAGTCCCGTTTTGTCTGCCTCACCTCTTCTGTGTAGTTGTTAGTTTTTGCTTGTGGATGTTTGAGTTTGTGCTACAAGACATTAGACGAGAATCATGATCACTGGCGAAATCCAAATTATTATTATTATTATTATTATTTTATTATTATTATTATTACTATTATTATTATTATTATTATTATTATTATTATTATTAGTCACTTGGGTTCCTAGTGGAACATAGGGCTTCAGTAGCACGCCTCCAGTGACCTCTGTTCTCTGAGATCTTTTGGACCTGGTCCCACGACTGCCCACAAGCTCTCATTTCCTCCTCGCACGACCTCCTCCATGTCACCCTCGGACGTCCAACTCGTCGCTTCCCATGGGGATTCCACTCGAGGGCCTGGCGCGTGATATCCTCAGTCGGCCTTCTCAGTGCATGGCCAATCCATCTCCACTTCTTCCTGCATATTTGTTGCGAGATAAGTTCTTGGTTGGTTCGTTCCCAGAGTTCCTTGTTGCTTATTCTTTCTGGCAATCCATCTGATCTTCAGTATCGAGCCAGCGTAAGCAGTTGTTGATGGATGTCTGTAGTTTATTGCCTTTCGTGACACGCCAAGTCTCTCAACCATCACATAGAAGCACTGACTTGACTAAGTTGGTGTTGAAAATCCGTATCTTGTTCCGCATGCTGAGTGCAGAAGATCTTCACATTGGTTTCAGGCTAATGAACGCCTGTCTTGCTTTTCCGATTCTGACTTTGACATCCTCGTCTGTCCCGCCTGTAGTTGAAACAGTGCTTCCTAGATAGATGAAGGAGGTTACTTCCTTTAAGTTTCTCCCGTTGACGGTGATTGGAGTTTGTTGTTGTTGTTGATGGTGGTGGTGCGGTATCTTCATCACCTCTGTCTTCTCTCTATTCGCCTGAAGTCCCGTCTTCGCTGCCCTGCCTCTTCTATCAACTTGTTAGTTTTCGCCTGCAGATCTTCAAGTTTATGTGACATCAGACACAAGTCATCGTTGGCGAAATCCAAGTCTTCTAGGTTCTTTTCCGTCGTCCAGTATATCCCCCTCTTCTCACTGCCTACTGTTTGCTGCATGATCCAGTCGACCACAATCAGAAATATCATGGGGGATAGTAGGCGACCTTGTTTCACTCCTCCCTGTCTTCACTTCAAAAGTATCACTGAGCTTCCCATTGTGAATTACTTGGCATGTGGCATCTTCATATAGTTGTTGAATGAGGCGGATAAAGGTTTGCGGTACTCCGTAGTATTGAAGCAGTTTCCAAATTACTTCTCGGTCGACGCTGTCAAAGGCCTTCTCAAAGTCGATGAAGTTGAGGTAGAGAGCTGATTGCCATTCTATGCTCTGTTCTATGATGATGCGAAGGGTTGCAATTTGGTCGGCACATGATTTGTACTTCCTGAAGCCTGCCTGTTCCAAATGTTCTAGAGTTTTTGTCTTTTCGTCGTTGAAACAGTGTATGCCCATCTTCTCGCTCCTCACAGTTCGCTGCTTTATTCAGTCGTATCCAGTTGACTACATTCAGAAAGATCATTAGTGATAGTAGGGGGGAACCTTGTCTTGTCTTACTCCTGTCTTCACTTCAAATGCATCGCTGAGCTTTCCATTGTAAATCACTTGGCATGTGGCGTCTTCATATAGAGCTGTCTTTGAACTGTGGGTAACTGGCGAAATTCTCTTGTCATTGCATTATTTGATTTCATTAAAAGGGTTAAATGCATGAAAAGAAATATTAGGATTTCAAAGATTGGGCATAAATAAATAAAAAGGATAAAACAGGTGAGCATTTTATCTATCGTCAGTAAATTCTGCTATTGAATTTCATAGTTCTAAACAAATATAACTTGCATGTTAAAAATTGATACTCATCGCTGTCTTAAAAAGCATGACCCATTTCGTTTTTCAGTCTACTGCATATTATTCTGTTAGTTGATTTATTAAATGTATCATACAATGAAGCATTATTTTTATTATTATTCAGTCAATATTACTTTCTCATTGTCTAATATGTCTAAAAAATCAACTAAAATGAAACTACACTTTGTTTCAATGCGAATTTCTTCACATAATTAATTCTGCAAATGTTTTCAAAATAGTTTTCCTCATAGAGAATATGCTAGCGAACTGTTTGAAAACCAGGCTCATGAAACGACTAATTTGTTAGTTTCATACCTACGATCTTATGTTAGATCAAATCGTGGATTGTCTGACATTACAGTTAGCTTGTTATCATTCAGCCATTTATAGAGTCTTGTTTTGTGAAATGATAGAAGTTAGAGGCATGGAAAACTCGATTCAATGTTCACTTTTTTCACTAAGTTCATATGATTCCTGGCTTGAAATGATACAAGGTTATTAGTATACACTACTGATACATCCTGGGTCACATGGAACTCTTGTTTTAAATATGTTTTTTATTACCTTCCACAGGATTATATTACAGTGATTTTGAAAAGTATGATGAAAGCACTTCTTCAGCGCTTAATCCTGGTAAAGAATATCAACTTATCAACAGCAGTCGTATACCTTTATCTGGAGTCCTTTTTTCATCACGTGGTGTTATTACCCCACGCTGGTATCCATTGTGTTCATTTCTAAATAGAAGTGGTGATAGTTATTCAACACTTCCTTGGGAAAGTAAATTCAGTGGAGCAGTTCAATTGAGCATGAATTTGATGGATCCAAAGATGATCAAATTAATTCCATATAATACATCTGTAACAACAAGTATGGCTAATAATATACACAATTCATCTGCAATTCGTTGTCTACGTGAATGGAATATTTCATTCAGTGTTGAAAAGTTAGAAAATGGTCAAGCATCTGTTATAGCATTTAAGAATGAATTAGACTATTGGAGGGATAGTTCCGGTAAGTTATTATTATTATTATTTGTCCCTTGGGTTCCTAGTGGAACATAGCGCTTCAGTAGCACAAAGCCATTTCACTCTCTTCTCTATAGTCTTTTATTAACCTGGCTTCATGACTACCAATCACCTTTCATTTCTTCCTCACACGACCTTCTCCATGTCATCCTCACCTGAGACACCCAACTCGTCGTTTCCCATTTGGGTTCCACTCGATGGCCTGGTCTGGCGCGTAGTGTCCCTGAATGGTTTTCCTAATGTATGTCCATTCCAATCCATCTCCACTTTCTTTACCTGCATATTTGTTGGGTGATAGGCTGTTGGTTCGTCGCCAGCCAGCCAGCCAGCCAGCCAGAGTTCCTTATGGCTTATTCTTGTAATTCTCGTCATCTGATCTGCTCTGACCCTCGGTATGTAGTGAGGGTAGGCGGCAGCTGTTGATGATGTATGATATCTGTAGTTTGTTGAGAATGCTTTTCGTGACGCGCCAAGTTTCTGTACCATATAGAAGCAATGACTTGTGCTTTGAAGTTTCTGTTGTGGTCAGATTGGTTTTTCAAGATAGGGTTGTCAGACCTTCGCCAAAGCTTCCCTCTCTATCCGGGCCTAGGACTGGCTGGTAACTAGTGAACTACTTACTTAGGCGAGGTTAGTTCTAGTAAGTACGCATATTAAAGTAATATGTACATTGCTTACTAACTAGATGATATATAAAAACTGCGTTTATGTAAATGGTGTTGATAACGGTAGTTGTTAGAAATACTGTTTGACATGTGAACCTTAACGAAACAGCCTGTTAGGTGTGGAAATAAGAACTCAGTAACGTTTAGATTCTATAGCTTAGTGGCAGATACAGTATCAGGCTGACAACTTAGGAATTATTCTGCCACCAGGATTTTCTTTTGACTTCATGAAAATAAACTTATTTCTGCATATGTCATGTTTCTTTGGGGACCATAGTTCATGTGACTGTATGTCACAGAAACACTTCTAGGATTAGTTTTAGTTTGTTTCCTTGGAGGTACAAACGTTCATGCTGGTTATTTGTTTTCCTCGTCTACTCATCTAAACATCTTGTACCCTGACGATTGGTTCCATTATTCAGCTGTTTTATTGATATTTATTCATGCTTAGCTAAATGTCTGAGTAGACAGAGAACTGAAAATGCTTGGTCATCAAAGTGGTAAAGTTTGAGTAATCTATTTGGAATTCAAGTATAAATGGAGAATCCTAAGTATATCATTTGGTGGTTCGCCAATATGACAAACAATTTCGGAGTATCTTGTTAGCTGAAGACTCGATACGATCTGGAGGAACTGGACAGCTCGTTCACCTATGTTATGACATCTCAACAGTGCGCATCCATAACCTCATGTGAGATGAAGCTAATGAGTGTCAGGTATCATGCAGAGCACGATATCATCCACCCATTGAATTGGGATCCAGTGGTATTTTTTTAATCTATTGATTAGCGGTATATCATGACTTCGACTACTGATCATCACTGTGCCACTATGCCAGGAAGGTAAGTTGAAGAATGTAGTAACCACGGATAACTTATTTCACAATTTAACAACACAGTAATCCTTTTTGTGGAAGAAAACGGTTAGGTTATTGAATATCCCCTTTCCGTTATAGATTTTTGATAGGCTTCAGATCATGAATTTAAGAAAACTAAATGGATATCGAAATTTTCCAAATAGACCGTAGTTCACTGGTCTCAAGAAGCTGTCCTTTGGACTTTGTAGTCAAGTCTCAAGGTTCGGCAAGATCATCCGCACTCATCCACTTTGTTCTTAAAATGCATCACCACTAAGTAACTGCTTATAGTATTGCGACTAGGAAGTGTAAATCAACCACTTACTTTTTGGAATATTCAGATCGTTTCATAACCAGTTGTAGAAAAAGTGTTAAATTCACGTGTTTGATAACCTGACGATAACACGTATTGTTAAGTACCTATAGTGCACAGTTGGATACTTGAGTGTATTTACTTCTGTAAGCATTGCGAGACCCTGTACAATAATAAGTTGGTTCCATCTGTAACACATATTTGAGATTATCATTTGACTATCTGAGATAGTCGTAGTTTGGCAGACTGGTATTTATATTGGGTGATGATTGAAGGTGAAATGAAAATCTGGACCACCGGGCCGATTACCCGGTGGTTTCTGGTCCGAATCCGGCCGCGGTCAAGATTTTCATCTCACTTTCAATCATCACCCAATATAAATACTAGTCTGCCAAACTATGGCTATCTCAGATAGTCAAATGGTAATCAATATGATGCTCCCCTCTCTGATTCAATTAGATTTGAATTTAGATGAGAAGTTATGACTACGCAGGCAGTATAAATACGACCAAGCGGTAGTAACGCGTCACAAAGTCACAGGGTAGTCGGGCAAAACACTTGGTGATTGAAGTAAGATGAAATTCTGGTGAGCAGTCGGACCTCGTAGCTCAGTTGGTAGAGCATCGGACCTGAAACCCCGTGGTCGCTGGTCCGAGTCCGGCCGCGGTTCAAATGTTCACCTCACCTTCAGTCATCATCCATTATAAATATTTGAGATTGTAAATACGCAATGCAATAAAACCGACAGTTACTATTCGAACAGTAACATCTTTATTCGTCAAATAATGATTAATAGTTGGATCTACCACAAAGAATCATTGCAAATCATACCAACTTAATTCTTTGAGCATCAATTTCTGGTATTTCTAGAAACCTTGGAGTTTTGTTGACATATCAGTATGACTCCCATGACCAGTAAACGAGTAGACATCATTTGCGTTTGTTTATTTTTAGATAGAATATTAGTTGGAGGGCACGAATTTGTCATTAAAAATTGGTTGTCACAAATTATTTCTAATTTATTTCAAATCTTTTTATAGATGAAAATGGTTATCAGTACAAACATTTTACTATCTACCTTAACTTTGCACATCTTCCAAAAATAAAAGAATTAATCAAAGATACTACTGAATTGGATGGTGTATTTCATCAAAGTTATACTGTAGATGATCATTTCAAGCGTATGCTTTTGTACGCTTTCAATTCCCAAATTATGGTACTCAAATGTCTCAGTTAGTTTATCTACCAAATAGTGATCAGTCAGATAACAATAGATCTACTATTGTTGAGGTAAATATATTTACAAAACAAAATATTGTTCTATGCCTTACATTTGAAAAGTATAACGATTAGTTTTTACATGAATTCCACCTTGAAATGATCTTGTTGAACATTTGTAATTGGTGTGTGTTGTTGTATTGTCATTGTATATATATATATATATATATATATATATATATATATATATATATATATATATATATATATATATATAACGCTATTAAAAGATGAAGTTTCTCTGAACAATATGATGTATTTTCGTAATACATTTCGAACAATCTGATCTCCCACACATTTACTTGTCTCAAGTCAATTTATATATGAAAATGAAAGGTCAAATATAATGACTGTGAAAAGGTTGTGACATTAGTCTTGGTAATATAATCAGATTACCAAGGATTACCAGGGTAAATTAAGTGAAACAACAAATTGTTTTTGTAAGCACAGCGCGGGCTTAGGTTTACGAATGGCTAACGTTTCGGTAAACTTTAGTATACTCCCTGATTATTCCTGTGTATCTTGAAGTATCTTGAAGGCTGTTTTTATAAGAACCTTGTAATTCATTTCAATGATATGTTTTGCTACAGATGACGATGGATGTCTGTCACCTGCACTTGTTAATGTTTGTGTGTTAAATTGTTTTTCAAGCCATTTAGGTATGTGTTCACCCACCCTAGTTTTTACTGAACGATTACTCCTCCGCCACACATACACGTAAATTATGTGCGCTGACCCCGAAGCCTATAGTTTCCTCGGTCCCGAAGGAAGACATATTTCTTAAAGTACTATACAGAGGGGAAACGAGTAGTATGATATTGAAGCAGAGATGAAAATCTGTTGTCAGTAAAACATACTATGCAGCTCAGTTTATCATTGTTGAGACAACAAAACGCCTGCTTCGCCACAAACCTCAACCTCTCATAAATGATTATGTCACAGGTGTTTACCGATTTACATGCATGTGTGGCGGAGGAGTAATCGTTCAGTACAAACTAGGGTGGGTGAACACATACCTAAATGGCTTGAAAAACAATTTAACACACAAACATTAACAAGTGCAGGTGACAGACATCCATCGTCATCTGTAGCAAAACATATCATTGAAATGAATTACAAGGATCTTACAAAAACAGCCTTCAAGATACAAGATATACAGGAATAATAGGGTTATCGAAATCTATTGAAGGAACTAATTGTTTCAAACAAATGCATTAATTGGAAGTTGGAAAAAACGCTGAATGGATAGCCACATTATATTTTGTTGTGTGTGTGTGTGTGTGACTCATTAGTGTTGAAAATCTTGACAGTTCTAGGGTGGTATTTGCCGCTGAGGTGTAGAGGAAGTCATAGTCATGTGAACATTCTGAAGATATTCCATTTTAGTCTGTTTATTAGAAATATCACACAGTGAAACAGTAGCACTTACTGGATAACTTTTCGAACACAATTTATTGTCCATATTCATATCAGGTAACTCCAACTCCCAGACAGAGTTTGTATATTCCTAATTTTCTCTCCTTATCTGTGATGACAAGGGTAGTGGAATTTTCCATATATCTGGGACAGGTGCAGAATCATTTCTATTATTGCATATATTTGGCGTTTGTTGATTCGATAAACAAAGATTCAGTTATCAATCTCTCCCTCCCTCCACCCAACTAAGTTAGTTTTCAACACTGTCACGTTATCCCACCCTACTGTGTGATTGTGTGTCATCGCATGCAGAGCTATAGCCGAGTTTTTCTCTAGATTTCTTATCTTATTAGGATCTATTAATCCTGATTTATCTAAGTTTTTATACTCTGTTATCCTAATCCACCCTGGTCGACCACTTTGACCATGCAATCATTGCAAGGGATTCGGTAAACTAAGTTACTCTGCTCAATTCGACCAATATGATCTTTTAACCTAGGAAGTTTATTTGTACACGAGTTTGTTGGTTTAAATGCTACTCTAATCCCAGTCAGCCTTATTGAGAATTCTTCGTAATGCTTCTGAGGTGTCTTTCATGTATGACAACACAACAGAGGCTTTGAATTCTCTCTCATCCCTGTCACCATTATTAGTGGGATTATTATTAATAACACCTGTATTACTACTACTACTACTACTACTACTACTACTACTACTACTACTACTACTACTACTACTACTACTACTACTACTACTACTAGCACTGGTAATATTTTCCTTTCTATTTCTTATGAATTTATTTATAAATTTCAGTTAAAGTAGGCCTAGTTAAATGCTTAGGTGATAGAGCGAAGATCGGGAAATCTGCAACAAGAAGTTAGACACATCAAATGGTATATGACTATGTAAATTAACGTTGATGAATGTACACAGAATTGACTTTGTTGAAGTCTGTTTTACACTTTCAATTTTGATTTCTAACTTGTTCAATGAGGACGATATTACTGATAAGTTACTGGGAACTTAATAACGTTAAATGTTGACTGCAATTGAAGCTAACATAATACGACCATCAAAAATAGATGAAAAACACTTCAAAATATAGCATCCATCTTTCGGATTATAACATTTATTATGATTATTATTATTTTCCCTTGGGTACCGAATTGAACATAGGGCTTCAGAAGCACGCCTCCATTACACTCTGATCTCTGCGGTCTTCTTCACCTTCTAAGTGTATGCCGAATCCAATCCATCTCAACTTTCTTCACCTGCATATTTGTTGGGCGATGGGTTCTCGGCTGGTTGGTGGGCCAGAGTTCCTTGTTCCTTATTCTTATTATTCTGGTGATCTGATCTAATCTGACCTGACCTTCAATATAAAGTGAGGGTAGGTGGCAGTTGTTGATGATGTGTGGTGTCTGCAGTTTGTTGGAAATGCTTTTCGTGATGCGCAAAGTCTCTCAACCATCACATAGAAACACTGAGTCACTTGACTGACTTAGTGTTGAAAATGCGGATGTTGTTCACGCTTTATGCTGAGTGCAGTGCAGTAGATCTCCACACTGATTTCCGATTAGTGGACGCCTGTCTTGCTGTCTTTGTGATCCTGGTTTGTACATCCTCGTCTGTGCCACCTGTAGTTTAAGCGATGCTGTCTAGATAGGTGAGGGAAGGTACATGCTTTAAGTTCCTCCCGTTGATGGTGATTGGTGGTTGTTGTTGACGCTGCTGTTGGTTTTTTTGGGTATCTTCATCACCTGTGTCTTGTGTACATTCACTTGAAGTCCCGTTTTGTCTGCCTCACCTCTTCTGTGTAGTTGTTAGTTTTTGCTTGTGGATGTTTGAGTTTGTGCTACAAGACATTAGACGAGAATCATGATCACTGGCGAAATCCAAATGTTCTAGAGTTTTTGTCTTTTCATCGTTGAAACAGTGTATGCCCATCATCTTGCTCCTCACAGTTTGCTACATGATGGAGTCCAGTGGACGCAATCAGGAAGATGATGGGTGATGGAAGGCGGCAGCCTTGTCTTACTCCTGTGTTCACTTTAAAGGCATCGCTGAGCTTTCCATTGTGAATCACTTGGCATGTGGCTTCTTCATATATCAGTTGAATGTAGTTGATAAAGGTTTGTGCCACTAAAACAATAGTGTTGAAGCAACTCCTAAATTAATTCTCCGTCGACGCTGCTGAAGGCTTTTCAAAGTCGATGAAGTTGAGGTAAAGATCCAGTTGATTGCCATTCTGTACTCTTTTCTATGATGATGCATAGCGTAGCGTTGCAATTTAATCCACACATGATTTGTTCTTCCCGAAACCAGTTCACCTGTTTCGGTCGTAATTTGAATGCAGTGCATCCTTTAGTCTCTCCAGGATGATGCGGCATAATATTTAAGAAATCCTATGTAAACTATATTAAAGCATTTTGCCCTCATAGTTTTTTCTCTGCATAAATTAGAACGTAACAGTTGGAAACTTAGTTTTCATTCTCTATATAGTCAAGAAACTATCTAAAATGTATGATTTTAAAAATGTCAAACATTTTATTTGGATACTTTAGTTTCATAAACACCCATAGGTGAGATGTACACTAATCAAGGTATAATGAATTCGCAGAAAATGGTTTTCCAGTTAAGTTGTGACAGACTATCATAGACACTCTATTTATCGAAGCAATCTATCATCTTCAACTTCGCCTACTTCTGCCTAGGCGAACGGAAAAATTGGTTAATGATTTAACTGGTAAATTAATAATATGAACCATATGATTTTGCTTCTAACTGCTGTTAACGTTACCTTGACATTGTCATGTAATTTTGGTTGCCTTAGCTCTCAACTGTTTAAGTATTGATTGCACAACTTTTCTACACATCAATGAATTAACTAATGAGTTGAATTGGAGACAGCACTTTCAATGGTAGCTCATACATTGGTTTAAATGAATGACATTTTCACAATGTAATAACTATAATATAATTTAGGCTAGAAATTGAGTGAAATACTTTACAGTAAATCATTTGTTACTTTTTATCGGTAAATTTTAGAACATTTGAAACAGTTAGACCCTAGTATGAATTTCGATAGTGTAATTAGAAGACGAAGTTTATCCCAACAATATTTGTAATGTATTTGTGCAACACATTTCAAACAATCGTCAAGTCAATATAGATTAAACCAAGAAGTGGGGGTGGGGGGGACAAATACAACAATTAACACAATAAGAGATTAAAATTAAGAAAGATGGGAACGATAAGGAAAAGTGACAAAGTTGATCCTAATCTTGATAAGAAAACAAAGTTTACCAAGCAAGGTTGGTGTAGTGTAAGAACAAATTCATTTTGTACACATGAAGGTGATTTCTATGTGTGTATGGCTATGGCTTCAGTAAATCTCAGAATACGTCACTGACTGTTTCTATATAAAACTTTGAAAGCTGTTTGAACATTAACTTTATGACTTGTTACTATGATATGTTTAGTTATAAATGAAGAGGGTCGTCTCCCACCAGCGGTTATTACTGTTTCACACTCCATTTGTTTTTGAAGCCATTTCGGTACATGGTCTCTCACCCTCAACTACATGACTCGATTACTCCTCCTTATTTATGTGTCACGACACATACGTGTAAATTGGTAAACACAATGAGATGTGATGTAATAATTGATGCATTGTTTAGGTTTTTGGTGAAGCATATGTTTTGTTTTCTCCACACTGATAAGATTAACCGCGTAATATGTTTTCCGAATGCCTGATGTCAGCCTACGTCTCAAAATGATACTATTCAACTCCCCTCTGTGATGTGAGTTTGTACGATGTTAAATCTTTTAGTAGACGAGCCATATCCTCATGCCTCTCATAAATCACTATGATATCATCAACATATTTCTTGTAAAGGGGAACTTTAGAGATGAGATCACCAGCGAGATTTTCAATGTATGACATATAAATATCAGCTTGTTTTGGTCCTAAGGGACTACCCATAGCTGTAATGTAAGAGACGACCCTCTTCATTTATAACTAAACATATCATAGTAACAAGTCATAAAGTTAATGTTCAAACAGCTTTCAAAGTTTTATATAGAAACAGTCAGTGACGTATTCTGAGATTTACTGAAGCCATAGCCATACACACATAGAAATCACCTTCATGTGTACAAAATGAATTTGTTCTTACACTACACCAACCTTGCTTGGTAAACTTTGTTTTCTTATCAAGATTAGGATCAACTTTGTCACTTTTCCTTATCGTTCCCATCTTTCTTAATTTTAATCTCTTATTGTGTTAATTGTTGTATTTGTCCCCCCCACCCCCACTTCTTGGTTTAATCTATATTGACTTGACGATTGTTTGAAATGTGTTGCACAAATACATTACAAATATTGTTGGGATAAACTTCGTCTTCTAATTACGCTGTCAAAAGTTTAGGACAGTTATAAATCTATTTGAATCAAAGGTTAGCAGATTAGTTACAGAACACTGCTGAAATGTAATTGCATAGAATTTATTTTATAGAAAATTTTTCATCTTTCTCTCTTTGATTAGTTCTAAACAGTGAACCGTTATAATTTAAGTTTGACTCACGAAGCCTATTTCATATATCTGCACTTGGTTACTAAATTATAGTTGTATAATTGTGTCACATGGTGTTATGCTTTCAAATTTTACTTGAAATACTCCACTTTCCACTAATCAGTATGTAAAAAAGTAACTCTCAAATGGTAGTTTTTTGCTTCTATAAACATATATGTCAAAAGTTGTCGAGTTGATGATGATTATTTTCTTTTTAGTTTAAAGAATACAAGGAATTCATTATTCCAATCAGTTCAGAATTACATCATTTCTTATCAGAAACTGCTTTAGAATTTCAAGTATGGATTATTTGGACAGATGATAAATTGAAGGGACTTGAAGACAATAGAAGTGGAATTAGAGCTGAAAATTTCATTAATGATGGATTTACCACAAGAGAATATTCTACAGTACATCAGTAAGATAAAATTATACGATTATTTTTAAATGATTAATTATCTTTGTTATTTATACATTTTTGGTTAATATTATTATGTATTTATGTACTTGTTTAGAAAGATTCAGATCAAGAAGATAACGATACTAGCATGCTGGCTGAATTCCTTTCCTAGTTGAAATTATTGTTTGCATAATAAGGTGACTATCTTTACTCCTTGGTATAGTGGATAAGGTCTTGGCATTTGAAGGGATGGGTACGAGGTTCGAGTCCCAGTGGGAAGAACATCACTGACTGAGGTGCAGCTGCATTCAGCTGACGAGTCCTAAACAGGACGAAACTCGCGTCCTGGATTCTTCTATTAGCCACAACCAACTCAACTACCATAACTACTATTCAGGCAATATGGAGGCATCCGCATAGGAGCCCATATATCAATAGAGGTGGAACAATTCGATCCAATAAAACAAGGGAGAATAACAAGTATGTCAATAATTTTTAGGGTTATTCTGTCTTATAACCACCGTTTATTGATTCGGATAAAATTATGTTTTGTTTTAGTAGTTCAAACATTGTACAGATTACTATTAAAACTTCGATCGCTTTTCAACTATATGGTAAGTGTAGACAGTAACTTCATTTACACTTATAGAGTTTGTACAAATCTCTTGAAAGTTGTACATATGAAACTTCTTAAAGCTGAACCATCTATTATGATTCGTAGTTTAAAACCTACAGTCTGCATCAAAGCTCCAGTTACTTATTGAAGCTATGGTAAATGTTTTTGATAGAATAATTTTTTGTGTTACACTTAGTCATTTTTGATAATATTTTTATTAATATGATATACCTAGCTTGTTCAGACAATCAAGATCCTGTTGATGCATACGTATCACGTGAACCGGTTAGTAAGTAGATTACACGGGAATGATGCCTGAATTTCTTTCTCATCAAATATTCACATACGTGTAACATTTGTATGTCATCATACCCCCATTGTTTATTCTTTTATAGACAATGGTACATAACTTAATGCTTCCATAAGTAATTGTCGTATTACATGATGCATGTACATGAGCCATTATCTGTCCATGAAACGTATTTCCGAAGAAATTAGAAACTCAGTAAGTTGAAATTATTTTTCAATAGTCATCAGCGGTTAACGTGAGGAGGAGCTGTTGTCTTACGTTCAGTCGTAAACTTCAGACTTTTGGCGCCAACTTATCAATCTGTAGTAATGACAATAACAAGCTATTGAAATAAGATATGCTGATTTTCAGACCACGGTGCTTTCTTCATAATTAAGGAAGGCAATCAGTCGATAGAGTTGTGAACCTTCATCAACTGAGGAGGCTTGGACATGTGTTATGCATCCAAGTCATTAACTACCTCAACGTGCCATATAAGCCAAGGTTAGTTTAGGTTGGAAAGAAGGCTCAGGCTGGCCAACCCGAGACCTGGCACTAGTCCATGAACTGAGCTGCCGTTTGGCTGACGTCTTCGAGGTTAAATGAATCAGTGGTTGTGCACTCATGATGGCAATGACTGAAAATCGGTCACAATAGCGCAGATGCATTCGCTGTTTAATGTCTTTTAAAGTTTAAACCTTTTCACTAACCTAAATTTTTCTGATTCTTTATCCTTCTTTCTATGCACGCTTTTGCCAACTTTGATATCAATTTTTACTATCCACTATTCCCTGACATACTACTTTGAAGTTTTTCAGCTTCAACAGCTGCATTACTGTGCTAGTTTGTACAATGGTTTTTTCTGTCTATCTTCGGAATTGCAACATCTTAGGTTCAATCGTAACATGAAAATAGAGTTAAGCTATGGTTGAATAACTCCGAAGAAGCAGTGACATCCCAACTTTTATTTAGCTCATGTTGAATAGTGATAAAATCTGCGTTTTGGTTTATAAAATTACCTTAATCTATTAGATTTTAATTTCCAAGGCTTTTATAAGATTTCACTGAACAAAGCTATCCTTACATGTACATGTCGCTTTTGTGGAAACTGATATTTTTCCTACACCTAACATTTATAGTTTATCGATAATGTGAGGGGATTATAGAAGGTAAATAATAATGTTGAATATACGGGAAAATGCGAAGTATGCACGAATAGCAATTGTTCAGAAGACAACGACTAGTTTGTCACAATGAAAAGGATATTGTATAAGTGAATACACTTGCTAGGAAATCCAATGATTGAAATTTGCTTCGTTGAAACACAAAACTGTCCAATAAGATAATTCTGTAACTTGAAACAGCTAGTCCTGTTTACAAATTTCTACAAAACAATAAGTAGATGTCATGCTTGTTAAGCGTATGATGTATTAACGCAATTAATTTCAAACAATCTGATCATACACTTCTTTGTCATGCGTATCTATATGAAATATAACAAAGAATATATGGGTTTAAGTAAATAAACGATATATTGAAGGATCATTTATTAGTTTAGAGGTTGAATGATAAATAGAAAGGGAAAAATAACATTTTTGAAAGCTTGGTTGTGTTGAATCCAGTCATAGAACGTATACTGCCTCCATTATAAAACCACAATAGAGAGAGGAGTGTTGTATTTTTGAAGCCTGCGTTTTTTAACCAACCTTCTTCTCATATGGAAGGTAGCATCCGTATGAACTACTGATTATCTTTACGAAAAATGTTACTGCTGTCCTAATCCATCCAGCCAACAGTATAACTTCTCTCTCGGAACCCCCCAATCACCATAGCTTAGCTATTTAAACCATAAAAGTAGCTATATTTTGTCATACCACTACCCAACATACCTTTGTTGTATGGTATGACCTTAAGTTGTAGTTCTTTCAACAAGCTCAAACACTACATCAAAGTAGTGATTATCGGTTGGATGGAAGGAAACTGTTTCACATCTGAGCATATATTATATTCCTAAGTTGCTGTTTTTATCATGATACAAAGTATTAAGTCCTCATGTCATATATTACTTCATAATCTTCTTAATCATCTCATTTTGTAATGTTTTGAAGTATTGCAGTGTAATTCAAAATATTTTTATACGGGTTTCCACTTTGGAATGTTATCAAATAATACTGTTATTTTCCTTATCCTCAATAATATATTTTTTTCCAACTGTTATAATTCAAGAGTTCCTGCACCTCGTCATCTTGGAACTGCAGTTATTCCATTGTATCATTTACTATATCCAAGACCAAAGTTTACTAGCGATACTATTGATATACAGTCAAACATTAATTCTACTATGGTAGAAGGTGATGCTTCTGGAATACGTTGGTGGAATAATAATATAAATATGAATCATTCACAATACATAAATCAACAAATAAATTCAAATAGTTTACCAGTGTATCCTTTATACCGTTCAAACTCTTCACATTTTTATGATAGTTGGATATCTGTTCAAATTGAAATGACAGGATCAAGAACTGAAAATTGTTTAATGGTAAGTGATCATCATTATCATTAATCAGTTTGAACAAAAAAAAAATCTGTCAACTTCTTTTCTCATAATTTTAAAATTGCTTCTCACTCTACTTTAACTTTGGACTATCTCATTTGATCATAGAATGTATTGCATCAAATTTCTCTTTTCTATATTATTTTAATCATTCAGTTATGTTATCTTATCAACGTATACACTGTCATGGATAATTAAAATGATAACAACCTGTCACTTTACAAGTTGATAGACAAATTAACAAAGATTACCGTAATGGTATGGCAATGGACCCTCAAGTGTATGATCATAGATCAAATGACTATTCTGGAAATACTTAGCACAAATTGCAGGTCGTTACCAAAGAAAGTTGATTACCTTCAGTCACTTTTATCCATAAATGTTCGTTGATATATTAGTGTAATAATGTTGCAAGTAACATAACTTCGTAATATGCATGATGATGATGATTTAGTTTATCTGAATAGTTTCAAATTACTTCGACAAGATCAAAGCTTTTCTCTGAAGAAGCATAGAGAGGGGTTGTAGCAACATTTATCAATATAAATTGATTCACCTCAAACTATGTATGTTTCAGGTTCTTTAAATATCATCTTAAGCATCTAAGTAAATACGAACATACATACATAACAAACATTTTTGTCACACATGACTGCTGCAGTTTCTTAGATTTGTCAACTTTTACCAATGAATTCACTGGATTTTAATGCTCCGATTCTGAGTAACTCTTTGTCTATAGTCTGTAGAGATTTTAACTCATATGATTGTAATTTTCTATGATCATTAGATCATAAAAATATGGTTATCTTTTCTACTCTTCTTGAAAACACTTTAGATTTAGTATTTACAAATGACCCTGGCATATATGAAGCCTTTAAATGGGCTCGACTGTTGAATTTTGACCTGTATTATACGTGTTTTCCTTTTAAGTGTACGACAAATTACACAAGAAGGCTTTTGGGATATCTTTTCAAAAAAGTTCAGTACAAACGCTATTCACTAGAAAATACACTGCGTTTGACAAGTTATCTCAATTCCTGTCCGGATATTTACTGCCCAACTGCAACAATGTACATTAGATTCGACAGACTTTCTCCTCTCCTCATCTTAAGAGGCTCCGGAGAGAAAAGGAAAAGTTGTATAAGACAAGAGATCACCCTGCCATTAAAAGACTTAGCTGCCTAAATAAGTGTGAAATATAACATCTAAATACTATATACAACAAAAAGTTTCTATAGTGTAAGAACTCTTCCAATGCATGAAAGTTATTTGAAGAGTCTACTGGTAGAAAACAGATGACAAAAGAAGCTTGTTCGGATGTCTGCGCGTTAAACATGTTATTCATATATCGGCAAGCTAATTTCATTCTTCCTAATGTCTATAGTCAATAGCTGTTTTCCTGGTTTTGATACAAATGTAGTATTTAAAAGTCTTAAATCCTTGAATTCATCCCAAAGCTTAGGTTCTGATGATGTTTCTTGTATGGTATTTAGAAAATGTGCAGATATTTTATGTCACCCCGTTACAGACATCTTCAATGCGTCGTTTACTAAAAACACAATACCCGCTGCTTGGAAGGAGATCAAAGTTGTACTTCTGCTTAAGTCATCTTCTGTATCAGATGTTACGTTTTGACTTATCGCTATAATTTCCCCTTTTTGAAGACAACAGGGAAATTATTTTTGCTTGAGCTTGAACCTTCATTGAGGGCTTTTAGAGATCCAAAACAATTTGCTTACTAATAAGGAGCCACTTCAGATGCTGTCACTTTCTTGCATCATAATATTGTTTCTAGTCTCGATAAAGGTGTTAAGTATGTCCGTTGTGCCTTCTTGGTTTACTCATCAGCCTTTGACTCTGTTCCTAGAACACTCTTGCTAACTAAGCTTGCAATAGCTCATAGTGAGCTATGGGTTAAGAAGTGGCTCTATTCTTATTCTTCTGAAAGGAAATAGTAAACTGTCTTTAAAGGGAAGCACTTTACTTCATTGCTTACTGAAACTGGTGTGCCTCAAGGTGCTGTACTTTCTCCTTTCCTGTTTTCGTTCTTTTTGCACGATTTACCTTATTCTGTTGAAACAAATTTTACTAAGTATGCTGATGAATTGACGGTCTCTATTCGAGTTAACTCTCATTTAGATTGCTCTGAACTAAATGGATTCTTGTCTGTAGTTGGTCAATGGTTTCTCTCAAATGGTCACAAGTTAAACCCTTCTGAATGTCAGACTGTTAATTTTAACGCCAAACGTAAACAAGACTTGTGTGAACTGTCTCATGACGACTGTTGCAGCATTGATGGTATTTCTGCAGAAAGTAAATCGAGTGTTAACTATCTTGGATCGAGTTTTACTACTGATCTTTGCTGGTCGTCTCATATCTTGTCGACTTTTAAAAAAATCTTTCATTTAACGTATTAGATAAAGAAAGTGAGGCTCTCTGGTATAACTCTTCTTTTTACTATTTATTAATTCCTGCATTTTACCTATTTTTCTCTATTATTCCCCATTGATCTTTCCTAGTCTTCTAAAAAAGGACTATGTTATGTTGCATAGGTCATTAGGGTGAGTGGTGTACCTCTGGTTCAACTGAGTAAACACTGTAGTTGACGGATATTTAAATTCTAGTAAGCAAGTAGTTACAGTAATTTTAACTGACACTGAGCATCCATTTCATTAACAAGCTCTCTCCTTGTAGGGAGGACAAAGAGAAATTACATAAGACTGTACTCTCGTACAGCTTAGTACAAAAATCCGACTATACCTTACCTAGCACGCATTTTATGTGAGGAGAAAAGGTGTTAGAACAGAACTCATATGTTAATTTTGTAACAGTTAACAATCTTATTTCAATAATTTAATTAATAGTGTAAAGTTTTCTCGTTACTAATATTCCTTATATTAGTGTTATTGCTTGTATGAAACCGTCGTTGATTGGACCGAATCGACCAGTGTCTGTAGGCATATGGGCTCCTGTGCGGATGCCTCGATATTGCCTGTCTTTTAACCATATATAGTAATGATGAGCAGTGGCTAGCAGTGAAATCCACTGGATCCTGGATTCCACTGGTAGCCACTGCCCATCATCACTATTCCTTGTATTACTTAAATTTTAATGATAACACAATTCGAAATGTTGTAAAGGAGTATATGTATACATATGTTTTATTATTGTTACAATATATTATGCTGAGAATTCCAAGTTGTACCAAAAATTGTTTGGAATACAGTGATTATTATTATTATTATTGAATTTGGGGGTTTATGGAGATTAGGAGATTTTTCCAGTTGGTATTCATCACGGACTGACATCAGTTGGCGGAACATTGGAAACCTGGGGAGCACTGGACAGTTGTTTCGTCCTAGTATGGGACTCCTCGGCAGTACGCACCCAGGACCCCAGAAACCCTCGAACCCAATTGAACCAGGGGTCATTGTGGACCAGCTTCGAGAGGTGAAGTTCCAATGAGTTGTGACCAGTGGAATAAACCTGGTGGTCATAAGGACAAATACTCAACGATGACATTGGGTGGCGGTCACGGTATGTCGTGAACTGACAGAAGTTGGAAATATGGACCACTGGATTCTTGTCCAGTAGCTCAGTAGTAACGTGCTGTCTACGGAACATGAAGTCCATGGGTTCAACTCCTTGTGCGGTCGTGGGTGCGCACTGCTGAAGAGTCCCATACTAGTCGGACGAGACAGCTGTCCAGTGCTCCCAGTTTTCCATTTTTCCTTCAACTGATGTCAGCCCGTGCTTATTATTATTATTATTATTATACAAGTGTTTTGATGCTTACGCTTTCGTTTTCTTTTTAATTTTAGTCAAAACGATATCACATGTGCAAGATGAATAAATTAATTATTCCTGAAATAAATGGTCAACTGGGATGGAATCTAAGAAGCTGTAGGATACTTCCAGTCACAAATGATACTATATTATCAGGAAATATTGATAAAAAGTATGAATTACATAATGATGCATATACTTCTGGTTTATCTACTGATAAGTTGAATACAAATAAAACATTTCCAGCTGAAATTATCATTGAAAAGGCATATCATCTCCGTCTACCTCATCAGTAAGTCAATTAATTTTAATCCTTGGTTATTTTATAAGTTATTAAACAGATCCAAAAATAGTAATGATGAATAGTGGCTAGTAGTGGATTCGAGGATGCACATTTTGTACTATTTAGAACCCGTCAGCTGGATATACCTGGGTCCCAGTATCGTTTTTAGCATAATTGCTTGTATTATACCGTAGTTGATTGGACACAATTTGTCGGTCTCTATTGGCATATGGGCTCCTATGCGGATGCCTTTATATTACCTGTGTTTTATATGTAGTAATGTTGGATATTGGTTGGCAGTGGAATCCAGGGTGCTCATTTCGTTCTACTTCGGACTCGTCAGCTGGACGTAAAAGTAATTATACTAGATCCAAAAATATGTAAGAACATTTTTGACGTTAAGCTGTTACAAATTCGTTTCTGAGGTGGGTTTAGCATAACGTTTATATGCGTACTCAGGCGCTAAAGTAGGGTCACGTGATTTGGGCTCAAGAGTTGGAATGAAAAGTTTCTTAAGAAATAAGAAGACTTCTCAAGCCGCTTATGATTCGAAAATGCACACATGACACAATCAAAAGGCCTTTCGAATTGTAGATAGGTACTCTGTAAATTACTTCGAAGGAAATATTAGTAGGAATCAGATATCTAGAGATGATGAGTTGTTAAAAAAAATAGAAATGTTGAAGATTTCCTCTCTCCTGTGGATAACCAAGCTGAAAAATGTTCCAAAATACATTGATACTCTTGACGCTATGCACGGTCAATATACTTCACTCCATAGGAATAAGTAAACTGATATACTTGTCAAGTCAATTTATATATGAAAATTAAAGGTCAAATATAGTGAATATGAAAAGCCCACACTTTCCTCGGTCCCGAAGAAAAGCATATTTCTTAAAGTACCATACAGAGGGGAAACAAGTAGTATGATATTGAAGCAGAGATTAAAATCTGTTATCAGTAAAACATACTATGCAGCTAAGCTTATGATTATTGAGACGACAAAACACTTGCTTCACCACAAACCTCAACCTCGCACAAATGTGATTACATCACATTCTACTGCGTTTACCAATTTACATGTATGTGTGGGCACATATACATAGGGAGGAGTAATCGTTCAATGCAGACTAGGGTGGGTGAACACATCCCCAAATGGCTAGAAAAACAGTTTAACACACAAACTTTGATAAGTGCAGGTGACAGACATCCATCGTCATCTATAGCAAAACATATTATTGAAAAATGAATCACAGGGTTAATACGAAAACAGTGTTTAAGATATTATACAGGAATAATCAGGGGCGCATACGGAAGTTTGCCGTAGCGTTAACCATTCGTAAACTTAATCCCCCGCTGTGTGTACAAAAACAATTTGTTGTTTCAGTTAATTTACCCTGGTAATCCTTGCTAATCTGATTATATTACCAAGACTAGTGTCACAACCTTTTCATATTCACTATATTTGACGTTTCATTTTCATATATAAATTGACTTGAGACAAGTAAATGTGTGGGAGATCAGATTGTTCGAAATGTATTACGAAATACATCATATTGTTCAGAGAAACTTCATCTTTAATAGCGTTATCGAAATTTATTAAAGGGACTAATTGTTTCAAACTGATATACGTAGATTGATGCGGGCAAAAGTAGTATTCTGTCCTTAAAGCATTGGTGAATGAATTGTCTGCTGATGGATGTAATTCTCAGGCTATCTTCTTTAATGATGTTGAGAGTCGATTTTTGACAGATTTCGGCTTCAATATTACCTTTGAATTTCAGGTTCATATAGTGAGTTTCCTTTGATACAGTCGATAGCTTTTGTATTCATGAAACAGTGAATTTAGATGAATATCCATGGAAATTCTAACCCATTATCTAGTTTATCTTCTGAATCTTCCAACATTACAAACATACGAGTTTTTGTTTTGCTTATCAGATGAATATACCTTTGCAACTTTCTGTTTGTTCAATAAAAAATAAAAGATGAAAATCACAATAAGAATATAGTAGATATATGAACCCTACTATCTTTGGTAGAAAAATTCAGATCGGTTCAACTAAAGTTGACTGAATGCAGATGCTAATTGTGTATTAGTCTAAGCGTTCATTTCGGACCCGTTTTCTACAGAATCTATTAAGACCCCTCTTTCAAAATAAAGCCTTTGTCGAGGTTCTAACATATATTTCATGATAGATGAAGATGCCTATTTGTTATCTACACTGGTATGATTATTCAAGTTCATTGATTTTTAGCCATTTAAGTATATTTTCAACTACTTAATTATATGTCACAATTTCCCTTTCCTGTAGACACATTCATAAATGCAGTAGAATGTGATGAAATTATGTAATTGTAGTTTTAACCTGTGTTCTTTGTCTACTGTACTAGGCAGACCTTAGTTTTGATAGTATATTTTGTTTGCTAAAACGTAAGTGTTTTTGTTTTTTTTTCACAGCAAAGCTACGTGAAAACTAATTACTGAATGTATCCTGGTGTTATAAAACCCTTACACTTTTACACTAAATTCAGGAGATATTCATTCTGTTTTAGTGTTCGGTTAACAGCCCATTTATTCTTTTCAAACTATTCTTCTATCCTTCATTAAACCAAGAATCATGTGTAGAAATGGCAGTCTGTTATTCATCCCATATGTTCTTTTTAACTACATCCATTTTTTTCAATAAATACTTTATATCATTACTCTGGTCACATATTTTTATCATCCAAATATCTGATACAAAAGTGAAACATTCTCCACAAGGTCTTCAGCTAGATTTTCAAAATCTGATAAGGGTCTAGAAAGACTAATTTTATCAATCCCTTAATTTGTCGATAGTATTCATCTTCAACTAAGAAATTCGTAATAGGAAGGGAATCACTTACATTATAAGTGCTTTCAATAGTTTTACATTTCTATTCCAGTGAGAGAACTTGACCAAAGTGTATGCATAACAGTCAGCTGATAGAAAAGCCTACGACATTTGCCTGCTACAAGCAAACAGGTTATCAGTATTACTTCATTAAGAATCTTTCTTATTTAGGATCTACAGCCATCGACTAATAGATCCTTTCAAAAAACCTTTGATCACTAAATGGAAGTTTGAAAAATTGAAGCCTTGGATTGTGACACTGATTTTCAATAGTAAAGTGTTCGCCACGAAACCTGTCAGTTCAAGCCTCGATTTATCATCATGGTATTGCAGATAAAAACTTATAAGAAATTACAAGCTAACATGAAACAGTTGTTCACAACTCCCAGGTTTTCTATGGTTCTCCAGTCAACATCAATCCGTTATGAAAGCCAATTTCGAAACAGTCAGTCTCAAATAATACCCACTTCAGTAAATCACGTTTTATCTACTTAATCATAAAAAAAGTCATAATAACTTATCATTTTAACGTCTATCTCAGTTAGAAACATATCAGATAATCCCTTATAAAACGTTCTAATTATTTTTTATTATTTTTACAACTGATGTTCAGTGCTATTATCATGTTTCCAAAGTTTATTGGGACGAAAACATACATCCAAGTATTATTGCATAACAACCACTGAGTTAGAATGTGTTGTTCAATATTTTACAATGTTCATCAATCCTGAATACCACACCACAACCATGATTTGATGCTGTCAGCCATTAAATAAGCATTGAATCAAAATTATTTGATATTGAGTTCTTTAAAATAAAAGTTCCAGTCTCCTGTCTGAATCTTTCAAGGGCAATTTTCTTCTTGTAGGCTAGAGTTACTTGTCCGTTCTTCGAAATAATGGAGAAGATAATAATATCTGTGCTTGAACCCTCATTAAAGGTTTTTAGTGATTCTAATCAATTTGCATACAAAAGCAGAAGTAGCTCCCTAGATGCCATTACTGTTTTATATCACAATATTGCTTTTAATCTTGATAGAAATACCAAGTATAATAGTTGTACCTTTTTAGACTATACATCAGCATTTGATTTTATCCCAAGATCTCTTTTGCTGGATAAGCTAGCCGGAACACCTAGCTGGTTGTATTCTTATTTCTCTGTGAGAAAACAATATACTGTTCACAGAGGGAAGCGGCCTACCTCATTGCTTACTAACTCTAGTGTTTCCTAAGATTTTGTCCTTTCTTCCGGTCGTTTCTCTTTTTTCTGTGTTAACTTGCCATTTTCAGCTATTTTCAATTTTATCAAATGTGCTAATGACTTGACAGTTTCTATACCCCTCTCCTCTTCAACATATTGTTCCAAACTGAACGGTTTCCTATCTATTGTTAGACGATAATCCTTTGTGAATGGTGTTGTTCTTAATTCTTCAAAATGTCAAACTATAAACCTTAGTTTCAGATGTGAACACAATCTGTGTAAACTGTTCAATTCTCATGATTCATGTTCTATTGGTAGTTTTACACAAGAGTTTGTTACAAGTGTGATTTGTCTCAGCATGTTTTTCTTCAAACCTTTCCTAATCCTCCCATATCTTACTTATTTCCGAAAGAAATTTCCACCTTTCTATATTAGGAGACTGAGAGTAACTGGAATAAGTGAACCTCTTGTATTTCATGAACTCTCACATCTTGCCTGTTCTCCTCTATTATTACCCTTCGTTCCTCCTTAGTTTGCTAAACATCAATGATTGAAAACCTAACTAATGGTGTACTTTTAAACCTTCTAATAAAAGCTGTTATGGATAAACATGTGACAAGATTTATTTTATCAGCTGACCAGAATCCTCTTCACTGAAAGCTGCCTTTATGTCGGTCATCTGGTATGACAAGGAGCAAGTACATAAGACTTTATGCACGTACTACTAAATATAAAAACTCTACAATATCTTTCGTATTTAGCTCCTCTTCTGTGCAATAAAGAAAGTTTACATATGGACTAACTAATCAATTTTTGTTTTTGAAAGCAAACTAATTAAAGATTACACAATTTGGTGTTATTTATGCATTATGAATCTAACTGCTAATGTGATGATTTACCTAAGTTAACTCTGCATTTTAAAGAAAGTTATAGATGAAGGAAATATTTTTTTATCTTTTATCTTTACTGATACATGTACCCTATCTCTGTCCAGTTGATGCTATATGACATACTGAAAATGTTGTACAGTATTTCCAAAATACCTTTCATAATAAAGCTATTATTATTAGTGTATTTTTGAGATGAATGGGGATTTTTAAAATTTAGAATCATTGAAAACTTGAGAGCATTGGACAGCTGTTTCGTCCTAGTATGGGACTCCTCAGCAGACCTTGGGTGATAGTCACTCTATGTAGTGAATTGACAGAAGTTGGAGATTATGAACCACTGGAAACCGATCCAGTGGCTGAATGGTTAACGCGTTCGCCGTGAAATCTGAAGGTCCTGAGTTCGATCCCTAGCGGGTTCGTGGGTGCATACTGTCGAGGAGTCTCATACTAGGACGGGACAGCTGTCCAATGCTCCCGGGTTTTCAACGGTCACCCAACTAATGTCAGTCCATGATGATTACTACTTCTATATTATTATTACCAGACAAATATCTGGTTAGATAAGAATTGTGAAAATTATTCACACAGTTAGCTTATCTGAATTAATTGATTAAGTCATTTTGTTTTATGGTTGTTGGAGTAAAGTAAAATGATAATCACTTGTAATCACTTTATAAACAATAAAAATAAACTGAAATTTTTTAATCAATTTCTTTTTATCAGTAGTAACCTTATGAATTCAACGGAATCAAGTGAAAAGAGTGAACCATATTTTAAAACTGATGACTCTCTTAATGATAAGAAATCCAGTTATTCTGTATTTGTCACATTCCCCGTGGATGGTAGTAATTGTAATCGTAGTTTGATTAATAAGCCAACTACCACCACCACTACTACTACTACTACTAATATTATTGGCTTTGATGCAGAGTCTATGTGGAAACAAATATCTAAGTGTAGTATGAATTCGAATACATGTCGTATTGCTGTAACACCAAAAGTGAAAAATCTTGAATATGCTAATTGGAATTATTGTAGATTTGTTCATATATCAATGGATTTAATAAAATCTTCATGTACTCAAGTAAGTATTCAGAATTATTAATTTTTTATTTAGTCAGTATTTTATTATCATAATAGAGGTACTATGTGAATTCACTTTAGTACATTTGATTACAGTTTTCTTGTATTATATTGTCAGTGATTCTATCTAGAGAGAGAGAGAGAGAGAGAGATTATATCTTGAGTTTGTAGTGAGATAGTTAGCTATCAAGATGGGTTTTGTTTTTCAACTATTCAACTATTCGATTGATAAGCGATCCATCTATTTTCTATATAAAATATACATTTATAACTTTGTTATGTTAAGGATCTCAACTGATAAAATGCATATCAAAATATCGGAAAGACTTAAGATCGATAAATAAATACAAGTGTGAATTTTTTTTTTCCTAGAAATTTGAAATAAAAACGATCAGATAATATTTAAACAAATAAACTAAACGCTTAAAAATTACGTGTAAACTTCAAAATAGTACTTGACTGTATTAATTGCTGACAGGAACCAAATAACAAATCATGAAATTTCTATGGGGTTTTATTTTCAATAAAAAAAACTACCTTATATAAGGAGTCCGTTAACAATATAAAAAGCAAAGCTGTTTACAAATTAAACCAGTGGAGAATATTTTAAAAAAACCCTTATAAGACAAACAAATATTCTAGGAAAGATGAAACATTCAGTAAACAAGTGAAAAGACCAGAATTCGATCATCAAAAATAGGATAGATACCAGTACTGTAGGCTGTTAAAATGTTGAAGAAAATACAGTAACAGAAATGAAAAAAAAACTATAGATAAAATGATATTTTACGTGAAGGTAGGTTATACTACTCAGTAATAAAAGATGGTAAAGCCAATGGATAATACGATGACATTAAAGAAGAAAAAAATAGCATTATTTGTGAAATCAGGGAGAAGAAGAAGATAAAGCAAACTAGAGGGAATGTGAGTGTATAGTATACTGATTGAGATAAAGACAGAATATGCCTTTGAGCCATACCACAGATATCCATCATCTTCAACCTTTTTGAAGAAGACCACATGCATTAATGCCATGTGGATCAGTAGTTAGAGATATCCTGTATTTTGATACCATAACCTTAGCTTATTTGAAACATTGAGATGTTTTATACTTGAGTATATATTACTTAATTTCTAGTAGACAGAATAATCACCAGTATCTGAACTCCTATAGGATTAAGTTCATTGATGTAGAAGCTTATCTGATGGTTGATACTTCTATACACCTTTTCATATACAAGAGCATTTGGGTATGGGACTGATCAATTGACACTTAAGTGTCTGAACCAATAAAAAAATAACTTTACAGAGATTTTTCATCATAATATCTCTCTTTAAGAAAACAATATTTTGATCTGTGTTTCTTTCTAATTCTGATTATCGCTTTAATTGTATTTATGGACTCCTCAAAACCTTCAGTCATGAATCGGTTAAATTTTTATACTCAAGGTTGATGTCTCTACAAAAAATCACTGCATTGTTTACTTACAGACGAAAGGCTTTTACTTTCCTCGGACTTCCTAGAAGATTGTACATAAATTATTAGTATTTATTATTTGTCCTTTGGGTTCCGAATGGAACATAGGGCTTCAGTAGCACGTCTCTAGCACACTCTGTTCTCTGCAATCTTTTGAACCTAGTTCTACGACAGCCTAGAAGCTGTCATTTCTTCTTCTCACGATCTCCTCCATGTCACCCTCACCTTGGACAACCAGCTCGTCGTTTCCTTTTTGCATTCCACTCGAGTACCTGGCCTGGCACATGATGTCCTCAGTCAGCCTTCTCAGTGTATGCACAATCCATCTTCACTTCCTCCTGCATATTTGTTGAGTGATACGTTCTTGGTTGGTCCACTGGCAGGTCACAGTTCCTTAGTGCTTGTTCTTTCTGCCTATCTCATCTGAGCTTCAGTATCGAGCCACCGTAAGCAGTTGTTGATGAATGTCTGTAGTTTGTTGGAAATGCCTTTCGTAACGCGCTAAGTCTCTGAGCCATACAAAATTATTCAATGTTATATTCACTATTTTAGTCAGGTTAACTTCGAAATATGTTTATAATTTGTGAGTTTTTTTCAACAGTTCCTAGCTTCTTCAAGCATCTAGAAAGTAGATTTTGCATAATTTCTAATAATCTATAATTCACACATAAATTGTAAATATTTAAACAAATTGGTTTAGCCTTGAAAATGAGCCATTTACTTCATTTTTCAATGATAAAGGATAGAAGGAGAATGGTTAATGAGTAAACAGAAAGTATATCAAAGTATATTTACTATAAATTTGTATAAAAGTCTCTTTCAAAATTAATATTATTCATCGACAGACATGTATTTGCATAAAAGATATTCCTGATAAGAACCAATTGGACTATTTCTATTCGAATAGAACATTGATTATTAGTAGCATATAACATTTCTTACATTCAATACAATTCATGTAAATATTATCTATATTAGATATATTGAAGGTGAATTATTCGTCAAATTCTATTGTTTCTTTGCCTATCTTCTTTGTTTTCTTCCTGTGCTCACCTTGCATCCTCCAGAACTTTTACTGATTGAATATTAACTTTAAATGCTTTTCTCAGTGATATATATTCTTGTAAGTAGCGTATACATAACAATACATAGCAAGATAGCTTGAATTCATCTTTATTTAGTGGATTCTTATCATTTCTTTACACAATGTCAAATTATGTATACACTTTATTAAATTTCATATGTTCTCATCTAGTTTACAAGAAATTATTCATTTGAAACATAAGCTAACGTCGATTCGGAATATTACCAACTAATACACATTTTGATATTATCTTGATTGTGTGTAACTGAAGAGTATGCATTCCATTCTGCTTTATGTGTTTTTTTATAACTTTAAAAGTTTTTAAACGTCGGAAATTATATGAAACACACATAGTCAACTGAATTCTATACTTTTCTTCGTTGTATTGTGTTCTCTGAGCTGAGTTGTTTAATCGTCAAGTTTTCATCATCTTGCTAGACGACATCATCCACAGTACTAACTTCAGTATGAAGTGTACTGTCAGTATCTCTTCATGAATAAGTTAGCAGCTTGCTCTGATGAAGTGATTTGTGATTGGTTGTTTCCTTTGATTGATGTGTCATTGACTGACTATATAGATTTTCCTGTTGGCTGTTCCTCTGCTTCACCTCTCTTTGACCTTTGTGTTGTTTATCAATTATTCTTACTGGTTGCTAGATTGGGTCTATATGTCTATGCATTTGTTGATTGCTGACTGACGTGAATGCTAAGCTTCTAGAGATTCTCTGATAATCTGTATGTTTTGTCTCTGTGTGCAAAATGTCTACATTGTGGAAATTGAATTCATGTGTATAGTTGTAATCCACGTGAATTGAGATGAGTGATGAAATGTAGAAGTGTTTAATAGCCAATTGGTGTTCATGTAGACGAAGGCGAAGATGGCGGCCACTTTGTCCAATGTAGTGTTGACTACAGTTATTTCAGTTGATTTTGTAAATGGTGTATGGTGTGTCTTCTTTGGTTGTTGCATCCTTTGATGTGCATAATAGTGTTTGCAGAGAATTTGTTGGTTTGTGAACCACACCAATTCCAGGTGGTTTGTTTGAGTAATCTTGTCGTGATTTCTGATATATTCCTCATGTATGGTAGGATGATGCGTTTGTTGATTTGTGTCCATGACTTTGTAGTTGATGATGTACGGTCTAGTCATCTTCTGATAAAGTTTTGTGGGTAGCCGTTCTTCTTTAGGATGGACATCAAGTAATTTTCTTCGTTTCTCCGTAAAGTTATTGTAATGCAATGTGTTTTCGCTCTTTTGAATAGAGTCTGCAGGCAACTAATTTTGTGCGTTGTTGCTACTGTAGTTGACGATTTGGTCAGTATGTGTTGGCTTTCTGTACGCTTGAATTTTCAGGTTTCCGGCATTTGTCCTACCAGCTAAAACATCCAGGAAATCTACACTTTCCTTATTTTGAGCCTCTGTAGTGTGATCTTTCCTTAGTTTTGTAAATATCTTATTAAAATTGTTTTCATTCAAAGGGGTTAATCTGAAAGTTTTGTGATCTCATATATGTGCATCATCACTATACTAGATAGCTTTTATTCTTCGATATAAAAAGGGGGGAAGGTTGGGAAACCAGCTGCATTTAGCGTGAAAATAATGTCTGCTGTATAGTATTCTTAAACTATACCGTTGTGTGATCATATATTAAATCTTAGTGCTTTTATTGAACTGTACTTTTTGAACAATAGTATTATAGAAAATTACACTGTGTACAAGGTAGTTGTTTATGATTATCAATATGTTGCAATGTTATATTTATTGTAATGCATTCATTAAATAAATTAAATTTTCATGTATCTTTTAATATCTTTTGTAATTTTTTAATAGGGTTTAATGTTCCATGTATGGACTGTAAAAGATGACCTGGATAACGAGGATAGTCATATACCTCGACTAATCGGTGTTGCTACAGTCGATTTGACTACTCTATCACATTTATTTACAAATCCACTTCGAGTTAACTCGATTAACTCAAATAATGAGTTTAATCAAATCTATGGTTGGTACCATATTTTAGATTGTAATACTGGCTGCCCGTCTGGTCAAATTTTAATTGGAGTCAAACCGTTACTTAGCACTGGAGAGGCCGAATTCAGTAGTAGTATATCACACGATTCTCACAATTTCAAGGTAAATAAGACTGTGTGTTTATTCCTGAATTACATTTTTCAACTTTATACAATTTTTAAGTCTAGATGACACGTGAAAAATCATAATTTATTAAAATGTTAATTATCTACATTTGGATTGGTTTCAAGAATCGTGATAGTTGTAGTGTATGGTAGAGTTGCCACCAGTGCTGACTTATAAAAGATCTACAGTAGACAAATGATTTGTCGTTGACAAAGTTCTAACCTTTAACTAGTGTTAGTAAATGCAAGCAAATGGGTCATCATGCCTATCAGTCTCCTGGAATGGAAGTAAGTAAGTATGCGTTGCGCATTGTAAGGATGATTTATAGTAAGATGTGATTTAAAAACTAGTACACATTTTCCATCTTTTACAGAAGATCAGATAGCACTAAGGGAACTCTAGCTGGCTGGCAACGAACCAACCAACAACCTATTGCCCAACAAATATGGAGTAGAAGAAAGTGGAGATGAATTGGATTGGGCATACACTGAGAAAACCATTAGGGGATATCACGCGCCAGACAAGGACCTTGAGTGGAATCAAAATGGGAAACGACTATTTGACTGTAGAGAACAGAGTGTAATGGACACATGCTACTGAAGCCTTGTGTTCCACTAGGAACTCAAGGGATAAATAATAATAATACTTTCCGTCTTTAACCTCTAGAGATTTTAGAGCACTTTGGGTACTGTATATAGTTCTAAACTTCTCAAAATCAAGCGTTTATAAACTATCGCATAACAAAGGCATAGAGGTGTCTTTAATCCGACCGGTTCTAGGATAATAGGGTTTATGATCTTCAGAAAGTTTCAGAAATTTATGTCACTTGTAATTCGAGATAACGTGAAACTCTCATGTCAGGAATAGTTAAGAGATCACAGTTTTTCTATTCGTTTATTCATATCTATCCTGAATTTTCACAAGAATTTATAAAATTGATTTATCTTCACTATTCTTATACTTACTAACAACATTTTCGATGATATATCACGAATGTTTATAAAATTGGCTCTATACTGCGACGTATATATAGAAAATCCACGTCTAAGACACAGTATACACACTTTCTCAGCTTCATGCCGATGAAGTTAACACATAATATAATCTGGTGTCTAGCATTTACAATAAAATCGATTTGTTCCATTGAGTTTATGTGTACCTGATATTTTAAGTGAAAATGGATATTTAGATAAGTTCATTGAAGCTAACATCATTTACAGTGGTATGAAATGTGGATTATGTTGACAGTGGAGAAGAAGATTCCATGGAAAGGCTTTAAATAACATCAGATCACACAACAGTTAGCTAGAGCAATCAATAGAACGTTTTATGGAGGTCGTCTTTGCATATCTTTCAGTAGTCAGTCAATGCTTCGTCCAAGACTTAAGGACAACCTGTCTAATCTTATCTCTTCATCTTGCATATATTAATTTAACCGATGCTATGAAGCAATTTACATATAGTTTATGATTTGTGAGTATGTCTTCTGTTACGGAAATATTTAACAGCTTGGTTTGGAAAAGGTGATATGAAAGTAGTTTAAGGTCCTATACTAGAGCACTTAGTTAAACACAAGGCATCATATAGATGCTAATAAAGTTTTCAGTGTCTTACATTATGTACTGAAAACAATACTGCATGTAGTTTACCAATGCCTGCACAACATAGCTGAGGATTTCATTCATGATAATAAGACTGATCAAACCTGAACATTGCATTCGAAAATTTAATGTCCGAACTTTATTCCTTCATTGGTCTTCAGTAAAGTAAAGGTCATCCATTCCTGTCTTCTTCATTCGACATCTTTTAGCTCACCATCACATTGTTCATCTGTATATGTGTTATCCCAATATTAACAAATTTAAGAAGGAAAAATCAATTTCCTTATACAGCCCCTCAATCTCACTCTAATTTGGCTTAATTTTACGCTGTACAAATGTATATTTTATTATTATAGGTCTTGTTGAGAACTTTATTGAATCGAATATTCTTCGCCTAGATTGTTGGCATATTATTCACTTAGGTGCCCTGTAACAGTCTTCACTAGTTAACACCACTTACCAAAAAAAAAGTTATCATAGATAATTGATAGATTTTCTTTTGTTTTCTTCATTTATAGACTAAACTGTATGAAAATTACTCTGTTTTCCAAAACGATTTCAGTTCAATACCATTGTACTCAGATTTCTCTAAATCAACGCATTCCCTCCCTGATTGTCATATAATAAATCATGATAAATTGTCTATAAATAATGAAGAAGCCTGTCAATCTGATTTAAATCGTTCTGTGTTGTTCGAGAATCTAAGGTGTGTTATAGTTGATTTTTTGCGAAAATGTATAAGTTTCACATTTGTTTTGTTAGTTGTTAACTTATGGAGATTGACTGATTTCAAAGTAGTTTTCATCCCGAATGGATGGATATCAATTGAAGACTTATTGAGAACCAGAGAGGACTGGACAACTGTTTCACTCTACTTTATAGCTGGTCAATAGTGCGCACTCATGACTTCATGAAGAATTGAGTACAGAACAGTGAAGTTTGCTAGAAACAACATAAGCATTAAACAACTACGTTAGAATCTAATGATACACAATTTTCCATTTTTATCAATCAGTGACATAGCATAAGAAGAATGGCCACATTGTTGATTTTAACCGGTAGAATTCAATTACTGCTGAGTAAACTGACATAATTTGGTGACCAGTTTGTATAGTAAAATTGTCTGTTCAACTAGTTGTTCCAGATATTCAATATTGTCTAACCTTTATTAGATTAATGCTTTGCTAACTAACTACTGACTCAGTTGACACACAAAAATGTAACCCATGTTATTTACTATTAACTGATATATCCTACTTTTGTTTAACTAGAGTGGATTGACGATTATCGATATTATTAGAGACCCTAGGGGATATGGCTCAGAACCGATGTCAGTGGTGCAGATGTATCCCCATACAAATTATCCTTATCTTAACGACGCTATACCAAATCTCACCATTTTGTCACTCTTCTTTTCTTTCTTCTCGTACTTTATATTTCTTTTGACTGCATTCACTTATCTTCATCCTTCAACTCACTACCTTTTTACTTGATGAACTGACATGAGGTGTGGCAACTCGGACCGTTAAGCAGTAATGCCTGGTCCTATGTTGATAATGATATTATTAGAGAGAGTATTTACTTTGACCTTTTTCACTCTACAACCGAATAAGATATTTTTTTTCAACTGATTGAGAACGAAAGTATCTTTTCTAAAATACTATTTTATAATCTGAGTATAATTGCTTGTATTATAATGTGGTTGATTGGACACAATTGGTTGGTCTCTATTGGCATATGAGCTCTTGTGCGGATGCCTCTATATTACCTGTGTTTTATATATAATAATGTTGGATATTGGTTGGCAGTGGAATCCACGATGCACATTTCGTTCGATTTAATGTTAGAAATGTGAATTTGATAGCTATTAGTGTACTTTCCATGGATTCATCTTAACGTTCAGTTGTAACACGTTCAACCTACCGTGAAATATGATGTAATAATTATAAGTGTAGCATAGAAATATTCGAAGATACCCAACCAACACCACCAACAATAACAACAAGTTCCAATCACCATCAATGGGAGAAACTTATAGGAAGTAGCCTCTTTCACCTATCTAGGCAGCACTGGTTCAAATACAGGCGGCACAGACAAGGTTGTCAAAGTCAGGATAAGAAAAGTGAGACAGTCGTTCATTACCCTGAAACCAGTGCAGAGATCTTCTGCACTCAGCATAAAGTGTGAACAACGTCCTCATTTTCAACACCAAGTCAGTCAAGTCAATGCTTCTATATGGTTCAGAAAGTTGGCTCGTTACGAAAGACGTTTCCAACAAACTACAGACATTCATCAACAACTGCCGCCTACGCTCACTCGTTCCTGAAGCTCAGATGGTGAGAAAGAATAAGCAACAAGGAACTCTAGGAACGAACCAACCAAGAACCAATCACTCAACAAATATGCAGAAGGGAGTGGAGATGTATTGGGCATGTACTGAGAACACCATTCGGGGACACTACGCGCCAGGCCAGGCCCTCGAGTGGAACCCAGATGGGAAACGACGAGTTGGGCGTCCTAGGCCAGGGTGACATGGAGGAGATCGTATGAGGTAGAAGTGAGAGCTTCTGGGCAGTCGTGGAGCCAGGTTCAAAAGACTGCACAGAAAAGAGTGCGCTGGGGACGTGCTACTGAAGCCCTATGTTCCACTAGGAACCCAAGGAACAAATAATAAAATGATAAAAATAACAGAGATATTCATGGAGTGATTATTTGTGGTACGGTAGTTTCACTACTCATCTTATACTGGTGTCAATATCTATAGATAATAACTGTAAAGTAATTACTTCATTTAACATAAGTATCTGCCTATATAATAACGGTAATCATTCGATGTGACTGATACCCGAAATACAAGAACTTGGAAAAAGATGAATTCAGGTTTCTAACTTATTGGGGTTGTATTAAACAAAATACTATGTCTCACGTAGATTACTTCTTACGAAATGTAATATTATTGAACTAAGATAGATCCTCATGAAATTTGTAAGCGTAAAACTGAGAAAGTTAATAATGTGTATCTCAGGCTCAACCGTCACTCTAAATGATCCAACTTTAATCTTTGATTAGTGACTACATTTGGAGTTCAGAATGTGCATTCCATCCTAACAGACACTTATCACTCATCTCAGCAAATGTTAGTACTCTCCCTAACATTATAATCAAACTGAATTTTTTACAACAAACTTATCATATAAACTTAATTTTCAATGTTTTACTTATATAAATGTTGGCCTGAATAGCTCAATAACAACTTCTGTGACTGAAGCACTACGTGAAGCAGGTTTTAATCTCTAAGGAGACATCTATCCCCTTGAGGTTGTAAATACGTCTTACCAACGGGGATCAGCAAGTAAAAAACCGTGGTCCGAAATTCCTTACCGATTGCCTTCTCTCAATAATTTCATTGATTCTGGATAGTTAATCTGTATGATTTCACATTTTATTACTTTTACATCGCAATACAGCATTCCTCCTAAGCTTTAGGCTTTATTAATTCTCTTAACTTGTATATATCCCGTAGTCCACTTAGTCTTTGAACAGTTAGTTAACTATTATTATTTTATTCATCCCTTGGGTTCCTAGCAGCACAAAGACATTTTACTGTAGCCTCTGCAGTCTCTTTTTTAACCTGGCTCCACCACTGCCCATTACCTTTCATTGCTTCATCACACAACCTCCTCCATGTCAGCCTCGCCTCGGACACCCAACTTCTCGTTTCCCATTTGGATTACTCTCGACGACCTGGTCAAGTCTGGAACGTGATGTCCCCAAACCGTCTTCTCAGTGTATGCTCAATCCAATCCATCTCCACTTTCTTCACCTGCATATTTGTTGGGCGATAGGTTGTTAGTTGGTTGTTTCGTTAACAGCCAGCGAGCTAGCCAGACTTCCTTGTTGATTATTCTTATTATTCTGGTCATCTGATCTGATCTGATGTTCAGTATGTCATGAGGGTATGCGGCAGCTGTTGATGATGTGTGATGTCTGTAGTTTGTTGGAAATACTTTTCGTAACACGCCAAGTCTCTGAACCATATAGAAGCAAGTAGTGACTTGACTGACTTAGTGTTGAAAATGAGGATGTTGTTCACGCTTTATGCTGAGTGCGGGGAAGTGGAATGGATCATTTCCACACTGACATCCTCATGTGTGCCTGTGGTGCCAACACTTGAAACGATGCGGCCTGAGTAGGTAGGTAGGTGAAGGAGACAACTTGCTCCTGTTGATGGTGATTGGTGCTTGTTGTTGTTGTTGGTTGTTTGGGTATCTTCATCACCTGTGTATTGTTCACGTTCACCTGAAGGGAATTGTGTCTTCGTTGCTGTGCCTGTTGTGTGAGCTTGTTGTTTATCGCCTGTAGATGTTCGAGTTTGTGCTACAAGACATTAGACCTAAATGTAAATCGTCATCGGGGAAATCCAAATTTTCTAGGCTATTTTCATTGGTCCAGCGTAGTTAGTTAACAAAGAGATGGTGAAATATTTCTGAATTAATTGTAACCTTAAATTTATATTATTTTCTGTGTTGATTGAAATTTCTCCTCTTGATTTATTTTCCCACCCTTATATAGGACTCGACTGAATGAATTAGATGAAATGAATAATCGATTCAAGAATCGTTTAAATAATTTAACAAATTCTAATGAAAAATTTTTTAATAGCAGTGAAAATTTACACAATAAATTGTTATTTCAACATCAAAGTGAAATAAATAAATCTCAAGGAATAGAAATTCAAGAAAAAAATCAAATGAACTCTGAAAATAAGTCATCATTTTTTCGTTTGATATCAGATAAAGAAAGTAACGAGGTAACTATTGATGGATTATCTTGTGATTGTAATTATCTCAATTTGCATCTTCATAATAATGAAATACAAGAAAAGAAAATTATTACAAACACTGGTAAGCTTAACATTTTATTCATTGACTAACTTCAATACACAACATTTGAAATATAGAAGTGATTTATCATTATTATTATTATTATTTATCATTTAGGTTCATAACGGAAGACAATTGCTTCAGTAACACATCGTCATTTCAGAAGCTTTCATTTCTTCCTCACACGATCTATACCATATGACCCAAGGACGCCTCCACTCTAGGACGGAGTGCGTGATGTTCCAAAATAGCCTTCTCAGTGTATGTCCAATCCAATCCATCTCCACTTTCTTCGTCTGTATATTTCTTGGACGATGGGTTGTTGGTTGGTTGGTTCTTTGAAAGCCAACCAGAGCTCCTTGTTGCTTATTCAATTATTCTGGTCATCTGATCTGATCTGATGTTCAGTATGTAGTGAGGGTATGCAGCAGTTGTTGATGATGTGTGATGTCTGTAGTTTGTTGGAAATAGTTTACGTAATGCGCCAAGTCTCTGAACCATATAGTGTTGAACATGAGGATGTTATTCACGCCTAATGCTGAGTGTAGTGTAGTGTAGTGCAGTAGATCTGCACACTGATTTCAGATTAATGAAGGAAGACCTGTCTTGCTGTCTTTCGGATTCTAGCTGGCTTTGAAATCCTCATCAATGCTTGTAACGCTTGTAGTTGAAACGCTGTTGCCTAGGTAGCTGAGAGAGAAAACGCCCTCTAGATTTCTCCCGTTCATCGCATGTAGCCCCATCATATAGCATATAGCTGCTGTTCAATGAGGTTGATAAATGTTTGTGGCACTAAAAGCGTAATGTTGAAACAGTTACCTATCAAATCACTTCTCGGTCGACGCTATCAAAAGCCTTTTCAGTATCGATGAAATTGATGTAAAGGGTGAACTGGCATTCTATGCTGTGTTCTATAATGATGCGTAGCGTTGTGATTTGATGTGCACATGATTCGTTCTTTGTGAATGCATGTAGCCCGTTTTGGTTGTGATTTTGAGTGGAGAGCATTTTTCACCCTCTCCAGTATGATGGGGCACAATATTTTGTTTGGGTTGGTTAGGAGTGGAGCATGATTTCTCGTCGATTCTTGGAAAGACTTAGGTTGTCCTTCTTTGAGAGTTTGACAAGGTAGCCCTTCTTCCAATCGGGAAGTAACTTCCTTTCGAAACGTAGTGATGAGAGCGTGTCCATTGTTTTCTCTGTATCTGTTTTCAGTGCTTCTGGAGGAATTCTATCTGGTCCTGCTGCTTTTCCGGCTTTCAGTATTTTCGTGGTCAGTATCATTGTGCAGTCACATTATTTCCCCTTTGAACCAGAGGTAGACATGTTAACTCAGTAATTTATTTGATATCATTTTGACGTTTTAAGTAGCACATGTATGATTACAGTTGGTTAACAGGAAGAAACGGGAATGTGAATACATCCAACACGAATTGTGTTGACCACTAGAATGAATATATGTATACCTAGAAAATTCGAATCTTCATCTCTTTCAATCGGAGTCTGCAACCTTTCGACTAAGGCTACATCAAAACCATCCTCTCTGTTAAATTCACTAATGGAAATACACTGATTGCTAATCACTTCTGTTGAAGCAGAAGATGAACCACTTCAGTGTGGGGATGAACAACGAAAAGAGGAACTGAACACAACTTACAAAACACTGGACAAAGAAGTGAAGAACAATCCGCGGAAAGACAAAAAACACTTCCACGATACACTTGCGAGTAAAACAGAAGAGGCTGCAAGTAGGAGAGACAGAGACCTAACAACATTATATCAAATAACCAGGTTACAATCTGCGAGGGAAGAGATCAACACAGATGACACCAATGAAAGATAAGGAAGGAAACTTAGTTACCAAAGAGGAGAAACAAAGGAAACGATGGGCTGAGTGCTTCAAAAACTCTTAAATCGACAGCCACCACCACCTGAAACTCATTCAGAAATACCACCAGCAGCCCAGCAAACCAACTATCAGTTAACACAGGCCCTTCAACAAAAGCAGAAGTCCTCAATGACATAATGTTAGAATTACTGTTTATGATTGATTTTTTTTTCTAATCTAGTCATCGTGACAGTTTGAAATCAGGTTTACGCATCATCTCCTTTAAAATGTGTTCATAAATCTCATTGATATGTTTTCATTTTGAAATTTAGTTTTATAATTTGAGTTAAATTATCATAGTAATCATATTTATTCCTTTCATGAACTAGAAAATGATTATCTAATCAAAAAACTGAAAAATCAATCGAATAATCTTAATATTAGTGAATGTGTTTCATTGGATTGTAATAGTGAAAATGTTGATGTTATTGATTCACGACAATGGAAGAAATATACTCTGTACAAAGATAATCAAATATGGAAAAATCGGATAATAATGAGATGGAAACTTCTAATATAACACCAGATGATAGCGATAATAATGAGAATGATGAACACTCAGATATTTCTATAGTCTCTCCTCTGCCTGATCATATATGTTCAGATATATTTGATATTCATTATCAAAGTGATGGTTTTATTGATAAAAATGAAGATGTTCAACTCAATAATAATTTCAGTGAAATCTCTAGAGAAATGAACTTTCATAGTGAAATTAAAGAAGAAAGAGAAGAAGAGAATATGAACAAAAGTTATACTTTATCACAAGATAATACTAAAAGTGACAATCATAGAACTGAAGAACATTTAGAAACACCTAAACGTGTATACACAGAAGGCAACAGTAATATAGTAGAAGTAGATGATCAAGAGGTTATCTCCGAGACTGCAGCTTCTTCAGTTTGGCTACCAGATGATGATGACGTTGTTGATGATATACCTGGTGTATTACATCAAGGTAATGATGAAGATCATTCTTGTACTACACGGTCAACGTTAACATTATCACCTCCACCACTTGACACTCAATCTATTAGGCAAGCTGAAGTTTCATTAACAAGTAGTCATGTTCTCCAAAGTATTCAGTTAAATAAAACAATCATATTGTCGGGAGATGAATTTATCAATGATAAAGTTATTCCAAAGCTAACATTTGAGTAAGTGAAATTATTTGACTCATAGTAGAGATAGATCAACTAAAATCAACCATATATGAATATAAGCTATCATTTTATTGATTTTTGAATACAAGATAATTTCCAGATACCTTTTTGTTTATCTTAAATCCTATAGACATATATTTTGTGCAATCATAAACTAGCTACTAATTGTTTTGATTGTATGGATAGGAATTACTATGATGACATCTAGTTAACTGTACAACAGACAAGGTGATAGAAGTTGATACTCATAACTTGAATATTATTACCTTACTGTTATCAAATGTTGACTATGTCAATGGTTAAAGTTAATGAATATCAAAAGAAAGAACTGCTCACCACTTGTCATGTTATATGTTAAAGTTTGTAAAGTGTCAAGATTTCAGAATTCATGAACAGAACAAAAACAAACACTTATATAGAAAGATATGACCAAGGTATATACAAAATATGATTCAAGATTTATGATCAAGTGTGATATGACAATGAATAGGCAAAATTAGAAGACATATAAGCGTGAATATTATTGTTTTCAATTAGTTCTCATCAAGCTCCACGCTTATATACATAAATTTCCTCATATAAAACATTCAACCAATCATGGTGGTAATTAGCAAATGAAGTATGTAAATAGTAGATATCTAAACAATTATACGATGAGTTATGAGGATGGGTTTTCCTGCCAGCCAAGTTCAGCTAACAAAAAAAAAGCTTATCTCGACGTCGATCTACAGTAAGGTACCTCAGCATCACTGTAACTTTTCATATCATATAGCAAATAATAAATGAAGAGAAGGTAGAACATAATAATTTCATTCCATTATTATTGGTATTTTCTTTATTTTCACAGTACATACGGTACTTTGAACTATCTGTATTGTATGGTTTCATGTGATTTGAAGACTGCCTGGCTGGCAACTCATGGTTTTATGACTTTGAACATGTATACACTCTTCATTATCTGCAAAATTTCGAACATTTTATTAACTTTGAATTGCTTATTCTCTCTAACACTTTGCTTCAGCATAACTTTTCTTTCGATTTACTTCATCATTATGTGTTGTTGTGAAGCTTTTCTACTTGAACAAGTGCAATTTTCTACAAATTTTGATTGTGATCTATTTATCTTCATCAACAATAAACTTGTAAAGTGGATTCACGTGTTTTCATGTACTTTGCTTCAGTTCCGTCAAACAGAATAAGTTAGGTTACTTGACCTGTTGATAGAACACCCATTAATATATACATAATTTCAAAAATGTGCCATAAAGCTGTTCTCCTTAATGTCAGCAATACATTTTTGAAGTTGGTTTACTCATTTCTTGGTAATTACGGTAGTTTGAACTATGATTAATGGACGGCTCAATGTGATTTATTGTTAATTTTCTTATAGTATTTGAAGATATTGTCTTCATCCTAGTTATCCTAGTTCAACAGAGCAGCGGAGATTGTTGATTAGGTGATAATCGAGAATGACAGAAACATTAAAGTTTACCATAGAGTTATATTAGCAAACATTATCTTTTATCCGCTTTCCACTTTGCAATATTCTTGGCTTATATCTTTCTACTCGCTATTGTCTATTTTCATATCGGATCTTCACTAATTGATCGTAATCACCTTTTGTGTTTCCCAATGTTGCTCTATATACTATTGATACAAAAATTACCAAAAGTAGCATTCACTGTAGTAGTATTGGTCGTTGGGATATTAAACAATCAGTAAAAAGTAGCTGAATGCAACTTAGACTTAATAATCAGTAAATATATCTACAGATATTTAATGAGAAGGAATGGTTATCTTTGCTTTTAAAATAAGAATTTGTCATGAAATCGGTTTTATCTTTTCATCTTATTACAGATCCAATAAAGAGAACAAAGATCAAGAAGATTACACAGAGGTAGAACAAGAAAAAACAGCTGATGAAACATTGGGAAGCTTAAAAACAAATAAAGATGAAGATATATCAGAAACTAGTAGATGGGATGAGAATCCTACTAGAACAGACAAAGAAATATCAACTGATATACAACAGTTATTGCTAATTCCCAATTTCTTCTCCGCTACACCTCGAATAGAAGAACTATTTACAAATAGATCAAATGACCTTCAAGTAGATAAGTACTCAACAGATTTGAATCATGCTGACAATGTAAACAAAGTGAGTGAAATTGTAGATAGGATACACTTTGTTAGGAGTTAGTTAACTGATTAATAGTTTATTTCGTACTTGGTATAAATGGACACGGTTACTTTCATTTCCCCCTTTTTTTAAGCGTTCTTGAATATATTGGGAATCAGTCACGTTATCATATAGGTTTATATCAGTTGGAAAATCACTGAAAACCAGAGAGCATTGAACATCTGTTCAGTCTTAAAATGAGGCTGATCACATACATGCACCCACAGCTGTATCCAGCACCGAAATGACAGCCTTTACATCTCATGGTTTATTAATCATTATTATTTGTCCCTTGGGTTCCCAGTGGAACATAGCGCTTCAGTAGCAAAAAGCCATTTCACTCTCTTCTCTGTAGTCTTTTATTAACCTGGCTTCATGACTGCCAATCACCTTTCATTTCTTCCTCACACAACCTCCTCCATGTCACCCTCACCTCGGATGCCCAACTCATCGTCTCCCATTTGGGTTCCACTCGACGGCCTGGCCTGGAGCTTGATGTCCCCAAACCGTCTTCTCAGAATATGTCCAATCCATCTCCATTTTCTTCACTTGCATATTTGTTGGGCGATAGGTTGTTGGTTGGTTGTTTCGTTGACAGCCAGCCAGCCAGCGAGACTTCCTTGTTGATTATTCTTATTATTCTGGTCATCTGGTCTGATCTGATGTTCAGTATGTAGTGAGGGTATGCAGCAGTTGTTGATGATGTGTGATGTCTGTAGTTTGTTGGAAATAGTTTACGTAATGCGCCAAGTCTCTGAACCATGTAGTGTTGAAAATGAGGATGTTATTCACGCCTAATGCTGAGTGTAGTGTAGTGTAGTGTAGTGCAGTAGATCTGCACACTGATTTCAGATTAATGAAGGAAGACCTGTCTTGCTGTCTTTCGGATGCTAGCTGGCTCTGACATCCTCATGTGTGCCTGTGGTGCCAACACTTGAAACGATGCGGCCTGAGTAGGTAGGTAGGTGAAGGAGACAACTTGCTCCTGTTGATGGTGATTGGTGCTTGTTGTTGTTGTTGGTTGTTTGGGTATCTTCATCACCTGTGTATTGTTCACGTTCACCTGAAGGGAATTGTGTCTTCGTTGCTGTGCCTGTTGTGTGAGCTTGTTGTTTATCGCCTGTAGATGTTCGAGTTTGTGCTACAAGACATTAGACCTAAATGTAAATCGTCATCGGGGAAATCCAAATCTTCTTCTAGGGTTTTCTGGTTGGTCAAACAGCGTATGACTATCTTGTCACAGTTTTTTGCATGATCCAGTCCACCACAGGCGTCTCATAGTGAGCACACTATTAGAACTCAACGGTTCACACGATCTTACTCCAGTCACTTTACAGTGTAGTAATCTGCTCACCTCGAGACCTGACGTCGTAATCCTCGACCTAACATACAAGTTAAGGTGCACACTGTTAAATAATCCCTAACTAAGCGGAATGAGCTATTCAGTTCGTTTTGATTTAAATCAATTCATCAGCTGAAGTTGATCCATGATGAAAATTTGAATAAATTCCTTCAAAAACATTCCGAATGAATTTTATACGAACAACTTGATAAATTCATATATAACAGATTCTAATGGTCTTTGTCTCTATACTGTCTACATAAATCAAAGGCAATATTGATCTGTGTCATCTTCTCTATGGTTATTTTCTTTTATCTGTTTATTTCATTACTCAACTGATGTTATTAATTCCCTGTATACTGTAACAAAACTTAACAATTGCATGCTTTGGCTGTTGAATTTGTTTTTATAAAAATAGCGTGGATGATCAAAGTTTAAAAAAGCCAAATGATTACAAAATTTCTTGAATTGTTAACCAAATTCAAACATGATGTTTGGCGGAGTTTTTTTTATATTTCGAACACATAATTCACGCTGTTTAAGTTTAAATAGTTATAGTTTTTTTTTTACAGTTTGAAGGAATCCAAGCTTTGATGGCTTCTGGTAAGTTTTCTTGTAAAACAGTCCAAAAGTTTATCAACTTAAATATCAATTAGGATTTGTGATCCTTGAATGAAATAAATTTCCTTTTGGCATGAATCAGTATTAACCTTTCAATTTGATTAAAAACTAAAATATATATCTCAAGTTGTTATGAATCGTAGACTGACATCAGTTAGAGGAACAAAGGAAATCTGGGAACACTGGACAGCTGTTTTATCCTAGTTTGGAACTTCTCAGCAATGCGCGGGTTCGGCCCCTGGCGGGGTCGTGGGACCCCATACTAGGACGAAACAGCTGTCTAGTGCTCCGGGTTTCCTTTGTTCCGGCAACTGATGTCAATCTACCATGAATAACAACTTAAAATATTTCCAAATCTTCACAACTTCCTCAAAATTCGATTGAACTGGTGCTCATTGGTGATTAGCTTCGAGAGGTATTCCAGAAGTTCCAATGAGAAGTCGTGACCGGCAGGGGCAAAGCCTGATGGTCTTGAGGATAGTTACTCAACGATGATATTGGGTGGCGGTTGCGCTATATCGTGAGCTTACAGAAGTTGGAAATATGGACGATTGGATTCTGACCCAGTGGCTCAATGGTAACGTGCTGGCCACAGAACCTGAAGGTCAATCTACGATGAATAACAACTTGAAATATTTCCAAATCCCCACAACTCCCTTAAAATATATCTGTCAACAGCACAGAGATTAGATGCACTGTGATTGTCTTAGTATTGGATAGCATTGGAATTCAAGATGTATATTTTGTACTCCTTGAGACTAGTTGTCTATAGATGTACCTGCATCCCAGTGAGTGTTGATATTTTCACTGAAGCGCAAACCTAGTACACATCGATTTAAATACCACAAGGTTAACCATTTGATTGAGGAATACCATCACTTACTTGAATACAAGTATATCCAGCTGGTTAAGTGATAAATAGGATGATATACATACCTGGGATTCTATTGTTAGCTACCAACAAGCAAATTGTATTCATTCGAAAGCTTTATATGTTAACAGAAATAGGTTGATTCATTTCAGTATAAAAATCAACGAGACATTATAAGTGTCAACAAATTAGATATAACACTTTTTATTCTATGAAAAGTGCTGAAAGTTAGATAGGTAGGTAGCTTTTAAACCTGATTCCTGTATCATTTTCATTATTCATGCTTTTATAATTTTATGGATACATTCAACTGTATTTTCATTAACCTTCTGTTAAGAATGTAGATCCATTAAGAAGTCGATTGAATGCTCGTCTATCAGAAGCTGTTCATACAATTAATACAACAGCATCATTTAAAGATAAACAACAAACAACAAATAGTACCAATATGCTAATCACTGATACAATATCTGCTTTAATCACAAATGGATATAAGACACGAAGCTTAAAGAAAGCTGAACGCATTTTTAATATGACACTGAAATGAACTAAATCACCATTATAGTATCTATCATCTGTGTATGGCTGTTACATTTTTATATACTAGTAAAACTTCCACTTTTCTCTAACCTATACTGCTATTTAGCATATTTTGTAAATTGTTTTTCTTGTTTTTAAAACGCAAACTAATATACACACTTTATTCTATAGGACAGTATCGAGCTTTTACTATTTTCGATAGACAAATTTGTAATATCAAAATAGGACTTGAAACGTAGATTACAAACAGAAAGAGAATGAAATGAAAACAACATAGTCAACTGTAGTAGAAAGTCATATGATAAGAAGAGGCGATCGACTTAATAAAGAAATATGGTATTACGAATTAAACGAAAATACAACATGAATACATGTGCACAATTGCTATCGATTCTTAGACATCTCATTCATGGATAAATACCATGCCTCTGTTTAGCTGTTCTTTAAATCCACTCCTACTTCCGCTAATTGAGAAAAACGGTGAATAGGCAAGGATAACATGCAAATCGCCCAGCTAAGCTTACAACTTCACAATATAGCTTATCTCTGTCACTCAGCACGGTATTCCATATCTTTACACTGCTGGTGTAGCACTCCTTACCATATACCAGTAATGATATGAAAGCAACGATGAAACTGTTACAGTCTTATTACGCTATTCATCTAAAGTGAGTATTTTTAGCAGCTACAAGGTTAGGATAGAGCAAGCTGCTGAGAAGTACACTCATCAACCGGCACCTGAAGTCGGGGAAAATCAATCGAGTCTTTTGTATCCATGATGAGATTTATCAGTCATCAATTTATCACAACTGATTCATTTTTCAACATAAATGAAGCACCGAACCGCCTCACTCTTTGTTATCATCCAAGCACCTCATTGTAGACCATTTCTAAAGCTGATTTTTTCTATTTATTTCGGAGGTATGCAATATCAAGACAGGATAGAAGAGAAAACGTGGAAAGATGTGCAAATAGGGTGGTGAAAATCGAACACATATACTCAACTCAATTTGAAGCATTTTCTATTACATTTCTAATAACAATTTTTTTATGATTTGTGAACCTCAACTAGGAAAGTTACATAACATCAAACAAATCTGTCATGGTACGATTCCTTTCATACTTCAAACATCTAATTCAAGTAACATCGTACTTCCAAAATGACTAATTATGGTTCTTGTGCAACTTGATGATGCCATATATCAATTAAACACTTTATATCTGCAGCATTTTCGAGATGACAAGTTCACTGATACTGATCTGATGAAGTCCCGTCCTTAGGAATCAAATCACCTACGATAACCATGGTTTTTAAAACTGTCACGATACACAAAGGTGATTTTGTTTGTTAGACCGTGAGTTGAGTCACGGCTGAATTTTGAAAGTTCGTAGTGTCGACATCAGAAACAAGCTATCGGATGAAATTTGTAAACAAACTGTTAACTGTTCATGTCCTACTTTATACCAGTTCATCTGAGTCAGTTAACCAGATTTACTTCAGTTGACCAGTTCGACTCCTAAGTGAGCTGAATTCTTCCAAGTATATTGATGACCAAACTGTCTTGTAAAAAGATCACTTTGATCTGGCTACAGAAATCAATAGCTCAGCATGAATTGATTCCAAATACTTGTGTTACTCAGTAGTGCATGATCCTTATAATAATTGCAGGACTTGAAGTACTGGAATAAATTACCAGTAAAAATGCTTACCAAGTCATAAGGAAAGCATTTCTTTTTATCAATATCTTCGAAAAGCCAGATTATCCTGACTGACCAGGTTAAATCAACGTAGAACCTCTCACGCAAGTGGATCGGCACAAGTTACCGCACTTCACAGTAGCATGCAAAGAATAAGTGGATAGAAAAAGACTGATATCAAAGTAGATAACGTTGTGTGAGAATAAATAATCTGAAGGTATAGGTTAGTGTGAACATTCAAGTTATAGAAGACGTCAAAGAGTGAATTCATCTGTGCCATGATGACCGATTTTCAGCCATATCACTAAGGCCCCCCAATCACTGATTCTCATCGTCTCAGGAACTCCAAATTGGCAGTCTACATCTTCCCACACCCTTCAGACCAACAGTAAGAAACTTCAACGATTTCTGCCAAGTTTTGGTCTGGCTACCCTGAACACTTTCAACTTAATCGAATTTCACTTAGCATGGCACGCCGAGGTAGGTGAAGCCTCGCAGGGGTATGGGTAGTACATGTTCAAGCCATCTTAGTCGACTAAGGTTTACAACCTTGCCACACGACCTAGAAAGAATCCTTCACCTGACCTCAACATTACTCACACAGTGATTGAACAGCCATGTCTCACAAGACGAAACCGGATGCAGCACAGTATACTCGTCCTTCGATAGAGAGACGGATATCTTGCCAGTTGGCGCAAGTTGAGAAATGAGAAACGGGCCTCCTTGACTATCCGAGCTGAGATTTCGTCAGAAACCAGCCCGTTCGGGCTGATACAACTCCCCAAGTAAGTGAAGCGGTCTACACATCCCACCACTTTACTCCCTATCACTAAGCTGGGAGTAATTGCAGAGGACTAGTCCTAGAGCATCATCTAACATTTGACGGCACGTACAAAACGCATGTCAAACATACAGATTTCTGCTGAGTCCAGAAGGCCTTGCATTTTGCCAGCGTCTTCACGCAGCAGGAAAATATCATCTGTGTACCCAAGGTTTTATCCATTAGTAAGCGTATAACGATGTTAAATATGAACGGTGACAGTGGACACCCACGGCGAAAACTAACTACTGTCGTCAATTCTGATAACCTCTCTCCATAATCCCTTACACAGTTGCGTGAGTTTGAGTAGAGAGCTTTGATTATATACTTGATCGGTACTCCCCCACACTTACACTGGCAAAATATCTCACGGTCTACAGTCACATACCGCCTTCAGGTCAAGAAATATAGCAAAGGTCGGCCATTGGTCGGTAGGCATGCCTGTTACAAACCTGTCAGAGGGTGGGAACATGTTCGATGCACCCTCGTTCAATTGTGAAACCTACCTGGTTTTCACGATGGAAGATCCAGTTAGGCATGGGATAACTATGAAAGCCAGGATTTTGAACACAATAGTAGTCAAATTAGTTTCCCTATGGTTGTCAGATTATTCAGAACAATGGGAAGGTTAAAGAAAACAATTGGTTTATAAGCAGCACTTTGTTTAATGCAAAGCTAGTGTCGTTTTATACATTGTTCAGTAGGGGAAACAAAAATAAGCAAGTACGTGACTTATGTCACCTCGACTTGCACTTAACAACTTCCCAAATCGAGTACACATTGGGAAGACAGAGTTGTACTGGTTTCCTGGAAAACTTCTCAACGAATCTATACTTTCATGAAACAAACAGCCCTGTCACGCGTCACTTAAGGGATACGGAACATGTGGTCGACATTAAGAGTTCTATGATGATCAGTCAACAGCAAAATTCAAATTTACTCCGGTCTGTACAGGCCATCACAATCTTCCCTCTCCCGTTGTTGCAATTATTGGTTTCTAGGCAGCTAGACTTGATTACAACACCAAACAAGGAAGGTTTGGAATGTTTTGGTTGATTAGAAGATAAACTATGTGTATTCTAACCGTGCTGACCTGTAAACTTCATTCTTCCTTCCAGAGCTGTGAAATACAGATGAACGTAATTTCCCAGTCTTATTAAGACGAACCATTTCATGACTGAACTTAACAGAACTTTCAAACTTCAGTACAGCATACGGTAGATCGTATGGAGGCTTTTTCTTTCCTGCTTAACAGAATTCAGTTTCAACTTATCACGTAAAATTAGTGGGCTATTCATATGATTTATGGAAGATAGATATTTCAATCTGTAGTGATTATTGGGGATATGAGGTCAAATCGATCGTGATATTACATAGGTTGAACAAGTAATTTCAATTTATTGTCATTACGGTAAATGCCATATGACGTGACTAAATCTGGAGGTTGCTGTCACTCCATTAAGTAGCGATGAGTTATTTTTGCATATTGAAAAAAGACGCTTTTTGATGTTCATTTTATGCACGTCCCCCTCGAGTTTATTGCTTACTACTTTTATAATTCGTCAACGTTTCATGTTTTAAGCTTCAATTTTAATTTCAAGGTGCAGATGTATCCATACATTATCCTCAGCTTAATCGTCATAATGAATTCAGTATTTGATTTCCCTTATCACGACTTTCTACCACTTCGACTACTTTCTTCTCTATTTCTTGATCTTTCATCTGAATGCTTTCTCGGTTAATGAGTTGTGGCAACTTGGGCTGTTATATAGTAATGCTTGGTCCTATATTGATCAGAGACAGAAATGATAGGGGTAGTGTCACAACAGATTGAAGTGAATACGCGAACTGATCTATACTGATCTAGCTCTTGAAGCACCTACACACGGTTTTCGTAACCCATATCACCACAATCCCTCCGTTATAGTGATTAATATACAATCAAAAGAAGAACTAAAATCCAGACAAATTTACTATCAAAATATCTCCAATCAAACTGAACACAAGAGCAATCGTTAGAAAGGTATATTATTTACAAGCACCCCAGTCATTTAATAACTTCTACCAAATAAAGTGTAAGCCTCCGCTTTTCGAGAACAATGTGCAGAGTTGAAACAAGGTGTACCAGGTGCTGGAGTTCCACAAATCAACTTCGGATTGAAATCACAAGTAAATGGAATACATAAACTTTTAGCTCCCATTGCTGGTGCACCGGGTTCGACAATAACATTCCTATGAAAAAGTAAAGAATACATCAAAAGCCTATCATCTCGAATACTTCGAAGAAGAAGAAAACACATCGGTAAGGAATGCGTTACAAATATGAAGTATCTGATGTACAATATAGTTCTACTATTGACAATAAATGCTGCTAAATTCCAACGACATATAACCTTACAAAATATATATCATGACTGAAAATAACTTTCATAAATTAAAATAATCGAAATCATTTATGCTTGTCTACGGCCTCAAACATTCGACTTTCTCGCTTCATCTACTTCAGTTTGGGCAAGTAGATAATCATTATACAGTTAGTGTGGCTGACAGCGTGAAACAAAACTATATCAGGTAGCTGAATTGTTAAATCAGCTGAAAAAGCGGCCAGTATACGTGTGACAGGCAAACGAGTATTACTTTATATCACATTAAGACTGAAAAGGAAGCATATGAAACTAGTCCCAAAATAGTCATATAAAATTAACTATATTTTCAGAAGCATCTTTGTTATATCTGGCACAATGCAATAAAATACATCTCTTTTTCCGCACCTCTCCATTAGACACAAGAGTTGAAACTGACATAATATAATTTGATATCATATACATGTGCAACCGAAAGCTCTGAAAAAAACACATAGATAAGACCTAATGATATAATTCACCTTTATGAATCCCTACACCTGCATTTACAATGTGAACGCCTAACTAAGCATTATCCACAATAAGTTAAACAATAATGTAACTCGGTAACCACTCCCTGGAAATCTTGTCTATCGTTGAAAGTCTGATGATGTTATCCAAGATTTCGGAGGTTTGAGGTAGTGAGATAGTAATTTAAACCTGAAACTCAACAGATTGGTTATCGAGTCTATAAATCACCGACCAAAAGGCTCAACATATGATGAAAGTATGTGGGAAACTAGAGAAAAAAGCTTTTAAAAAAATAGTTTTTCGAAAACAGCCAATTACTTCCTTTAAGCCAGAAATATGCTTTGCATCACTCACGTTGACGATTCAAGTCATCTTCATTCAAATCAACATAGGACCAGGCATTACTGCATAACCTCATATCACTACATCAAGGTAACTACGACGCAATAGAGGGAAAAATGAAGAAAATGAAATTCAGTCAAAAGAAATATAAAGTACTAAGAGAGAGGGAGAGGAAGAAGGAGAAAATGAAGAGATTCAATATAGCGTCGTTAAGATAAAGATGTGTGTGGGGATACATCTGCGCCGCTGATATCGGTTCTGAGCCATATGATCACCTAGTCTCCAGCCTCTGGTTTCTCTTATCCTGCGGACCCCAACCGGCTAGACAATGAAACTTATCTATCATGTATGATAGAACTAATGATGAACATGTAGTACAACTTAAGCGTATAACTAAGCATTGATAACGCTGGAAACATGTACCAATGTTTATTTTAAGAAAATAAATAAAACTGTATCAAAACATACCTAGCTGATTCATGCCTAATCACTTCCTCACAATGTTCGTCGCAACAGAAAGGAGCCAATGCAAGAGATTTCTGATCTAAAGCTGAACATAATCCATTCATATCTTTAACAGCAATCACATGATTACATAATGAATCGAGAGCTTTCTTAAACATTGCATTATGAATATCATCTAGTATACGAGGTAAATGATCTATAAGTGAATCCATTGGGACATTCATCTAATTTGTAAAGTAGTGCAAAAGAATAAAAAGTTAGTTTGTTTAATAAATGAAATAATAAATATGTGGTTAAATAGCGTTGAAAATATTGGAAATAACAACAGGTGAGCAGTTTACAGTACTAACTATTGAGAGACCAATACATTCGGTAATTGTAAACATATGTGCACCAGAGCCAAGGCTTTTAATGGTATCCCAATTATTTTCCAACCTCGTCACTCAATGTAGCAACTAGTCACTTTATCACTCAAGTATTTAGACCCCAACTGACCCCTTATAGAAGTGGGCCATGTACACGAGTTGGTCAACAATGCGTAACTGACGTCTCTGTCAAATCCTAAATGCTTAGCAGTGACCAAGTTTATTGATCAAGTGGAGTAACACTCCGAACCATTGTATTTTGGTACTTAAGGTTAAGGTTCAAAAGGGCAGAAACTCTTTGACGTTGGCTTAATGGTCACATCTCAAACTTGATCGACAGACTTGAATCAGTACTAACCACCTAGGACTACAGAGCTAAATAAGTTGCCATCTAATGACCGGTTCATCTGAATACTCCGGTCCTACAAGGAATTAGTCGTGATCTGAATAGCTTCGTGGTGAAGTTTCTGGCTTGAACATAGAGTGATGTGGATACAAATCTTCAAGTGAACATCAATTCCATTCAAATTACAGATGAGTCACAATAGATATGAAACCTGAATCCAGTGTATTCTGATGCTTCATTTCTAACATGTAGTATCAAAATATATCATAGAGAGTATACAAAATAGGTTAAAGAGAAGACAGCCAGTTTGGCATTAACCTAGTGAAGAAGAATTGGGATCTACGGTGAAATTCGCAATCAGTGTTCAAAAATGTAAGTGACCAACCTGATATTTTCTATACTGAGTGATGATTGAAGATGAAATGGAAATTTGAACCGCAGCCGAATTCCAACCAACGACCATCGGGTTTCTGGCCTGATGCTTTAATCAACTGAGCTAAGAGGTCGGGCAAAAACCTTAGTGATTGAATTATGAAATAAAAATCTGATCAGCATTCAGACCTCGTAGCTCAGTTGTTTGAGCATCAGGTCGGAAACCCAGTGGTCGTTTGTTCGAATCCGGCAGCGATTCAAATTTTCATCTCACCTTCAATCATAATCTAGTATATAGATACGGCTAACTCAGATAGTCAAGTGATAATTGATACTTTTTAGTTAATCATCATCTGCTTGCAAAACAAAAGCCTTAATAACAAAGACTGATCATAATAAATTATTGGACTCAATATTGTGTAACGTAAAAGAGGAAATGAGATATAACTCAGAACTGAGAGTGATATCAACCATATAATTAACTTGAAAGGACGCATGGCACATTACTTTAGCACTGAGGAAAGGAATCTTTCAGTTCTATTGGGTAATTAAATGTTAGTCACATAAAATAAACTCTTGAGAACACAAAGATTTGATAATAAAAACTCACTCTTTCTGAATTATGTCTAAGCACTAGGCATACTTTCTTTTCAGCTACTTCTTGAGGTCCAATTTCCAAGCGAATTGGCACACCTTTCAATTCCCAATGGTTAAATTTCCATCCAGGAGATACATTATCTCGATCATCATAGTGTACACGGAAATTCTTATCAGATTTACTCAATAACTGAAACACAGAATGGGCAGCAGACAGTAGACTTTCTCTTTCTAGAGCAGATGTCTTCACAGTAATACCACAAGGGACAATTACAACCTGTCGCAGGAAATAAATTTTAAAAAAGTTCATTTTAGGCATACACAGTAATTGAGTTGAACAATAATTTGGAGACATGAAACAGACTTTAACAAAACAGTGAATGATAACGACATGAAGCGCGCCATCTTCAAAAGATTTTATTCATATAAACCATTTTAATAGGATTTTGTAAATCGGAAAATGAATAATGCATTCCCAATACTCATCGGCACCGTAACCTTGTTGATCACGTCAGACTACGAAAGACTCCCTCCAGAGTAACTGCATTACATTATGAAAAACCCTTTCAATACCGATTATATATCTTTATGTCCTACTCACTGAACAGGAGTTATAATATCAACATGTAGCTGGAAACAACAGGCCTTCATTAACCCTGGAATCAGTGTGGAGATCTACTGCACTACACTCAGCATAAAGCGTGAACAACATCCTCATTTTCAACACTAAGTCAGTCAAGTCACTACTTGCTTCTATATGGTTCAGAGACTTGGCTGTTACGAAAAGTATTTCCAACAAACTACAGACATCACACATCATCAACAGCTGCCGCATACCCCCACTACATACAGAGCATCAGATCAGATCAGATGACCAGAATAATACGAATTAGGAACAAGGAGCTCTAGCTGGCTGGCTGGCTTTCAAAGAACCAACCAACCAACAAATATGCAGGTGAAGAAAGTGGAGATGGACTGGACATAAATTGAGAAGACCGATTGAGGACATCACGCACCAGACCAGGTTCTCAAGTAGAAAACGATGCGTTGGGCGTCCGAGGTGAGGGTGACATGGAGGAGGTTGTGTGAAGAAGAAATGAAAGGTGATTGGCAGTCATGAAGCCAGGTTAATAAAAGACTACAGAGAAGAGAGTGAAATGGCTTTGTGCTACTGAAGCGCTATGTTCCACTAGGAACCCAAGGGAGAAATAATAATAACAATAATAATAATAATAATAATAATAATAATAATAATAATAATAGAAGGAAACAAACTGCAACAACAGCAGAGCACAAAATAAAGTGATTTTAACATTGAGTTCTAAGTGACTAATTGATTTGAAGATATTTCACAATAGTTCAACTTGGGCTAGAGAACCAATCAAAACTAATAAGCAAATATCAGATAGAAGTCTGTAATGAGGATGTTCATCTGTGACGATAGGTGATAAATACACCACATAATTTGAATGATCAACGTTAGAAATTCCAGTCTTTAAATATCCATCCTCCTAGTTGGATAGTGAAATGCTAGCAGTGAAACCTAACAACTCTGAGTTCACTGCTTCATACTATCAAGAATATACGCTGTAAGAGAGTCATAAAATCCAATTTTCTAGTTATCAGTGATGGTGCTGTTAATTTTACGTTATCATAAAAATCATCTACAAACACCTATATTAGATAGATTCAAGCAAACAGTTTTATGCACGGATAAAACAATGTCATACATTGGATACAGAAAATAAAATGTAGAAGAAATGAATTTGAAATGTATTCTGATCTTGATATAAGGTGGTGAATAAAATTATTTCAATTTATGAAACAAAGTTGAAAAAATATACTAGCAAAATTTTTCAATATATATAATAACACCACAATCCTACCTGATGAGGTGCAATCCGTGGTGGTAATACAAGACCTTTGTCATCACTATGCACCATAATCAAAACACCTAATGTACGGGTAGTAATACCCCAAGAATTTTGGTAAACATAAGCAGGTTTTCCAGTTATTGGATGATCATAAGTCACATCAAACATACGACTAAAATTCTGTCCTAAATGATGAGATGTAGCACCTTGAATTGCACGTCCATTTCCACTAATATAAATCTCTACAGTTGTTGTATAATCTGCACCAGCGAACTTTTCACGTTCAGTTTTACAGCCTATGAGAGAAATAAATAAGTAGAAATTTATTATATATATATATATATATATATATATATATATATATATATATATATATATATATTGCCACGGTCTCAGTTTCAATATATTGTAGCTTATGAAATATGAGTTCATATGCAATTGTGTTGAAACTTTTTATAGTAAGAAATTTCTGTTATTGAAAGCTTTGCTATCAATAACCTTACTTCAGAGTATATATCTCTGAAAATGTTTTCAGCTGCAAAATCTCCTAAGACTTTATTGATGCAAAACATACAAGAAAAAGCGAATTAAACGAACAGTTTGATTATGAATAACTAAAACTAGAAAAAGATAAGAAATAAAGTTAATAAAGAGAATGTATATATATTTGTACAACTATGATCAACAGTATGCTGGCTTTTTGTGATCATAACTACCGATTTTGGCCGTCTAGGAGTGAATAGTGAAAAAGGATGGTAATCTAGTATAATCTAGTATACAAGCAAGTGTATAGTAAACCATAAATCATACATGAACACAAAATCAGATTCGAAGATTTCTGTCAATCATTCATAGGTGAGTGTGCTTTACTCAGTGATATATCATCCTTTTTATTGCATCCAGGCTGTATGATATATGGTAGGATATATGCAGAGGTGATGGGTACGTGTAGTTAGTTTATCGTTACATTTTCACCTCACTTTGATTGAACAATTTTTATTCCTTAGAATAATATGAAAACCAGTCGAAATGGATATCAATGAAAATAAAACGACAAGAATTTCACAAGAACTTTTATGACTAGTGAACCATACATACTACTATAGTTAGACTGTTAATTAGAATCAAAGTATCAACTTCACAACAGCATCTACTAACCATTAACAGAAAAAGTTAAATACCCAGTGAATAATTATCATACTGACAACACAGCATGTATATCTCTTAAAATATATGACAATGGATAAGTAATTGGCAAACACTATCGAAACAGTAAGAAAAAGCAAAAGATCATAACTTCAATATTACTAATTGCAGATTTATTTAGACAAAAAAAGTTTATAAAAATAAAATCATTGACAATGGCAACATTACCTTTGACCACAGGGATTGCAAGTAAGTATTCATAAACCTCAGCATAAAGATCAAGTATAATACGAACTTCTGCCTCCGCTTCAGCTTTCTCTGCAAAGGCAGTATGTCCTTCTTGCCAGAGAAATTCACGTGTACTAGAAAAATAAACAAGAATAGATGTGTTAGGCTAAGCCAAAATTAAAAACCATGTAAAATGTACGAAGCACAAATATGACAATATATTATGATCACTTTTACTCGCTTAAAATATTTCAAAACCATGAATTACCTAGTGGATTTCTTCAAAAATTACAACGCTCAAAATCATAGAACCAAAAATACCGATTTATTTGCAATATGCTACTAATCTACACAAAGACAATATGAAAACTAACCAAAATACAGACGTCTAATCGTGATATGTTTGGGTGTGGCTCTTAGCCTACTGAACAAATGTGCACAAGACCGCCGCTGAAAGCATTTCAATTCTACTGAAACAATGGAAAGGTTCTAATGATTTCATAACTAATTGTTACTGTTTTGAATACACGCTGATAACAGCAATTTACTACTCATAAACCCAGTTTTCTATGAACTAAAAAAGAGAATATGGATTTGGTTTACACATTTGCGGTGTAACCGAGATGTACATTCACCGCCATTCATCCAAATCATCATAAGACCAGGCATTACTGCGTAACCCTCCGAGTTCCCACACCTCATATCACTACTCCAAGTAACTACGACGCAATGAAGTGAAAGATGAAGAAAATGAAATTCAGTCAAAAGAAGTATAAAGTACTAAAAGAGAGAAAGGAAGAATGAGAAAATGGAGAGATTCGATATAGCGCCGTTAAGATGAGGATAATATGTATGGGGATACATCTGCATCACTGACTTTGGTTCTCAGCCATATCGTCTAGAATCAGTCTCCAACCAATGGTTCCTCTTGTCTTTCAGACAACCCAACCGACTATTCTGCATCACCACACATGGCTCAAATTAACAGCCAAACACTTCCATACATTGGCGCCATGTTTTAGTCTGACCACCTCGAGCCACACAGACGACGACTAGGCATGCGTAACACATGTCGGAGCCAACCATCTCAGTCGATGAAGGTCACAACCCTGTCAACTGACCTCTTCTCCCTCAAACTCTACACCAGACTTCTGCGTTACTCACCTGATGACACCACGGAATGTGGCCTATACTACGAAGGTAACGGTGGTCAAACACCTGAAGCCTTCTCATGTCTTCCACCTTCAATGGCCATGTTTCACAACTATGCAATAGAACAGAGTTGACTGGTGTGCAGTACACGCGACCCTTAATAGACAATGGGATATCATGGCGGCGCCAAAGGTGGTGTGAGTTGATAAAAGCGAGGTGAGCCTCTTGTATTCGAGGAGAGATTTCACCGACCACTGACTGAGCCACCAGGGCTGATCCTACTTCTCAAGTAAGTGAAATGGTCAACACACTCAACCACTTGACTCTTTATTGTTAGCCGTGGTACTGTCGAAGACCAATCCTGGAGCAACAATTTGTATTTAGATGGTAAGAAATACATCCCAAACACTCTTAAATTGCCACTCAAAGTGTCGAGAAGAATACATTCTGTCAGTGTCTTCATCGTCATGAGGAAGAGTCGCTTGGTATACAGTATAAAATGTTTTCATACCCTTAGGTAAACGTTACACTGTTAGACAGACGAAAAGAAAATACGATCTGAGATAAGTGTTCAGCAGTTCAAACTACCTATCAAGGTCAATTATACTAATTGTGAGGTGTGGTAACTTGAACAGTAACGCAATGTTGCCAAGTACCATTTTGATTTCAACTGACTGGCTGACAATACTTAGGGTATGATCGATCATTTGTAGAATCGATACAGTTTAAGTACACACCTAAATAACTTGGTTGTCATATAAGTTCGAGAAAATCTATTAAATTATACACCATTTTCACTGTATTGCTATTTCAAACAAATATTACTACTTCTAATCACACAAACGTAATCAAGATGGAAAAAAAAACACTTGATCACACAGCTGTAACGTTATCAATTTACCGTAGAAAAGGTTGAGGATGTTTAAATTCCCAACGGACAACATTACTCCACTGGTTTATACGAAGTGGTAGATCACGATGAGATTGAATCCATTTGGCGAATAATGGATACATAATAGTTTCACTAGTTGGTCGAATAGCATTGGTTCAGTCAGATCTGAATCACCTGATTTTGTCACCCAGGCTACCTGTTACAAAGAAGATTGAAACAAACAACTTATTTATCTATATTCAAATCAAAGTTAATTACTGTCAAAATTGCTAAAATATCCAAGGAACCCTGAAGAATATTGAAGCTATGAAGGTATATGGTATGGTTTATAGTTGCAGATAGAATTATTTTGAATTCATAAACAACAACATCAGTATAGTATGAGTGTAAATTTAGCAAGCTAAACTCCTAAATGCAATTTGAAATCAAACCATAAATTGAACGAGAGTTAACGACTAATTTTAAAACTAAACAGATTATTATTATTATTTGTCCCTTGGGTTCCTAGTGGAACATAGGGCTTCAGTAGTATGTCTTCAGTGCACTCTGTTCTCTGCAATCTTTTGAACCTGGCTCCACAACAGCCCACAAGCTCTCACTTCTACCTCATACGATCTCCTCCATGTCACCCTCGCCTCGGGCGCCCTACTCGTCGTTTCCTATCTGGGTCCCAGTTGAGGGCCTGGCGCGTGATGTCCCCGAATGGTCTTCTCAGTGCATGCCCGATCCATCTCCACTTTCTTCTGAATATTAATTGCAAGGTAGCTTCTTCGTTGGTTCGTTGCCTGGCCAGAGTTCCCTGTTGTTTATTCTTTCTGGCCGTCTGAGCTTCAGCAACGAGCGTAGTCATACTATATATTTAATCGCTCAAAAAGGAAGTGAATGCAGAATATTTAAATATTGGCGTATACACAATATAAAGTAAAATGGCACTTACCTCGGGTGCAAAATCAGTTACATGATTCTTTTCACGCTCTAAAGCTGATTTTGAAACAAACATTGGAAAATAAGCATTTTCTATACCCATCAATTTTAGTTTTTCATCCATAAATCGTTGAATTGATTGCCACATATTGTAAGCCCATGGTCGTATAATATAACACCCACTTATATCGTAATAGTCAAGTAATTCTGCTTTTGTAATCAGTTCAGAATACCATTCAGAGAAAACTGTTTCTTTCGAAGCTTCAATAGCTAATCTACATTCAAATGGATGTAAATTATAAACAAAACAGATAAGCTAACAAGAAACTGTTTCATCAAAGCTAAATATATACTAATGTTTGACGATGATAATTGATGCATTTGATCGTTATATATCAACCCTATGTGGAAAAGTGAACAACCATACGATGAGTTTTGCTGAGCATAACTTCAAAGAGCTAACATACAAAGCAGCTACAACAGTGTTAACCGATATTATAGTCAAGTGGAATTCGAAGACAGATCGTTCTTCAAAAAGGTGAGTTTATCTAGCAGTCAATGTCAATGATTTGGACGTGTTTAACATAAGTAACCTACAACATCCTGTCCTATATAGGCAAGTGAATATAACTTAAAATTTTACAAGCGTCCTATCGAACCGGTACTACAAGCTAACCATGACTTGTGCTTTATATTCCTACGCAAAAATTACACAAAAAATATCACTACTGCAATAATAACAAGCTTCTTCATCCATTTTGAAAACATTAAGTTTATTTCACCGTACCATGACAGCGTTCGGCCAAATGCAAATTGTTGCTCCAGGATTGGTCTTCGACAGTACCACGGCTAACAATAAAGAGTCAAGTGGTTGAGTGTGTTGACCATTTCACTTACTTGAGAAGTAGGATCAGCCCTGGTGGCTCAGTCAGTGGTCGGTGAAATCTCTCCTCGAATACAAGAGGCTCACCTCGCTTTTATCAACTCACACCACCTTTGGCGCCGCCATGATATCCCATTGTCTATTAAGGGTCGCGTGTACTGCACACCAGTCAACTCTGTTCTATTGCATAGTTGTGAAACATGGCCATTGAAGGTGGAAGACATGAGAAGGCTTCAGGTGTTTGACCACCGTTACCTTCGTAGTATAGGCCACATTCCGTGGTGTCATCAGGTGAGTAACGCAGAAGTCTGGTGTAGAGTTTGAGGGAGAAGAGGTCAGTTGACAGGGTTGTGAACCTTCATCGACTGAGATGGTTGGCTCCGACATGTGTTACGCATGCCTAGTCGTCGTCTGTGTGGCTCGAGGTGGTCAGACTAAAACATGGCGCCAATGTATGGAAGTGTTTGGCTGTTAATTTGAGCCATGTGTGGTGATGCAGAATAGTCGGTTGGGTTGTCTGAAAGACAAGAGGAACCATTGGTTGGAGACTGATTCTAGACGATATGGCTGAGAACCAAAGTCAGTGATGCAGATGTATCCCCATACATATTATCCTCATCTTAACGGCGCTATATCGAATCTCTCCATTTTCTCATTCTTCCTTTCTCTCTTTTAGTACTTTATACTTCTTTTGACTGAATTTCATTTTCTTCATCTTTCACTTCATTGCGTCGTAGTTACTTGGAGTAGTGATATGAGGTGTGGGAACTCGGAGGGTTACGCAGTAATGCCTGGTCCTATGATGATTTGGATGGATGGTTCGGCCATCACGACTAATGTATGCTGACAATACATTCTATAAGGCTCTAAATTAGAAATTAGAATAGCTTACAGTGTATGAAAAGTAAATATTTTGTCAACATGATGCAATGAAACTTACTTAGACTGTTTTTTAGCACGAGGTTTACCACTAACAATCTCTTTCTCGTTTTCATTCATCTTTGTAACATGTTTCAGTTCTTCACATTCTGCACCCGTGTGATTCAATTGCTTATCGACCTTCTTTATAGCTGGCTTGTTAGTCTGATGATCTTTTGTTGTTGTAACATCAGCAACTGGTGTTATCATTGTTACTGGCTCATTTTCCAGCAATTTTCGTTTCGCTTTCAGCTTACCCTCTTTCCGAGCTTCTTTTTTCTCTTCTTTCTTCCGCTGTTGTTCAGCTGCTTTGGCTGCCTCTTCTGGAGTCATTTCAGTATTTTTCGAAACCTTTAAAAATATAAGAAAGTAACTTTACATCCATCCTCAGAATGAATTGAAAGTATAGAAAATGTGACATTTTAAAGGCCTGACCAGGGAAGAAAGCAGTTGAGTGGGGGGATACTAGGAAGGGATTGGATTGGCTCTAAATATACTAAGCTTTTTTTTGAACTCCACAAACACTGTGAACATTTAATGCAGATTGTTAAACTGTACTGAAAACAGATAGGAAAATGAAACACTAAACACTACAGGAGGAGCCAATAAACCATCGTGAATGGTATATTTAGTTGCTATGACTTACAATTTTCTCATAACTCGATACTCCCTATGATGAAATGGTAGGTAAGACTCACAGCCCAGATGAATGAATATTAAAAGATCGGGTCAGTGACCGACTGACTGTGTATACATTCAGTAAGAATCAAGATTAACAAGTCAATTATACACAGAATTTAACTGAGACAACATAACCATCATATATATCCAACAGCTGATAGTCAACCACAAATAATAGTAAGACCAGTAAGTAGTTCGTAAGACAAGTGTCCTATCCGCTCCGGTATAAAGGTTTAAGAGATAAAGATAGACTGACCGAAAAACGCAGAATCTCGTACACAAGTGCATTACCTCAAGTTGATAGAAAAAGTGATAAAGTAGTGTGAGAAAATAAACAACTTTAAGATAACGGTTGGTGCGAATATTTAAGCTTTTGAAAATGTCAGGGAGTGAATACATCTACACCATTGTGACCAATCTTCAGCCACGTCACCAAGAATTCCTCAGCCAGTGATTCCCATCGTCTTAGCGGCTCCAGTTAGACAGTGTACATCTCCCCACACGGTTCAGACCAACAGTAAGGGACTTCCTCGCCTAATGATAGGGTTTAATCTAGCCACCCTCAACCATCTTCCAGCTCCATCTAGGATGGCACGTCGAGGCCGGTGGTGGCTCACGACGGTATGCCCAGTACATGTTCAAGACATTTCAGTGGACTAAGGTTCACAACCTTATCAATGGGCTTGTCTGTGTTGCCTAGTACCCTTCGCCTGACTTTAATATTGCTGATAGGGTGATTCTACCAAAAACGACAATAACAGGTACTAAGTGGAAATATACAGCAAGTTGTATTCAATTTATTGTTGAATAACCTGAATATTTCGCTCCAGGTGGTTAGTGCAAATTGAAATCCACCCAACGACATTGTGTAGATCCATGCAAGAGGCAAAGAGTCATACCTAATATGCGAGGGTTAATGATACTACCTGGCTATCGAAATCTTAGTAGGTGGTGCAGTGATCGTACCACCGACCAATTGGTAGTTATTAAGACTACAGCACAAAAAACGCACTTACCTTACTGCTCTTGACAGATCCTGACTTAGAACAAGCCTGAGATTCAGTCTTGGTGACAGCAATTTCATCCTTAGAAGAACCATCTGGGATTTGAATCAAAACACAAGGAGACTCGTGACCGGTAGCTGAACTAAAAGTTTTTAAAAAAAGACTCAATGATAGATATATGAGGTAGTTAAAACATGGAATGGAAATATATTTCGACTACCAAGAATCAAATGATAAAGGATGTAAAACAACAACATTCACAGTTAACATGAACATTCATTTTTAGGTATGATTGTAGAATAGTCACTTTCGAATACTGATAAAATCAAATCACAAAGACAGGAAATTTCTCTTCCAGTGGGTATTGACTACAATATTGATAACGATGGAACTTTTAGTCTTTGATGTTAAACCTTATGCATATCCATCGTTGATTGGAACGAACTGATTGGTCCCTATTAGCGCACAGGTCTCCAGTACGGACCTTCGATTTTGTTGGCATTTTTCAAATTTGATATTAACGATGGATAGTGGAAATCCAAGACGCATGTTTGGTCACCAGTTCCAAATAGGACGAAACCAGTGTCGTGGATTCCACTTCCAGCCACTATCTATCATTGGTTAGTTAAGCAAGTATTTTATGACGACCTAGTACATAATAGACAGAGAATTATTTTGTTGATACTGATACAATCGATATCTTAAAATTATAGCTGTACTCCAACTGTCATAATATTACAAAACGCTTTTCATATTAAACTGTGCATTATGAATAATGTTAATTCAGCATGCATGAAAATGTAGAGTGATGAATGTGAAAGTCTACCAAATGCCTAACATAACCTCTTTATCTAAATATAATACTTTATTGATGCTATCTTACACATAAAATTTTTTTTAAGGGTAGTTAGTCACATTTGCATCTGGCTTACTACGTGAGAATATATCAATCAATTGATAAATTTGCGGGGAATGGATTGATTTCAAAGTATTCTTCATGTATGAACAACAACTAGGGTTAATAAAATGATGGCGCACTAAACAGGTTTTTTGTATCAGTTTGATACTCCTGAATAGGACAACTTGCGATCATATATGAGTTCGAACCTAATACTATCAAATTTTCTTAACGAGCAGGTTACCTATACATCAGATTGGGATCCAATGGCAACAATACAGTAAAGCTGCCAACTCAGTCTTCTATATACTGACAACTTCAACATCTCAAATGATCAGAGAGAAGAATATAGGTTTGAATGGAAAGTTTTCACTGAACATGCAGAAAAAGTCAGAACACGTGCGTATACGCATGAAGGTTTCAACCTTGTAGGAAATGTATAACGCTGACAAACCAACAAGATCAACTAATTTGAGAGCACCACCCACCCCACCCCCAAAAAACGAGAGAAAATTACCTACAGATGAAGGCAGAAATCAAATTTACGAAAACATAAAATGACCTGTTAGAGTAAATATGAGGGCTTTCTAACAGAAATCATATCAATTCAGAATACAGCATAATACAATTTCTCACAGAATGGTTATCTGAATATCCACCATATAAGGAAATAAAAGTATATGCTGCTGTGTCAAGGAAAATAGAACATTTTTCATTGAAAAACTGACTAATCTAGACACAAATCCATAAAACAGCTATAAATCATTTTAAGTTTAGGGAACTAGCAGTGTCCAAATAAGATAGTTGAGTACACGTTTATTGACTGTGTTTAGTAGCATTTTAACATCAATGCTTAGTTCCAGCAATTTAACAGACAATACTTATTACTCAAATACTCATATTCACACTATAAAAGCAATAAAGTTACAAAAAATACACTGAAATTTGTTTCCCGGAGAATATAAATATAACTTCAAAATGAATAGAAATATTCACTTCCATTATACAATGCTGATGTATTCAAGAAATATTTAGTATCATCAAGTCACTTACCAAGATAATTCATAAGGTGCATCACAAATGTAAAAACCACGACGTTGAATCTGTATAATATCACCTTTCTTGACATGACGCATATCAGGATCTCCAATTAGGCATTGTTCTTTCTGAAGCAAAACATCAATAATATTTATGCTCGGTGACAATCGAGGGTGAAATGGAAATTTGGACTGAGGCCGGATTAGAACCAGCAACAACCGGGTCTCCGGCCCGATGCTCTACTAACTGAGCTACGAGGTCCGACTGATAACCCGATTTTCATTTCAATTCAATCACCAAGGGTTTTGCCCAACTACCATGTGAATTCGTGATGCGTACTACAGCTTGATCGTATTCACATTGGTTGACTAGTCAGGACTTCTCATCCTACTCCAAATATAACTGAATTAGAGAGTAGGAGCATCATATTGATTACCATTTAACTATCTGAGATAGCCATAATTAGGCAGAGTAGTACTTATACTGAGTCATGATTTAAAGTTAAGTGAAAATTTGGACCGCAGCCGGGTTCGAACCAGCGACCACCGGGTTTCCGACCCGATGCTTTACCAACTGAGTTACGAGGTCTGACTGCTGACCAGATTCTTTATTTCACTTCAACCACTTCACTATCAATAACAGTAAAATCAACAAAACTGTCAGGCAAAATGAACGTCAAAGAGCGAAATTTCTAGAGGATACAAAAATACATTGATTGGTCATGGTGGAGCAACCGGTTTCACGTTATCTAATCCTGAGTGTAGACTGAATTCTATCGATCAAATTTGCAATGTGGCCACTAAGCTACGAGTCTCAGCATCGCGGTGCATATTCGTAGATGTTATTCAGTTAGACGCAATCGACAGGAAACTTTGGACTCAGGTTTTGTGCTTCTTACCACTCGTTAACAAGGCGTATCCGAAATTCGGTCTACTCTCAGAACTAGACAACATGAAAATGATTTCTCCACGCTAACCAATCAATGTATGTAACCCAAGTCCTACAGGAGGTCAATCGCCCCACGAATAGCTCGGTGGCAACATCGCTGACTACAACACTGAGTGGTGCGGGTTCGAATATCAAACGGGACATCAGTCCCATCGGGCTTGCTGATAAGTGTCAATAGGCACAAAACCTAGGTCCAGAGCTTCCTGCCGATTGCCTCCAACCAATTAACAGAGAATACAAGTAGAATGTAACGCTATTGGTATTATCGGTCGAAGGCTAGCAGACAGGAAATGAATAAACATGCTATTTTTCTCATGTGCATAAGCAGATTGAAAACTTGAAATGGTGGATGGTCTGAGTTGTATTGTGTTCCCTGAGCCGGATTGTTTAATCGTGCAGCTTTTATCGTCTTTCTAGACGACATCATCAGCGCAAACTTCAGTATGAAGTGAGGAACAGCCAACGGGAAAATCTATACAGTCAATGACACGACAATCAAAGAGAACAACCAATAACAAATCAGTTTGTCAGGGCAAGCTACTAAATCACTCACGGAGAGATATTGACAGCTCGGTTCATAATGAAGTTTGTGTTGATGTCGTCCAGAAAAACGATGAAAACCCCATGATTAAACAACCCAGCTAAGAGAACAGAATGCAACCATGATCGAAAACTTACTTCAAACTAAAATATGTGATACAGCAAGATAGTCCTCTGAATTTTACTGGACTCCCAAAAATGGTAGGACTATTTTGAAGCTGCATAATTTAAGACATCTGACCTAATGCACAACCTACCCCTAAAAACGATTGTTTTCTTGTTATGATTCGGAGTAACCGAAACTTTATATATATACATTTGCGGAATATGTTGAACTTAAGCACTGGAGTTGTTGGTAGTCATTAACAAGCTGTAGTGATAACCTCGAAAAAATTAATCATTCAGTACCGACATCATAGGCATTATAACTAAGCCATTTATGATGCGAATGATCTCTACATGACTAAATTATATACATAAATCAGTCTCCGTATGAAAACCAATGGAGTTCTCGAGTATAAACATCTAACATAAAACTAAATAGAGTAGTATTCTATCCTCCAAAACTTGATGAGCACATCGAGAACTCGATCAATAAACTTCAACTAGCACTCGAGAATCGATACTTATCTCCTTTATGATTGAAAAACTAATTCCTATTCTTACTTCATCTTTCTTCTATTTCTATCACGTAGTCATTAATTACAGATGTGAGAAGCGATAAATTTAACATTTCACTTTTTTTCAATTCAAATCACTGGAGATGCATAGAAAAAAACTTTGTTTTGCCATAAATGGATGTAAAAGAACAAATAAATGGAAAATAAAATTAAGATTTTTTTTTTCTGATTGAAAATTCAGTGAATACGATGCAAATCAGTTTTACGCTGTACATATTTTTGCGTGAAAAACACTTCAAAGCGAAAAGGAATAAGTGAATAATGTTACAACACAATATCATTTCTATTCATTAACAACACCTCGAAATCAATGCCAAAAGAGAAAAAAAACATTTTCATCAAAAACTCAGATGAGCACAAAAATGACTTCGCCTACTTTTCATCTTCTTTGTTAGTGTTACACAAATACTCAGAAGATGAAGAAGTGGTTAACTTAGACGAAGGATACTTGGAAAAACCTGACATTCCTTAGTGAAGTGTTTAAAGTTCAGTAGTCTGAGATAGTATGACATACAGCCTATGATTCTACTCACTGTGCAAGGATTTCCCTCTATACTCCTTTTTATACTACCATATTACTTTATGCGTCGTAATCTGAAACTGTTTTAAATCAAGGCATAACAGAACCAAGACAGCAGTTTGCAGTTACACTTAATGAAGATATAATGCAATGACCGAGATATTTATAAAACAAATAGAATGACTCTTTCACCGTCTTTACTTTAAGATAAGATTTCTAATTATACAAAACTTAGTTTGAAAAATAAGGACAGTAGCTCTATAACATGACAAGTTTTAACAATAAGCATGATTACAGAATAATTTATCAAATTTACATACCTTTGAATGTTTATTAACGTATAGTTTAAAGTCTTCATCTTTGCCCAAAATTGCTTTATTCAAAAGATGGTCATATATTAGGCAACTGACTGGGATTAGTTGAGGATGTGAATTTGAAGGTTTGGTTAACCAAGTGACTTTGAGAGTTTTCTTGTAATCCTTCACAGAGAGTAAATGAAAAATTACACATAAACATACGCGATAGGAAAGGTATAAATAAAATAAGAAAGGAGATACACGGATCTTAAATAAGCTAGGAAAAAAAAAGGAAATCTCTATAATATACAAGAAATAATAAGCCAGGATTTCTGCTTTCATATATGAGTTAATATGTGAAAGTGAACATTCTTATAGCGATGAAGTGATACGAAATAAGCACGATGCTCTGGATTCAAAATTACGACCGGAACAGGCTGGTTTAATTCACGAAGAACAAATCATGTTCGTCTTCATCGATTTTGAGAAGGCCTTCGACAGCGTCGATAGAGAAGTAATTTGGCAGGCAGCTGATTCAACATTACAGGTTTCAGTGCCACAAACCTTTATCAATCTCGTTCAACAGCTATATGCTAAATGATGCTTCATGCCAAGTGATTCACAATGGAAAGTTCAGTGATGCCTTCGAAATGAAGACAGAAGTAAAACAACACAAGGTTGTAGCCTACTATCACCGATGATCTGCCTGATTGTAGTCGACTGGATCACGCAACAAACTGTGAGAAGATGGGTACAGGCAGTTTAACTGATGAAAAGACCCTAGAAGATTTCGAATCCGCCAATGATTATTTATGTCTTGTCGCACAAACTCGATCTACAGGCGAAAACTAACAAGTTGGCAGAAGAGGCGAGGCAGCAAACACGGGACTCTAGGTGAACGTAGGGAAGATAAAGATGATGAAGATACCCAACCAATAACAACAAGCATCAATCACCGTCAACGGGAGGAATCTGAACGGAGTAGTCTATTTCACCTACCTGGGCAGCATCGTTTCAACTACAGGCAGAGGCACAGATGAAGTCGTCAAAGCCAGCCAGGATTAGAAAAGCAAGACAGACCTTCCTGTATTAATCTAAAATCAGTGTGGAGATCTACTGTACTCCACTTAGCATAAACAACAAGATCCGCATTTCCAACACTAATATCAGTCAAGTCAGTGGTTTTATGTGATGGTTGAGAGACTTGGCCAGTTACGAAAAGCATTTCGAACAAACTACAGACATCATACATAAACACCTGCAGCCCACCCCTCACTCCATACTGAACATTAGATCACACCAGATGGTGAGAATAATAAGAATAAGCAGCAAGGAACTCTGGCCTACCACCAATGGACCAACCAACAAATATTCAGAAGAAAGTGGAGATCGGTTGGATTAGGCATACACTGGTAAAACCATTCGGGGACATCACGCGTCAAGCCAGGCCGTTGAGTGGAACCCAAATGGGAAATGATGAGTTGGGCGTCCTAGGCGAGGGTGACATGGAGGAGATGATGTGAGGAAGAAATGAAGGATTCTGGGCAGTCATGGACTCAGGTTGAAAAGACTGCAGAGAACAGAGTGAAATGGCTTTGTGCTAATGAAGCCCTATGTTCCACTAGGAACTCAAAGGACAAATAATAATAATAATAATAATAATAATAATAATAATAATAGTAACAAAAATATAATAACACACACTATCAAAGCACAATGTACTTAAATTATTAAGATATCCGCAAATACACGACTCTATTACACATCTTATGATGTGCAGTCAAGTAGGCAAAGATAGAAGACTTTCTAGTCATTAGTGTGTTAATTTCACTTAACTACATATTATAGGAAAGTCGAGAGATGCAATGCATACTTTTTTAGTGAATACTGACTACACTGAAATCACAGTCAAGGAGTGTAGTGTATACTTTGCTATAAGCATTTACGCTCTATAACATTCTCCACGATTATTAACAACAGTAAATATACGCATATTGACAAGAGAATTCTTAAAACACACACAGCGCCATTTCTGTACACATGTTATTGGTTCTAAACAGAGAGTAATTAGAAGGGTTGTCTGAACAAAAAGAAGCATTGTAGAAAAAGCAATTGAAGTGAGGATAAATAAAAAATTGAAAGGATTTTGGTTCTACATCACCTATAATTTCACCATTATACTACTAGAAACCATATTCTTCACTTGTGATAAACTGTTGTGTATGCGCTTAGTGTGAAAATCCCATCGCAATTTAATCAACCTCCTTCAAAACACTGGTATGGTAGTACGTTGTACATAACTGAAGTGAAGCAACTAACTATGAATTATCTATAGATATATTGATATACATAGAAAGTTACATGATCAAACTAGACAATATACGTTATGAATAAGTAGGGACAAAGGGACTTACAGTATCGTCTAAATTAAGGAGGGCATCAATTCCAATTATAAGTTGATCATTCTTATGTATATCAACAATTCGAAGATTACCCCAATTGATAAACGTTACATTTTCGCCTTTCTTGAAGCATTCTGCATCAACTTGTTCAACAAACACTTCTGGACCGAGTAAAATAGTACGCTGCCCCAGAGATTCATTTTTCGGATGGATTGGTACCTGTAGTTACAAGTTAAGTGACAATAGTCAATAATTAGCAGCTTGATAATCAAACATCTAAATTAATAGTGATTTTAAGGTGATCACCTAATAAGAAATACTTTTCTCTAAAAATCAGTTCTAAACGATTCTATATAGCCTGTAATCGATTTTATCAACTCAAAGATAGCATTTCACCTTAAGTAGAAAAATTAAACCAACCTGCTTTTCAACATATTCTGATTGACCTTGAACACGTACCCGAACCAGACCGGGAGGTGTACCATCATGACCTTCAAATGAAGGATCCAATAAAAGAGCGGTAGTTCTTGGTGCTATGGGTTCAGTAATTTTCTTATTAAAAGACCAAATTTTATCCCATTCCATTAGAGCGGATGAACGACTTGATCCCTGAGCCAAAATGAATTGTCGTAAGCCTTCAGATGTCATACCATGTCGAAGGATGCCAGAAACTGTAGGCATTCGGGGATCATCCCACCCATCTACAATTCCTTCTTCTACAAACCATGTAAGTTTGCGTTTCGATAGGACTGTATTTTGAAGTGCAAGACGGCTATAGTCAATTACCATTGGACAACGTATGCCTAGCAGGGTGAAAGGAGAGTAGAAATAATTGATGAACTATTCATAGTTAATACACTAAGAACGATAATATAGAAAAAACAGAGATGCAACTTGATATTTTGAAACTTCTTTAAGAACTTAAACCCACCATCAACATGCGGTATATGCTGACTTACAAAACTACATGATTCCACAGACTGTAATAGCTGAAGACTTGAACCTGAGCCTCATTGCTTAAGCGTTTTACTCAAGGCAGTAAGTCACAACTCCATTAATTAGTAATAACATCGATTTGTATCATAATACTCAACATTCGTTGGATAGAATAAAAAAATTCTTTAGATAAAGACCACTTCACAATCAGTTTGTAAGCGTTTGTCTTCATATGTACCGCCGCTTTGCGTTGATCGGATCTCCCTTACTGTCTTACACTACATTTCTCAACTACTCACCCGATCGCATTATCCAGTGAATATTATGGAATGCATATTTCCGTCATAAAACGTCTATCCACTACGTAAACTATTCTCTCAAATCTTAGCCCTGGTTCACGGTAACTTGATATTATTTTGAGGATAAAAATTTTCTATAATAGAACATCCGAATTATGATCATTGAGGGTAGTATACCAGTTATATACACTTATCATGCTGTAATTAAAAACCCTACAGTGCTGTCAAATCAACTGACACCTTTTTAGTTCATAGACAAGCAACTATCGATAAAAAATATCAAGGAGAAAAATCAAAGGCAAATATTTCCTTGAATCTTATATGAAGTCATTTCTTTTTCGGAGAAAATCCATAATGAAAATGCAAAAAAATAACAAGTCAATTTGTTAAATTCATGAATGCTTGTATATTGACTAGGTTAGGGCTAATGACATTTGGGGCTATCAAGAGTAAAGTAGGTGGGATAATTTTTGACCTGTGATTCAATGATTTACTAGTTGAACGCCTACATGGCCGAACCAGATCAGACAATGAAAAGTAGATAGTAACTGTATAAAGCTTACCTAAACTGTTACATATCCATGCATACTGTTCATTGCGATCATTGTACTCAGACGTTCGAAGAGCATGAGTCACACCTTCAATGCTATCCACAATTGGGCAAGCAAAATCATACAGTGGATACACCCTTTGAATACAAAAGAACAATGAAATATGCATAATTATCAACGCAGATATCAATAACAAGATATAACTTCTAGTCATTTGGCGAACAAGTAAAACACTCTACTGTGAATTGATTTTCAACATTAATGTCAAGTCAGTGGTTTTATGTGATGGTTGAGAGACTTGGCCAGTTACGAAAAGCATTTCGAACAAACTACAGACATCATACATAAACACCTGCAGCCCACCCCTCACTCCATACTGAACATTAGATCACACCAGATGGTGAGAATAATAAGAATAAGCAACAAGGAACTCTGGCCTACCACCAATGGACCAACCAACAAATATTCAGAAGAAAGTGGAGATCGGTTGGATTAGGCATACACTGGTAAAACCATTCGGGGACATCACGCGTCAAGCCAGGCCGTTGAGTGGAACCCAAATGGGAAATGATGAGTTGGGCGTCCTAGGCGAGAGTGACATGGAGGAGATGATGTGAGGAAGAAATGAAGGATTCTGGGCAGTCGTGGAGTTCCACTAGGAACCCAAGGGACAAATAAATAATAATAAATAAATTTTGACAGATGTAACTTGGAAGAAAGTTGAACAAAAGAAAATATATCAATCACAGATTTGTATGTGTTAAATCCTATAACAGATTTACACTTGATTTGCCTTTTATGTGTTCAAAGAACAACAACAATACCGAAAACGTTAACTTCATGCTACAAGGTGAATCACTATGTCTTGACTTTACAGCTACTTCTCTCTGAAACAAACAGTATCGTAAAAACAGAATTATAAACTAATTTTCAAGTTGTTATTCATCGAAGACTGACATCAGTTGGAGGAACAAAGGAGACCTGGGAGCACTGGACAGCTGTTTCGTCCTAGTATGGGACTCCTCAGCAGTGCGCATCCACGACCCCACCAGCAGGGATCGAACCCGCGACCTTCAGGTTCCACGGCCAGCGCGTTACCATTGAGCCACTGGGTCAGAATCCAATGCTCCATATTTCCAACTTCTGTTAGCTCACGATATAGCGCGAACCGCCACCCAATGTCATCGTTGAGTATCTGTCCTCACGGCCATCAGGCTTTGACTCCACCGGTCACGACTTGTCATTGGAACTTCGGGAATACTTCTCGAAGCTAGTCACCAATGAGCATCAGTTCAATTAAATTTTTGAGGGGTTGTGGAGATTTGGAAATATTTCAAGTTGTTATTCATCGAGGAGTCCCATACTAGTTGGACGAAACAGCTGTCCAGTGCTCCCAGGTTTCCTTTGTTCCTCCAACTGATGTCAGTCTACGATGAATAACAACTTGAAATATTTCCAAATCTCCACAACCCCCTCAAAAACTAATTTTCATTTGTATTATGCTCTGAAAATTGATAATATTCAGGATCATGCAAGGAGAACAAGAATTATAATTGTAGTTCTGCACTCAAGTGAAATCTAATGTTGACATATTGTATGGAATTTGAAAAAGAACTATCAGCGCTTTATTTATCCGATGATTGCAAAAGATAATGCGATTAAGTATAGCGGTTAATGTGAAGATAATGTGTGCATCTATTAGTTCTGAGCCATATCACCTGAGGTCTTCAACTATTGGTTTGTCTTTTCCTGTGAACACTAACCCGGTTAGTGTATGCATCGCACTAATATAAATCACCTTTTCCAAAAAGAAAAGAAAACGACAGTCTATAACTTTTGTTTGGCAACAGACAGCTAGAGGAGAAATTCTTTCGAACATTTTTACAAATTATACATGAATTGTGACTTCTCGTATCACGAGTACGGCGTATGCCTGGACGCTAAATTATCCTGTCACCACGAGGTTTCTGGTCACTGGTTGAAATTATACCGCGGCCCAAATGTTCATTTCATCTCCAATTATCACTCAGTATCGACGACGACTAACCACGGCTATCTAAGATAGTCAAAATGATACTACAAATTATCCATCGAAAAGCAGTTTATTTTACAGTTACTACTCGTAAAACAGGAAACCTTCGTAATACGGCTAATCTTGTTACAACTCTTGGCGTATTTACTTTTTCCAGTACGCAGTTGAGTGGAATATATCATGCACTGTTAATTCATGTTTGATTTGACGGGACAACTAATCACATCCTATGTGTGCAGCTTTACGATAGCATCAGGTTGTTAAAAGTGAACTGGGTTACGTGTGGTTGGAATTCGAAAACTATAGCTTGAAAAATGAATGTCTGAAACAACAAACTTACACCTCTACAGGATTCTTATCTTAAAAGCGGACAAGTCTATGAAGGTTATGAACTTCTACTAAATAGAATTCAAAAACTCCTGTAACTTCTTAGAAAACTAAGAAACTTTGACCTTGTGCGATCTAGAGATGCTTTAAGAATGTCCTTTATTTCCATGCAACTTTTGAAGTCCGACACCCAGCACAATAAATTGCTTTTGATTTGTGTTTTACCCCACGGAATCTAATTGATGGATCAGGATATCTCACTACGATTTTTTATGCATGCATTTTAAGCATTGGTCTTTGTAAATATATTTCACATTTTTGTCTAAGGCCAGTCAAATAGAATGAGTCATCTGAAGACAGGAAACCATATTATGGACAAATCAAGTGAAAGTAGTAGGACCCAGGACGCAAGTTTCGTCCTATTCGGGACTCGTCACCTGAATGTACCTGTCCCCCAGTGAGTGGTGTTGTTCCCACTGTGACTCGAACCAAGTACTCATCGCTTTAAACACGTGTCCTGGATTCTACTGGTAGTCGCCAAGATGAATATAACGTCATGAATACCTGTCAGTATCGAGGCATCTGTATAGGAGTCTATCTGCCGACAGAGGTCAAGCAGTTCGACCTTGCATAGCAACGGGAAATTACAACTATCAAAGCAACGAGTGAAAAAGAATTCTGTCGTTTCAGCCCATTTTGTGACATGCTTTACATCAAACTGGATACGCGCTTACGACAGATATTTTGTGTAGTGAATATTTAATTGTTCAGTGTTGATCCTGTTATATGTGCACATTAGCTGGTCTCAATATTGGAGAAGTACATGCTTCTTTCTATGTTTAAATTGCATATTCCACTGAATACACTCACTTATACCCTAACTTTCGTCGTTTCCTGATAAAAAGTGAATTAGTAGTATCGGGAGTCGTAAAAGAGTGAAGATTTTGAGATAGAATGTTAACCAAGTCACACAAGCTAGAGAAGAAATTCCCTACCTAAAACATTCAACCAATATCTTTAAGTTAGCCAGAATGAGATCTATGGAAAAGCAATTTTAATAAGTGAATACTATAATGTAATCTCCCTTAATGTACTGTGAATGATAAGAGTGAGTTATCTACAGTGACCCATGAACACTTCATGATTCCTTTCAAATTACTTCTAACATACAGCCCATATAAAACATTCCCCAAGTAGGTATTTCGCATTTCAAGGTTAGCATTATCAGATACCTCACATACCATGTAAACTACAAAGTCATCATGTCCAGATTTACTGATGTTACGTAAACATAGAAATGGTATGTGAAATCCGTCAAATATTTTGCAATCCTAAAACAAACCAAAACTATGCGATTATTCTCAACATAATTTCACTTTTAAAAAAAAATGAGTAACCCACATTCAATGAGTTCCCATTTAAACCTACTTATACTTTGAACCTGTACGAATATGTGGTTCTAGTTTACAACGATAAATAGTGGGATCACGTAACGCTCCGTTATTAGAAGACATATCAATTTTAGCGCGGACACAACACTTCAATCCTTGTTCAGTCCCATTTTTCATTTCTTCCCACCAGGCTAAATTTTTTTCAATAGCTTAAAAATAAATAAATAATTAATTCATAGAACAATTAAGTAAGGAAACTTTTTCAACAATCTTCTTTTAAAGTTGTAAAACCATGAATTTTTGACTTAGTGTTGAAATAATAGGTTTTCGTCGGGAAAAAAAATGATTATTACAATATCCATGACGCACAGAAATTATATCTGACGATGGTGTTTCATAAGTGTACTAAGGATTAGTTGGTGAAGGTAAACCGATATAAAGATTTCCGATCATAAAATGCATAGTTCTTTCAATCTACTGACGCACAATTTCTGTAACATCACATAAGATATAATTATTGATATTCTCATCCATTTGTACTACATTATACAATAATTACCTTCTAAAAGCTGTTTATATATATGCTTTGAATGATGCTAAACACATGAACAATACATTTAACAAATAAACTACTACAGGTGTCAAGTATGAACATATAAATAAATGTACAGTGGAGAACAAGAGTTGATGTAATATGTTGTGAAAATCGTAAATGAAGAGAGTAATTATCCTTAGCAGTATATAATCTATAATCAGACTGAAATTTAGAAATGATTTAGACTTTATTTGAAAATGCCTTAGGGTCTACAATCAACTTTACAACCTAGAAAGCAGAAATATAAAGTAAATACAACTTTCAATCTGTATACAAAAATATAATTCATTTCAACACAAATAGACCATTTAGTTGTACATACTTCATATATGAACAACAATCAGACTAACTCCCATGTGTTGGATGATATATATACTGAAAAAGATGTAATAGAATTCTGTTTAACAAACTGTAATTATCTTGAAAATTAAGCATAGTGCATTTAATTCATACTTAGTGTATCAATATACACATAGACTGTATATTACTTATTTTACACTTATATATTTTTACATTAAGTCTCAGCTGATGACAACAACAAGGAAACCAGTGTAATTATCATATGTATTGGTGGATAATGGTTACCATGGTACTTTTGATAGAATTGGTTTATCATACAACACCAGACCAGCTATTCAGCGTTCATTATAAGTACTAAAGTAAGTGTGTGGGAACACAGTATAATTCATTCGAAAAATATCTGCATATAGTTACAATTTTAAAAGTACTTTATCGATTCAAGATGATAAAAATGACTCTTACAATTATCTCTACAAGCAGAGATTTGTCGAGCTTCTCTTTGTATACGAATAGTTTCCAAATCTGTATCGTCCACATAAGCTTTCCCTTCTATGATTAACTGTTCGCATAGTTGTAACATCTTATCAAAATAGTCAGATGTTGATGATATAACATCCCAAGAGACACCAATTCGAGGTAGATCTGAGAGAATAGACTTTTCAAAACATTCTTTCTCTTTATCTGGGTTAGTATCATCAAAACGTAATATTAATCGTCCTTTGAAAATATCCTGTGAATTTAGATGAAATACATTAGAAAAGATTTAGACAACAAGTGCATCATACATTTCAAAATCTGTACATTAAAATTAAGAAAATAGGAAGAAATGAACATACTCATCTAAGTTGTAACATTCGAATGTGTTTATCTACCATAACAGTGAATAAACACGGATTATAATCTTATGGATTTGAAGGAATCTTTGTAACAGATTTATCTTCTGTTGAAATACTTTTTTTCTAAACAATTCCAAGATGTGCACATACACAAATAAACTCAATTTCAAATAAATTGATGATTCTCATAATATGAGTATCTACAGAACGCCTGACTAACACCATAAGAGTCTCTGAGAATTGTCAGTACAGGGTGAATCAAAAGATTAAAAAAACTTCTACATCAACAAAGAATCCCCATAATCACACCGTTTGAGATATTTTCCTGGAAAATCAAAATGGATAGTAAAAAAAGTATCCTGACTACGTTTCAAGTCTCCGAAACAGGACGATCGGCAGCAAGAGGCAGAATTTCATAAAAAGGCTCATTGGTTTAGGTTGCAAAACCTCTCTCAGAGAAAACCAACATGAGATATAATATTATAGTAAACCAGAAGGTTATCTTCACACTGGTAACAAAACAGTATAAACAATTAAGTATTCAAAGTGAAGAGGAAAATAACAACCTCATAGATACACTTCACTTCAAAATTTTACTTTCCCTAGATGCATACTAACAGTTACAACAATTTTGTATTATTTTGGCTGGTTTACGTATAGCATTAAGTAATGTGGAAGTAAGCGCACTTCTCGACTGCATGCCAGTGAATAGCTGTCAGCCTACGACATTTTTCAAGTTTTACTCCTATATTAGTAACTATCTCTGAGGTGCCCAACTAAACGGATCTGTGTCACTTGTCAATGACTATTCATAATCTTTACCTAAGAACCCATCAACTAAAGTTTGAGTGATAAGAAGGATGACTTCCACCAAAAACCATCAATTTTGCGACACAACAGTAAGCAAATTCAGTGCACAAATAAGTAACGTGGTCAAATCAGAAGGGAATCCGGAAGGTACTTATAGTATCCCATGCCAACAAACCGACAACAGTAATCGTCTAGTTCAATTTGGTGTTCGCAACCACTTGTTTCTCGCCAGCAATGACTTCAAGCGTGAAATGAGAAAGTGGCCAATTCGGTGTCCAACGACATCATACCAAGGAGGAATACACACAGATAATGCTGTTATAAGTCACCATTGGAGAGGAACGATCAAAAATCCCAACTTTGTGTAGAACCTGTTTGGGCTTTGATCACGCATTACTAAATTTACCTGTACATTTGCATCTAATTGGTTGCACGGCATGCATAGCAATGAAGAAACTGTGCTCAACTGGAAGACAAAACATCACGCTCCTATTATGAAACCGAGCAGTTAAGAGTTTACTTCAAAATGGTAGCTACTATCTCTTCAACAAGGCGTGGCTACATAATCCATTTGCTCTTTAATCAGCCATAAACACAGTCATGAACCTAAACCCAAAAGCAACACAACCTTAAATGATGCAAAGCAGCAGGATTTGATGGTTTTCACCTGAAGTTTTTAAGGATGGAGGTGAAAAATTGTTAATCAGAGTGACAGAGGTACTAGGTACTGCGTGGAAATCAGAAGTAGTGCCGTCAGACTGGTGTGCTTCACTGATCGTCCCAGTCCACAAGAGGGGACAGCAGTTTCCCTGTTTTAACCATAGGAGAGTTAGTTTGACCAACATTGGGTCCAAGATCCTAGGGTCCATAGTTATCCGACGCCTAACTAGAGCTCGGAAACAGCAAACTCGAGAAAACCGGGCAGGTTTCAGACCTCGACGAGGATGCATCCATCATATTTCCACCCTCCGATGGGTTGTTGAATACAGGCATACCTACCGGCGGCCGTCACTTGCCATATTTCTTGACCTGAAAGTGACATTTGACACTGTCGACCGTGAGGTGTTGTGACAGTATCTGATTGTGAAGGGAGTATAGAGCATGTATCTAGCGCTTTTCAAAGCTCTTTACTCAAACTCATGCAAGCATTTCAGTGCTTATGGAGAGTTGTCATGTTCATTGACAATAACTAGTGGTGTTCACCAGAGATATCTACTGTCACTGTTCTTATGTAATTTCGTCACAAACATGACGTACTAATGAACATAACCTTAGGTACGTCTGGCTTCATAGGGATTGACCTACTACCTGGAGGTCATCTAGTTGGCTTGGAGTACACAGACGATATCGTCCTGTGAAATGAAGATGCTGACAAAATGCAGCGTCATGTGAACGCGTTAAGCAGAAATCTGAGTATGTTCGACGTGAGTTTCGCCCTCTGTCAAATGCAAGATGATGCTTCAGAACTGGTCTGAAAATACTCTCAGTCTGAATGTACGGAGTAAAGTAAGAGAATGCGTTGATCACCCCACATACTTGTGGAGTTACATAAACCCGAGTGGGCTGGTTATTGGCGAAATCTCAGCAGGAATACAGGAGTTTTATTTGCCATCTGCTAACTTTCAAAATCTCTCATGTCAATGAGATATCCGACTACCTGTCAAACCACGAGTATGCCACCCAGGAATTTGCTGTCTCATTATACGACCGTCAGAAATAGTCGTTGAAAGCAGGTGTTGAGAGATTGTAAGTTTCCAAACACAAATATCTTCGCAACTTTGCTGGCGTGTGGTCAAATCGCTGTAAACAATGTTGAGGTAAAGTGAAAAGTATTAGGCAAAGCATGCAAGTTAGTGAAGTTTTGAATCTTCTGACTGAAGTGGCTTAGATAGCGTTGTGCATCGTGAGCAACCACTGAACTTGACATGCAATGATAGGTTTGAAAAAAGATTTAGGGTGGCCAAATCAAGATGTGGCACCCGTCTATGAAGTCTCTTACAGTTGATCTGAGCCGTGAGGGGAGGTGTGAACTGCTTGGTTGGGGTATGTGAGATAACAGGAATGAATGGTTGGAAACCTTAAGTGATGTGGCTGAAAATCGGTCACAATGGTGCAGGTGTATACACTGTCTGACATATTCCAGTCTAAACATCACCAACCTTGATTTTCAAAACCCTTTTCTTGATATACACCTGTCTAATTTATCATTACTCTTTGCCCACCCACTTGTTTTTTGCATGTTGCTGTGAAGTGTAGAAAACTGAACAGATGTACTTCTGTATGAGGTTTTACGTTGAGTTTGTTTGAATGCCATCCTTCTATATCATTGTTTTATCTAGTTACTGAATGGTAGAATGAATTATCTCACTGATATGGTCGAGTTTCATATTTGATCTGATTTCAGCCAGATGAAATGGAAGTAAGAGTTAATTTCAACTAATAAATTACTATGGAAGCCTAAACAAAGTAACTAAAATACTATTAGATGGTCTTTTCAGTTTCCATCAAATCATCTGTTATGCCGTTTGAAGGTCACCAACAAAGCGAGTGTCGGAATATCCAAGGTAAGAAACCAGAAGCGCAAATTAAACTTAAGTTAACACCTCTGACAACATTAAGATACATACATAGGTAGAATAAGTGTTACAACTGAACTACACCTACTCTGTAATGCTGATTTAGCAGGGCTGCTTTGGCATGACCAATATGTAGATATCCACTGGCCTCAGGAGGAAAACGGACCACGACCTCACCGACTTTTGCACCAGGAAGTTCTCCAAATTTTCCTCCTTTCTCAAATCGCATATCTGAGGCATGAGTTTTGCCAACAACTTCATTAGGGGTTCCATATTGTTTATCAGTTCCCTTGGTTCCAATCTTGATTTATGAATTTCTGTTTTAAGCTTCTGAATTGTTGGGAGAGAATTAAGTTGATCATAATATCGTTTGAAATTGACGAGCGATTTTAAACTGTTATCAGGTTCTCTCCACTGCGGATTAACTATAAAGTTTTATCGAGAATTAAAAGTAGTTTAAGCAAGATCATTTATCCAAAATTCAATAACTGTATTTACACTCAAAACAGGTAGATCTATTGTTGGTTATTGCTGGTAAAAAAAGCCATTAACAAACGTATTATGGAGGAGTGGGGTTCTTCAAAAGTCGGGGGTATTACGAGATAATCTATGCGGAAAAAGCACCAATAAGGCTTAGGGATTTTTAATGGTGCAGGTTCAATATATTTGAGTAAAAACTTAACAGCTATAAAGATTTAAAAACTTATTAACGAAACTGACAATGAAGAATACTACAAATGTGAAACAGACCAATAAAACCATAAGGAAATAATATGAAGTACAAAAGCTCAGTAAACGTGATACTACAATTAAGAGTGTAACTGAGCTACTGCGCATAAGTTAGAGCTATATCCCCTGGAGTATATGTTGGAAGGCTCCAGGTTTGCATGAAACGTTTTTTATCAATCTAAATTTTTAAAATTTCATTTTCGTGCCATTTTTTACAGCATGCCCAGTAGTTCATTTCTGCTCTCATTTTTAAGGTAACGCACTAACCGGTTAGTGCTTACTTTTACTATGTTAATGTTTCAAATTCTGGACAAGGTCATATGTCATGTATATACACACAGGTGCTTTAGAGTTAACTATTTTTCTCAGAAGAATAAATTCCTCCATTTAGTTTAGTCTTCTTCTCTATTTTTCCAGGTTGGAGTCGGTGGATCCCGCGTAACGACTTAGCTGTCAGTCGAACATACAACAGTGCACACAACCACCGGTTTCTATTTCACGGGTATAGAGTAGAAAAGATCGAAACGTCGTGCAGTACATTCGATCCTTGGTGAGAATTCAAATATCACACCGGTACTAAGTGACGGAAATAGACGAAAGTCAGTCTAGCCTTTCGTATCCATACCAAGTTTTCACCAGTTCCCAACCCACCAGGGTCGATTTAGTTGGGTAGGACGGTTAAGATGTCTACCAATTTCATATCTCATTATCAAATGGACTACTGATGCATATCTGTCATGAAGCGGAAATTTACAAACGTGAACGAGAAATTTCCAAACTGTGTTCAAAATGCTACATTTCGCAAAACGCCTTCATCTAAAACTTTACATAAGCAGACCCATGAAAAAGCTACATAAAATTACAGCACATATCACTGACGTATACTACTTGACGTAGACACTCCAAGGGGTATATCGCTAAAGGACCTTAATACAAGTGACTAACTGACAAAATAAAGGTAGAACCTGGCGACCAGGTGCATCAGCTCAAGTTGCCACACCTCATAGTAGTACAAAAAGAACAGATGCATGGAAAAAGAGTGATATCAAGTAGACAAAGTACTGTCAAAAAATAAACACTTTAAAGATAATAGTTAGTGCGAATATTCAAGCTTTGGGAAACGTCAAGGAGTGAATATATATGCACCAATGTGACCGGGTTTTAACCATATCACAAGGGTTTTAAAATACTGATTCTCATCGTCTCAGAGACCTCAAACAGACAGTCGACATTTCCTCCACACAACTAAGACCAACAGTAAGAGAATTCAACGACTGGTGCCAGGTTTTGGTTTGGTCTAGCTACCCTAAACCCTCTTCCAACCTAATTCAGCTTCCCTTGGCATGGCACGTCAAAACAGGCAATGGATAAGCATGCGCAACACATGTCCAACCGACCTCAGTCAAAGAAATTCACAACCTCATCAATCGACATACCTGTCTGGTCTATTGCCCTTCGTTTGATCTCATTCCTCACAATGATTCCACTAAATGTGAGCAATGCTACGAAGATACCCATGATCAAAGTCCAACAACCGCTTCATGTCTTTTAATTTTTACGGACATGTCTCACTACGATATAATACGACAGAAAAGATTGGAGCACAGTATATTCGTTTTTCGATAAATAGTCGAATAACTCGCCAGACGGTGCCAACGAGGACGCAAGTTGGCAAATGCCAAAGGATCTGAGATTTCGCCAATAACCAGCCCACTCGGGTTTATGTAACTCCACAAGTATGTGGGGTGATCAACGCATTCTCTTACTTTACTCCGTACATTCAGACTGAGAGTATTTTCAGACCAGTTCTGAAGCATCATCTTGCATTTGACAGAGGGCGAAACTCACGTCGAACATACTCAGATTTCTGCTTAACGCGTTCACATGACGCTGCATTTTGTCAGCATCTTCATTTCACAGGACGATATCGTCTGTGTACTCCAAGCCAACTAGATGACCTCCAGGTAGTAGGTCAATCCCTATGAAGCCAGACGTACCTAAGGTTATGTTCATTAGTACGTCATGTTTGTGACGAAATTACATAAGAACAGTGACAGTAGATATCTCTGGTGAACACCACTAGTTATTGTCAATGAACATGACAACTCTCCATAAGCACTGAAATGCTTGCATGAGTTTGAGTAAAGAGCTTTGAAAAGCGCTAGATACATGCTCTATACTCCCTTCACAATCAGATACTGTCACAACACCTCACGGTCGACAGTGTCAAATGTCACTTTCAGGTCAAGAAATATGGCAAGTGACGGCCGCCGGTAGGTATGCCTGTATTCAACAACCCATCGGAGGGTGGAAATATGATGGATGCATCCTCGTCGAGGTCTGAAACCTGCCCGGTTTTCTCGAGTTTGCTGTTTCCGAGCTCTAGTTAGGCGTCGGATAACTATGGACCCTAGGATCTTGGACCCAATGTTGGTCAAACTAACTCTCCTATGGTTAAAACAGGGAAACTGCTGTCCCCTCTTGTGGACTGGGATGATCAGTGAAGCACACCAGTCTGACGGCACTACTTCTGATTTCCACGCAGTACCTAGTACCTCTGTCACTCTGATTAACAATTTTTCACCTCCATCCTTAAAAACTTCAGGTGAAAACCATCAAATCCTGCTGCTTTGCATCATTTAGAGTTGGATATATTTTTCTCAACTTGGACGTCCCATTCAGTTTCAGGCTGCATGCTGGGCAACAGAAGTGTTGCTGAGGGTCAGCTGAACTGTGTTGCAAAGCGTTCCGCTAAACGTTCTCGTTATTTATCCTGAAAGGTTATCAGCGTTTCCTCCTCTTCGGTGATGGTTTCACTAATAGTCGTTTTCTTTCTGCGTTACACAACACTGATGCCTTCTACATCTCTCTCGCTTTCGTCACCCACCATCGCTCGTGATCGACGAAAAGACTCTTGGTCAACTTGTGTTTAAGTTGCTCTCACTCTTCATGATAGTCACAGCTAGCTGGAGTCAGTCTTCTCGCGTGAATGAGTTTGGATGACGTCGCGGAGATCCAATAACGTCAGATAGCCTTCAAGTTACCAACTGTCCACATCGCTGTTTCTGCAGCAGAATGATTATCACATTATTTTACCTCAGGATAAGCGTTGGTATGACGTTCAGATAAATGATTAGCTGACTCCTGTCTGAATGCGTACTTCGCGTTCTCATGTATCAGCCACCTGTTTCCTGAGACCGCCAAGGCGCAGACATACAGCAACTTGTACTAGCGCGTGGTTGGAGTCCAAACTGGTGCTCCAGAAAGAGAGGCAATCTTCCACCGATGCTGTCTAGCGGTGGCTTATAGCGATGTGATCTTACTGTGCCCATGGTTGTTTGAAGTCGGCGGACGCCATGTGATAATGTCTCTCCTGACGCCTAAGGTTAGTGCTGGCTAGAAACAAGTGATTATCGGAACAAAATTACAACAGATGATTGCCGTTGTCGTTTAAAGGGATGGGATTCGTAAATACCTCCCAATCCCCTTCCAATTGGCTCAGTTTCCCTACTTGAGCATTAACGTTATCAGCGTTCATGACTAAATTGGAACCTGCATTCTGTAGCAAAGTTGACAGCTCATAGAATTCATCCTTTGCACCATCTGGAATGCAGTCAGTGGGGCGTAGGCGGAGACTACGAATAGGCATCGCCAAGTTCCACGATCCTTTCTAGTCTTTACAGATCCATTCAGTCGAAAAGCACATAAACGGCTATTTACTAGTATCCATTCGAGAAACGTACTTTATGCTCTAAAACTCATGGTATGCTTACACTAGCGAGTGCACGAGAGGTGGCTATTGCATATCCGGATACCCTTAAAGTGAATTTCGAATATTCACTACTATAGCTACGTGAGGCCAATTTTATAACCGCAATCAGGTCCCGTATACGTGTTTCAGAGACAGCATGGCTACAGATTTCAGTTCTAGAAAGTGACGCTTGCTGTTCAATTTGGCGTAGAGTTCGGACATTGAAAGCTCCTATATGAAATCGATGGCGGGGTTTTAAGAAACAAGGAATGAGGTTTCGATGGCTTTGATCGCTCGCATTGGTCGCATGATGAGGTTGGGGTAAGCGTAAGAGGCTTACTATCACTATCAGGCAAAGATAGCTGAGGAGGATAGGTTGTGCTTGATTAGGTGTTTTTCGTACTACAGGGAGCATGCGGACGGTTGATACTTCCCAGCTCCCCATACCGTGCAAGGTTATTTCTTTTTCAGGTACCTGAAAGAGAAAAAGATTTGTGACTCCAGAGCCCATGTGATATCTGCTTCAGGCCTGTCACACACGGCCTTTTGCGATATGTTCTGAGGTTTGGTTGTTCTAACGCCGGATAAGAGAAAGCTATATCGCCGGCAATGATAACCGTGGGGCAGGAAGGAGTGCTTTTTTTGAACCGACCTATTTCGAACCCCCTTTCACAAAGGGAAGGCAGCATTAGCGTGGCACTGCTGGTCATCCAAAGGAAACACCCTACTGCTGTCACACCCCATCCAGCCAGCAGCAGTACGACTTTGCCGTCTGACCTCCATCATAGTACAGTAATCTATACTACAACGGGAACTGCTTTTCCTCACACTACTATCCAACAGAACCTTCTAGCATCGTAGGACCTCGAGAGAACGGTATAGCTCATTGGGTCATTGTGATATGCAAACCAGACTACCACGTCAAGGTGGCAGCCACTGCCCAGTTGTTTGATAAAATAGTAGAACGAAAAGGGCGTTTTATAGGAGAAACATATTTATGAAATCCCAACCCCAACGTCTCGCACCTCGTGGAAGCCACTTCTTCATAGATTAGAACTTATACAAATCATAGCGTATCAAGGAAGTAAATGGAGACAAATTAGATCACGTTGTTGATACATGTTATTAATGGAAATGAATGTTATTTTATCAGTTATCAGTCCGTGAGTTCAAGATAAAGATGTGAATGTGAGAGAAGTAGTACGAATGGGAAATTCAGTTTGCTTGCGTGCATGTATTTAAACATGAAGTAGCTTGTACAGGTTCTATGCTCTGAAGAAGTGTCTTCCACGAGGTTGTGAAACGTCAGGAATTTGTCTTTCTATCTCACTGGAGTTTAACAAACATACTTAGCTCATAATCCATAATCAATATATTCAATTCTACCAGGTCAAATTTTGATCGTGAAATTCATAAAAGGGCTGATCTAAGATGAAGGATATTGAGTAGTAAGATAAAAACTAACTGATGCAGTTTTAAGTGTTTGTGAATTGCAATGATAAGGACACAAAACTCGCAAACAACCACTACCTACTTTGAAGTACGACCAGCTCCAGTAAGATGGAAGAGGTCTAACAGTGTTCAGATGAAAACACGGAACTAATCCATTTGACCCCCGAACTCTTGGTTCAACCTAAATAGAAAACCCAAGACTTCTAGGTTAATGTACGGCTACAACCCCGTCACATTGCTACAGAACTATTTAAGCATTTTTTGACTCCTAAACCTGTTATCATGTGTCTTTGATTCTATAATTTACATTTTACCTGTCTTTTCAATCACTTATGATATGACCATTTGTACACCACCTCGTGCTGATTTTCCTCCTCGTTCTGTTTTGAGGTGCATGAATTATGTATATCACTCAACATGGTGAGTACGTTATTTACTATGACCTATATTTGTTGAGTAAGGGCGTTCAGTGCCATTTAGTTTTCCAAGCCGAAGACAGAGAGGGCTTCAAACCTGGGACTGGGTTTCAAAATCAAATTCTTACATGCACGTAAACTTGGGTCAATATAAAGTTGAACCACAACCCACACCGATCATTTCTGATAACAACTCGCAGAACGAAAGCTCAACAAAGAAATCTGACTAAGGATAACCAATTGAATGTTGAGCACACTTTACATGTCAAAAACGCGACGCAAACCTGTAAGTTTGTGTACTTGGCTGAGTCGATTATATTCCGGAACGTGCGCAGGCAAAGCAGGTCCTCAGTCGAAGGTCTATCACTTGTAAGGTCAGTTGATTTCAACCAGTAGGTCTTAGCCCGAACCCCACTTCACCTACGGACTTTTAGGCAGCCAACTACACCATCGGCCCCCCAAAAGTAGGTGGTTCACTACCTACGGTAAAAACACGCGCGTGGTTGCAAGTGAAGTCTGACTACAAATGTTCAAGCTGATATGTCACCGCTTTGTGTGAACATACATGACTCGCCAGACGACGACCGCGACCTACATTCAGATAGATAATAAGGAAGTTAAAGTCCTTGATTAAGGTCTTACAAATGATCAAAAAAATAGCACCAGCACAACAGTAATCTCTAGCTGCTACAATATGGGGCATAATAGGTAACTGAAGAAACTATATGAACTATTTCTCAAGAAATAACAACAGCTAACCTAAGAGTCGAACTGGTGCACTTACTAGGCATTGAAATATCAATTACAAAATAAATCGTCAGTGGGATGAAAGTAGTACACACGCATCCTCATGTCAAAACACGACTCTACCGCAAGTAATTCACTCAAATGCAACCTTCCGAAATATTAGAAAAGAGATACGCATGTATACAAAACGGTGGCATTAGCAACATTTAACTACTAGGTTAGTTCAGCTGGGTCAGTCTGATATGAAGTTAAAGGTGGGTAGAAAATGGTTACTAAGAAATCTCTTTAGGTAGAAACAGGTTAACGCGGTGAATGCAACACCCCGGATACAGACTCGAAAATGCTACCTCCAGTGTGGAAGAAGCACAAATGGAAACCTTAAAAAACTATGTACTTACTTTCAAGTAAAATCCAGATGGCCAAGTCTGATAGAGAAAATTCATTGCCACTGAGGTATTTAGAGTTAGCAACAGCTTTATCAATTTCCTTAGCAGCCCAGGAAAACTCATGACCTGTTTGAAGATACACTGTCGCGAATCTAACCCAGTTGTATGTCTATGGCTTTGATAAAAAAGAAAAAACAGTTAACTTACTTGAAGGTCATATCGTTCCAGTGCATTTCCAAGCGCTGATCTGACTAAATAATGGATCACAGACACAAACTTACCTCAGAAACCCTTCATGTACACCATAGTTATGAAGTTTAAGTGAATTCTCAATAGTCTGAATGCCTAACAAGAATAACTTAACAGTGTAATGCGGGCATACATGTGTCCATGCTAAGCAGATACAACCTTGAGATGGTTACAGAGTACAATATCCAATGTTTGTTTGACGAGCTTGTGTAAACCAGTTAATTTCTTCATGTTCGCTTACTGGTCTGCCAGAACGGTTCTAGGTTTTTAATGGATTCCGATTCAGTAGATCTAGCTTCTAGTCTATTGTAGCTCCGATATACAGAGCAGAGGTTGAGTGTTGGTTAGTTTGCCTTGGACTGTGGTGTAGTTGGGTTCTTCTGATGCCGAGTTGCCAGATAGTTTTTCGGACTGGTGGCTAAAGAAAGTTAAGAACAGTGAACAGATAACCTAGGGAGAAAAATGTTTGTGAACAAAAGATCAACAGAAGTGAATTGATGGAGTAATCTACTTACACCCAAGTAAGACGAGGGGGGTGCAAATGAGATGAACTTAAGGAGCTGAGGCTAATTCATAGTGAGCGAAAGGAATGAAAAGGATTTAAACGACTACAGTAGGTAGAAGTAATGTAGTCAAGATAATGTGATGGCAGTTGATTACTTCGGTGCAATTCGTATTCCAACTAGATATGAGCAAACCGTGGATCTCTGCATAATTATCTGACCGTTTTTATAAAATTTTAACAGATGTGGCCAAGGACACTTCTGCCGGCAGTGCATTACAGTGCTTGTAGGTTCAACGAGAGAAGAGGTGTGAACGCACATGAGTTTTTGACCCTTGGTGGGCAAATCTCTTAGGGTTTCAACGAGGATCACCATAGTGGCCACCTGGTAGTACTCCTCTTTTCGGGTGACCTGGGTCATTCAGTATTTCATCTCGTAACCTCCTGGAACTAAGACAGTGTAGATCCAGGACTTTTAGCCCATCTTCATATGGTTTTTGATGTGTCGCAACAACCCTTTTGTGGCTCGCCACTGAACTTTCTCCAGTAGGTTTGTGCCTCTTTTCAGTTGTGGTGGAGCGAAGACGATTTCTCAGGGCTGCATATGCCAGGTGATCGTCCTCTTCTCTGGAGAATCTCCATTTACGCCACGCTTTTCTCTTGGCTTTTTGGAGGCGCTCAGTGCCTCGTTTTAGCAATGAGGTCCACTTTCTTCGTGTTGTTACCACAAAAAGGAGGTTTTGTGAAATCACCTCCTTAATGATGGCTTTTACCAGCTCCCACTGTTAGCCAGCGTATAAGGAGCACCAATCTGCTGGCCACGGAGCATTCGATAGGCGTCGTTTCATTCTCTATTAGTTTGCCTTGTTGTAATAGAAGTAAAGGCGAGGTCCTCTCACGACAATTGTTCACTGAATACTTGGTCGAACACTATCATGGCATTATCACTGCTTTCAAAAGGAGTTTGGGCCCGGACGTCTTCATCTAGTAGATAATCACCGGTCAGTAGGTAATCCAGTTTGGATAGTTTACCGCCTCACCTCCGGTGGGTATCGTCGCTAATTTTTTCCTACAGCCCAACCACTTGGATAGCATTTAGCAGGTTACAACCGAACTTCCGGCTCGGAGCCGTGCTGCCTTGCTCTAGGCTGGGGTTAGGGTGTTAAAGTTGCCAGCTACTAGGACCTGGTCATGCTCCATAGTCGACAGTGTGGATACCACTTGCAGTAATTTTTGGTTGTGTTCCACGTTTGCTATTAAGGGGCCTATAGACTCCTCCAACCAGGTACTTAGTGTGTTTGGCCGTGAAGCGGCACCAGATTATCTAGAAGCTGTGTTAATATAGCGTCAGTAGTTTGTTCACTTTTAAACCAAATAGTCGCGTACATTGCAACCCCTCTCCATCCTTGTGTTTCCTTGCCCTCATTTATTAAAATTTCGGTGTCGCCAATGTCCGGCAATAACCATGTTTCCGTCAGAATTGTAATTTTCGGAACAAAGTCGGAATAGTGGGATCGGAGCTCTGATATTTTAATCCGGAGTCCTCTCACGTTGCTGTAAAGAAACTTCAAAGTGCTTCCCGTACCGTGAGATGTCGCCAGGTCAACTAGCAGCACAGGTTTGGATGTGGTAGGAGATTTTACTGACTGGCCGGCTCCAGTTGAACTGATCGAATGGTTCAAACACCGGGAAATGGCCTTGGATATATTGGGCGTTCGAGGACCTGCAGCTGAAATGAAGCAAGCACTTTCACTATCCAGCACCAGTGGAGACTCGTAGCTTTCGATCTCTCGCTTCCAGGTCTTGAGGCTCAGTTCTTTTCAGCCGGTTATATTCCTTCCGTGATTGCAGAAGTCTGCCTGTTCTTCCTGCTTATAACTTCTGAGGCAGTGGTTGCCCATTCGGGGGCACTTTTTCCTGTAGCTTGTAGGTAGGTTTGCTTAACGAGACAACAGAGAAACTGATAAGACCAACTGACCTTTGTGCAGTTCCTGTTCTTGTAAGCGCCTCCAGGTAACTATTAAGGTGCTATGACCAGGGTGAGCTGGAGATGAGAACAAGAAGGGTGAAAAGTGCTCACGAAAAACTTAATGTTACCAGTAATAATATGGGGAAGAGGTGCATCTTATTGCTTATACGGGTGGATTTTCTGTGGACCATGAATTGATATTAGTTATCTCGGTTTGCCTCAAGCTTCTGATAGAGGGTTGTCCGGGACAACCTCCTGCCCCTGTCACTTTGATCCTGCATCTGTTCCTTAGGGCCATAAATGGGCTATGGTCTGATTCTTTTCTGAACGCCTCTAATCGATGTCATGCGGTCCTCTTGGATTTCATGAGACCCTCGGTGCATCGTTTCCGCCAAAAAGTTCGTTGCTTTGGTATTGTTGCGACGTTTGGGAAGTTTTTAGAGATAGCCTTCTGAATGATGTCCCCCACTGGTTCTCGGTGTTGGACAGTCGATGAAGTACCCCACTTCTGAGGCTATGATGCTGTCGACAGATGTTGGCTCATCTCCGTGTGGCTAGCCTTGTTGTACAACAGACTATGACAAGATCCCTCTGAAGACTGCTGTTCACTAAATACTATATCAAGCACCACCACCTTGCAATGAGTGCAGCTGTGAGAGGCTTGGACATAAACGTTTCCTGCTAGCGGGCGACTGCTGTTAAAAAAAGTTAGTCCGGCATTGGCGGCTTTCAGGCTAGCTCCCAGTGAGTGTTGCCGCCAACGTTTTCACGCAGCCAAGTCCTCTGGCGGTATTGAGTGGGCTCCGGTCAAAAGTTTGGCTTGTAATTGCCCTGTCCTGACCGAGGTCAAGAGTTAAGGCATTAACATCTCCCACCATGATGACCCGACAGTACTCTATATTCGCCACCGCGAGCAATAACCAGAGCAATGGTCCATTCAATTTCACGTTTCCAGTGGGGTCTCTTTTCAAGGCCCCACCTCCAGAAACTTAGTGTGTCCGGCTGTGAAAAGCTCCAGATGGAGTACGGGAGCCACGAAAGTACGATGCCACTAGCTCGTTCAGTTTTGTAATGGCGACTCACAGATACTGCCACCTCGCCACCTAGTTGCAAGTCCATTTCTTATTGGCGTAAGGGTTTTTGTTTCGTTATTGGCTTGACAAACGACAAGGGTGTTGTTAAAGTTATCCCCAGTACGAAAGTGGCTCGCATACCTTCCCAGCCGGCCCTGGGGACAGTAGTGAAGAGGGTTTCTTGCATCTTTTGACGTTTAGCTAAGTGCTGTAAGGGATGGGCCCGAGTGTAAGTGATACTGTGCAGTGAGTGGAATCTGTTGTTGCTGAAGAGGCCTCTTTCAAAGAAATTTTATGATAGTATATATTGCAATAGTATTGGCGACGGGTCGTACGATAATTCAACACGAGACGGCGGATCTAATGGTGGCTACTGATTGAAACCACCCTTATCTGAGATCATCAGACGCAATACAAGCCCCCCACCCTCCCATCCCTTAGGATTATGGCAACTATCTTCCTGTAACCCTGTATGTGCACTTCAAAGCTCTTACTGGTACACGAATGCAAAACAAAGTCATCATCCATGAGCATTTGTAGTGCAGCCTAAACTAGGACGTGAGAAATGCACAAAGGTATTCTACTAGCGGAATATGTGATTATATAGCCCCTTACTCCCCGTGTTCTCTTTAGATACTGTAGCCTTCAGTATTGCCTCCCAAAGTTCTAAGACAACTAACTTCGCTTCGCATGCCTCCACGTTTCTCTTTCTCACCCGATATCCAGGTGATGATGGTGGATCATGACAACGCACTGGGCACTGAGATACACCTCGAACCTCCACATAACACCTGAGAACTAACATCTTTTACACCCATGTGTGCAAAAATCACCAGGAGCTAGACTACGACCTCTTCTAAGTTCATAGCTTCAATTGGGAAAGCAACTAGAAATGTTGGGTTAAATGCCGTTTGCATCTAAACATGCAAGGTCTCCCAGTCTTGACAACCACTCACCTGAAAACGAAGCTAACCGAAAGTGGCCTGGTATTACGCGTCGACCTTGAAGTCTTGTTGAGTGGTTTGATGGCGAAACTTCTTAAGTGTTCCACCGTAATATGACAACAGCAGCTGAGCAGAATTGCACTCCCAGCTTATTTGTTCAAATAACCTCGTTCACAGCATTATAAGCCTAAACGATTGCTGCACTCCGCATGGCATCATACAATACCATACCCAAAGTTGCTTTAATTTTGGATTGTCACAGCCAGAATATCAGCCATCTGAGCAACACAGGCAGCTGAACACAGTATTTCGTGTGCCCGTGCATGCCATGCCTTGTGCGCAAAGGTAAGTTGAAAAAACATTTTAAAGCGGTAAAATTTTCGGACGAAGAATGCGATGGCAAAGAATGCTTATGTCGTTTGGTGTCACAGGAACATGCTGTGGTGATGGGGGGATGTCTCTGCTGCTGCGTTTTTCAGGTCCAATAAGCACTATGAAATCATCAGCAGATAAACCGGGAACGTAGCCTAACATGTTAACTGATAGTCGCTGGACGGCACACAATTGGTAAGCAGTAGCTAATAAGAATGTACTTACTTTTCAGAATACCGCAAGTAATCTTGCTGAAATTTTACACAGAAAAGTGAAAAGGAAG